AATTTTGATCAAATTTTATATGCAAAGGTGATTGGATCCTATAGAATAATATAGGATAGTTTTTATTGTAAAAATATAACGTTAAATGGGTTAAATAAGTGTTGCAAATGAGGGTTTCACAAATTTTCTCAAAAAACTAAAAATTTCTTCTTTTTGAGCGATATTAGTATCAATAAACGCAATATTTTGTAAAATGTATGTTTGTTACTCTTTCACGCCTAAACCACTTTATCAAATTTGATAAAATTTAATATACAGGAAGTTTAAACTATAGAAAACAACATAAACCACTTTTTATCGCAAAAAATAATTTATAAACCTCTAAAACAACGATTAAAAAATCTAATACTAAAAAAATGCAATTTTCTTTACATTTCCTTAATAATCCAACCTCCAAAACATAACTATAACTACATCCATATCCACATGAAGTGGAAATGTTCGCGATTTCGCAATCGAGCAAAGAACAACTGATTGAAACTGCACAGCAAACAAAAATAATAGAAAAACCGTCACACACCCACACACAAACACACAACCAGCAAACAAAGCGTACGCCAAGTCAAGGGAACAAACGAGCCCGAACACGAACGCGAACGAGAAATGCGAGAACGACGCGAAAGTTTATTGCGTTAGCCAGCGCCGGCGTTGCGCGTTGCTTCCTGCTCTCCTGATATTGACCTATTTCGCCGAAACACGGTCAGTACATTACACCCGGTCGGGGGGATTCCATCCAGAAGAAAAGCTTTTCGATACGGGCTTTGCCAACCGAGGACCTAATCGAAAACTACGGCGTATGCCGTACAAAGGACTCCTCAATCGGATTGAATTGAATGCGAATCAAGCGTATCATCATCACGATATTGATAGATTCAGAGTACGAGTAAAGTTTGAGGAACTTTAGGACTTATGCAAATTACAAAGTCATTGGTATAAAATCAATGTATGTTTATGAATTTATAGATGTATTAAATGTTGTAACTTTTTTATGTTTCGTGGATGTTTAGAGATGGTACTCGTATAAAAAAGATATAAGTTACAAAGCAGATAAGACGCTTTTCTTCTTCCTTCTTTTTTTTTTATTTTTCAGTATTTGCCGAGGGCCGACAGACGCAGACATCAATAGCATCTGTGGATTTCTATCCCTAATGCCTTCTATTCGGAGGCCTCCGTGACTCCCACGACGTCCCGGCAACTTAGTGAAGAGATAAAAAGAGCAAAACATTGTCGAAGTGTGTCATTGTAATGCTCACAAATCAATAGCACATTCAGTTGCCGGAGTTTTCTTTAGTTTTTTTTTGGAAAATGGATCGAGATCCCAAATTACTAAAGGGAAAGCGGATTGACAGTTTTTCTTTTTGTATGAGTGAAATATTAATAACTTTCAATATCATCAGAATCATCAGGAGCATAAAAAATAAAGAAAATAAAATAAAAATTGAAAAATTTGCAAAAAATTTTAGAAAAATTTAATTTTTTTAAATAAAAAAAATCATTTTTTTTGTTAGAAAAATTTAAATAAAAAAAATTGAAGTTTTTTCATCAAATTATGAGTTTTTAATGATGAAAAACATTGAAAAAGCTTTAATTTTTGCAAAATTTATATAAAAAATGAAGAAAAACTAAATTTGAAGCCGCAAAACATTGAAAAACCATAAATTTTAAACAAAAAAAATTTTAATTAAAAAAATAAAAAATTTAATTTTTTTGTAAAATTTTGAATATTTGATAAAAAAATGAAAAAAATTTTGAAAAATAATAATTCAACAATTCTTATACTGAAAAATCAAATTTTACAAATTTTATGAAAAAAAATATTCAAAATTTTAATAAATTCTCATTTTTTTTAAAACCTGGCACTTCTTACCACCCTAAATATAAATTTTTGCCAATTCCTGCTGATGTTACATAATTGGCCAGCTTGATATACCGAATTATCAAAGTTAAATGAACGCGTTGTTAACATGCTCAACATTCACCGCTTTGTTATACATCGCTACACATCATTATCTTCTCTTCTCCTGTACGAATGAGTTCTCTTCTCTTTTCTCCTCCGGCTTCTACGGTACCTTGAAGGTTTTCTGCCACTTGGCTGCGCACTAGGCGCACGCAAACAATGAGTATCCACGTTCCACGTGGTTGCTATCAATTGGTACTGTTGACGTAGTGGCGTGTCATAATTGATACATCCACGGCGGGAAGCCACATCCGGCACCCAACATGATTGCTATTTGCTATTTGCATACATCCTATACAATAGTCGTAAAACCGCAGGTAGGAAGCTATCGGGATGAATTTCGATACAAAGCAAATGTTTAAAATCTATTTCGGGTGGGTGTACGCGTATGTGAGAGTGGAATTTGTATGTTTGTAAAGCTTTCACGCGTAAACCACTCAAGCAATTTTGATAAAATTTTGTGTGGAGGTAGTTTTGAGTATGGAGAATAAAATAGGTTAGTTTTTGTTGGGGAAATTTAATTGGAAGGGTGGGAAATAAGGGTTGTAAATTGAAAAAGAACAAATTTTGTCTAGAAATGCTGTAACATTATTTTTTGTAGTGTATTAGTATCAAAAAACGCAATATTTTGTGAAAATGTATGTTTGTTACTGTTTCACGCTTAAACCACTTTATCAATTTTCATAAAATTAGGTATACAAAGAGATTATATCATAGAAAAAGCTATAGAATAGTTTCTATTGTAATAATTTATCCTCAAGGGTGTAAAATAAGGGTTGAAACTTGATATAGTGTTTCTCTCATGCAAATAATCATATAATTCAACCCTAAATGGCGCAAAACTGTATCATTCATTTCCATAACCTAAAATTTTTAAATTTTAGTCATAAAAGCATTTCCATTGATAATTTTGATAATTCCACAGTTTTTCCAACACAATAATCATGCACATCAAATAAACTCAAAACTTTAACTGCTAAAATTTGATCCAGCAGCTAATTGAAACGTGAGCGACGTAAAACTTGTATAAAAGTTGATTCGGTTCGTGTTCGAGCAAACGAGACGATATTTATACCCCCACGTAATTCGATTAGTGTCCCCCACGGTGCGCGCGAGTTAGGAAATTAGGTGATGTTTTTCGCATTTTCGCAATTTCGCAATTGCACACCCATACACGAACACATCCACACATATATATACAAAGATAGTCAAACATAAAAACAGGACCTACCCCCAGCTGCGCGGCATTAACTTTCAGCGTATCGATCCGCGTGTTCTCAAACACGAAATCCAACCCGCGCGCCTCATCCAGTCAGCATCCATCCGGTCGACGAGCAGGACGAGTGCCTCCTCGTTCCTGGTGTCGGATAACGTGCGCCCACCCGCATATCATCGCATCATTAAACCATGCGCCGCACACAAAAACCCATTGTGGTGTTTTTTATGCGTACTTGTTAGTTTTTTTCAATGACAAGTGACAAATAATAAAAACAATACAAAAATATTCACTACTATGATAACAAAACCATAAAAAATTAATTTTTAGACATGAAAAGTAAAAGAAATTAATTTTAAAATTTTTTAAATATTTTTAGTTAAATTTTAAAGCTACTATAAAATAGATGGCGCTAGTAGAGTAGCAATTTACAAAACAATAGAGCATTCATCTTTATGTATGTCACTGGGCAAACACCCGCCGCCATCGTTGCATCCCACGGGAGATGAATACAACTTTAATACACTCGTTACCTGTTACCCGCTAAGCGGGTAGCGCGCGTGCTAAATTATTCATAAACGCGCGCAAACGCGCAATATCACACTGAACGACCATCAAAACCATCAAACTTTTACTACGTATTACACAAAATAATCATAAATACCATAAATTAACGCATGTGCGGTTAAAATTAATACGCACGTGATTCTTGTTTATGTTTACGTTTATAATTGAGGTTATGTTATGTTAGAGAGGTTATGTAAGTGTTACCTTGACGGGATCGTAGGTGGTGTGAACGTAGACGGACGCGCGACGCCCGATCAGCGACCGGCAGCCGATCGAGCTACTTCGGCGGCCCGCCATCCTCACCAATGCTGCCGCGCTGCACGCGCCATGCACTGCGCCCACGGCCGCCGCCCTCGACGCACTGCCGCCCGCGCGGCGGACACCAACGCTGCGCCATCGATTCCCACCCCGCGAAAATTTCTGCTTCATTCAGCACGTGCTCTTCTGCCAACTCAAACTCAAAGTCTAAAAAATCAAAAATTACATAACCACAAATATTTAACCTCAAAATGCATAAAATGTAGAAATCTGTAAAGAAAACAAACATAGTGATCAATCGTCATCCATCATATTATACTCATCTATCATGATTTTGCATGTTGGAGGTAAATAATTTAAATACTCACGTAAATAAATAAATTTTTTTTTTTATTATTTTTTTTTTTGTTTTTTTTTTTGACTATTTAGTAAGGAATTAATGTGGCATGGGCGTGTTTTAATTTAAAAGTCTAAAACTTCCCCCGGAGGAAATTAATTAAAACTCACCCCTTGACGCGAATCAAAGGAGATGAGAATTTTTTACGACGGATCAATCAAACCACCTCAAAAGAACTGCGCAAAGCGCGATTTTATCGCTCAATTCACGCCACTGTATAAAAGGGTTAAACGCGTTGTGCCTCACATCACTAAACTCACTTCATAAATATTTTATGCGAGCGATAATCTGTGACAAATAGATTAATGTGTGATTTATATCACACAGGCGAGTCCATGATTAACCTCAATTCATATATAGGCAACCAAGTATACACATACTTTACGCAATTTACTTTCTATTCTATTCTAGTTTGTATGATAATTCAATTGTGACGATTGTCGAACGCAAATTGATTGATTGGACAATTCACGTGTATGTGTACTGTACACCTAGGTGATGTCAAAGGTCAAGTTTAAATATGGCCACCGGATGTGCGCATAAAAACAATGGCGATTTTCATAATAATCAAGCAGTGATTTCACAACAATGCGCCGACAACTGCGACATAGTACGAGCAAAACGCTTTACAATATTCTCCATATTCCCGAACGTCGTGCTCAATCTTCGGATCGATTCATCGCCCTTCTGTTTGCTGAGATAAGACGTTAGTGGGCAAACATTTAAACTCAACAAACGCCGGCGATAAGACACTAAATATACGCTTGGAACTAGGCTAAGCGTAATCAAATTGTCACTAGTTGGCCAACACTCGCAGTGTTAATGTGTTAGGAATGTGCCACGTGTGCTAAATGAATCATGGAAGTTGGTTATGTCAAGTGTTTGGTGATATGTTTGATGTGTTGCAGTAGTATCAATTTAATCCAAGGTAAAACTTTTAAAATATTAATTTAAACATCAAATATCTTAAAAAATATTTAAAAAATGGCGGTTTTTAAGGTGCCATCCATCAAACGTTAACACAATGTTGCGATATGGGTAAAAACTACGCGAATAATGACGTTTCCTGTTCGAGTATCCAACCACCATTTGATGGTATCCCAGAAAAAGACGAATCTAGCTGTTTGAATACTTTGGTCATCTGTTGTAAAACCCAGGAGAAAGAAAATGAGTGTAGGCTGGGTATAAACGACGCAGAGACTGGCACGTGTAATGCCCAAACCGGAAGTGAACGAAAAGTAATGTTTTTTCATTAAAAAAAAAACATTTTTAAATTTTTAAATTTTTTTAAAATTTTTTAATTTTAGAGTTGTTGTGATGCCTGTAATATTGGTAAGATATCCGCAGTATCAAATACATGCGAGAGTTCCTTCAATCTGGGTTCCTATGATAAGCACTTCAAGGCTTGCTGTCAAAAAATGTTACCAAAGACCACCACGGATAACACCCCGAATAATGAACAGTCTTTGGGTAACCTCTGCGAGATTGAAGACCTATGTGCCCAGATTTGTATTCCTACAGGAGAGTCTTACAAATGTGATTGTAACCCTGGGTATACCCTAATGGCGGATGGTAATAGTTGCAAGGAGATCACAGGACCAAAAACATCTCCCAAAAAGAAATCAAAGTAATTTTTTTAAAATTTTAAACTAAATTTTAAGAAAATGATTTTCCAAATTTTGTTTTTGGTTATTTAGGTGTGATACCAACAACCCTTGTGCCCATAACTGTGTAGACTCCGGTATCGCCATCTATTGTACCTGTTACGATGGTTATGAACTCCAACCAGACAAAAGAAGCTGCAAAGACATCAACGAATGTGAATTGGAACACGACTGTCACGGTAATGAAACCTGCGTAAACCAAGACGGATACTACGAGTGTGTTGAAGAAGGAGGTGATGATGAAGACTATGAAGCTGTTGAATGTAAACCAGGGTTTCGCTACAACTGGGAAAACAAAGCCTGTGAAGATATCAATGAATGTCTACTTCCTTTGATATGTCTATCCACACAAAAGTGTATTAATACAGAAGGGTCTTATAATTGTACAGGTGGGGAGCTGGTATGCCCAAAAGGGTACTTCTTCAAAGCCAGTACCCAGGATTGTGCAGATGTGGATGAATGTGTCACAGGTGAAAATGAATGTAATAGAGAATCACAGGTTTGTTTGAATAACAAGGGAGGTTATACTTGTGTGGATAAAGCATCGAAGAAGACATGCCCACCTGGGTTCATGATGAATACCATGATGCAGATCTGCATGGATATTGATGAATGCGCACAGGATATTCCTCTGTGCGCGGAGAATGAGTTGTGTGTCAATGAGGAAGGTGGGCATAATTGCGTGCCTATGGGGAGTGGGAAAGGGGTTCCAGGGAGTACCATTGGGACTACTCCTAGTACCACTACTTCTACCACACCTAAAACTAAACCTACTACTAAAGTTACTACTGTGAGGACCACAGTTAAGACTACTCCTAAAATGACTACCCCCACCACTACTACTACTACTACTACTACTACCACCACAACTCCTAAACCCACTAAACCCACAACAATAAGAACATCCCCTGTGTTCATCTCCAGAACAAAACCTACCACCAGACAACCTCCTTTGAACCTCCCCCATGGTCCAAATAGATTCCCCCCACCTATCACCTGCAACCGAGGATATTCCTACTCGGATGTCACAGAACAATGTGAGGATATAGATGAATGCGCAACAGGGAACAACCACTGTGACCATTATCAAGTCTGTCATAACACTCTAGGTGGATACATATGTAACTGTAAAATTGGTTTCAAAAGAGATTCTATCACAGGAGCTTGTCAGGATATCAACGAATGCCAAACAAACCGGAATGATTGCTCAGAGGGTCAACGTTGTGACAACACAGTTGGGTCTTACCTCTGCTCCCGAATGGCTAATTGTGGTACAGGTTATACACTCAACTACGAAACAGGTGTTTGTGAGGATAATGATGAATGTGCTCTGGGGACACATAACTGTGACCTTGGAGGGAGGAATTTAATATGTAGGAACACACATGGGTCTTTTAGATGTGATAGACCTCCACCTCCGACTACACCAGCTCCACCTACACAACCTCCATTGAGGTATCCAACAAGACCACAGTATCCTTCTGTTTATAATATACCTGTGACCCAACCTACTAAACCTTACTCCTATGCAACAATAAAACCTCCTCAGAAGTACCCTCAGATACCTGCATACCCTTACATACCTGCTTATCCCTCATACCCTAATTATACCATAATCAGCTCCCAGAGTAAAAAATGTCTTCCTGGGTACTACATGGATGCAGCAGGTGCCTGTCAGGATGTAGACGAATGTCAAAGCAACCCATGTCCAAGGTCCCACTACTGTTACAATTACAATGGGCGTTATGAATGTAAACCCAAATTAGTATGCACACCAGGATTTGAATTGAATTCATCTGGTGAAGAGTGTATTGATGTCAATGAGTGTATACGTGGTAATCACACTTGTTCACCTTCGGAGATTTGTAAGAATTACAATGGGTACTACCGCTGTGAATGCCCAGTTGGACACAGCAAAGAAGGCAAGAGATGTGTGGATATTGACGAGTGTAAATACTACAAAGGGAGGATATGCTCATATGGTGCTGATTGCGTCAACACCATTGGGTCTTTTCAGTGTCAATGCAAAGAAGGATTCCAGAAGGTTAATAACACATGCGTTGATGTTGATGAATGTAAAGAAGTTGGAAGATGTGGATCAAAGTGTTACAATACTCTGGGGAGCTATAAATGTTACTGTGAGAAAGGGTATACTTTGAATTCAGACAACAGGTAAGTACATAACCTTAAAAAATCATCTAAAACTGTTAAAAATGTAAATTTATACTTTTACAGGACCTGTTCTGATGTGGATGAATGCTCACTCTTCTCCAATCAAGTTCATTGCGTGGGAACTTGTATAAACTCACCAGGAAGTTATCATTGTGGTTGTCCAACTGGGTATAGACTTGGTACAGATGGGCACACATGCCAAGGTTATCATAACCTCTAAATATTAATTAGTATTTACTTACTTTATGATTCTTTCTAGATAATGATGAATGTAAACTGGATGATCCTTGTAAAGGTCCAGATGAGTACTGCTTCAACACCAGAGGTGGTTATGAGTGTGCTTCGATTGCTTGTCCGAAGTATTACAAACGTGACCAACACCAAAAGAGGTTTTAGTATACTTAACTGTATACAACATAACCTAAAACTAATTTGTTTATATTTACTTTTTAGTCGTTGTAAGATAGATACAGACTTGTGTCGATACAATGAATGCTCGCAGCACTTACCAGATCAAATCAGTTATCATTTCTTCAATATTGTTTCGAATTATACAATTTTGGATGAACCTGTGAAGTTGTTCAAGATGCGAGGTCCACAGAGTCCACATTCTCGTGTGGCGTTTAAATTGGATGTACAAACAGCACGTTTTCCTCTCTTTGTGAGACCTGCGAATGAAAATGACTTTCTGTTGGATAGACAGCATAATAGTGTGACTATATCAATAAAAACATCGATTGAAGGCCCGCAGCAGGTCGAGTTGACCCTACAGATGCAGATTTTCAACCATAACGTGCTCACCAACACGGTCATCTCGAAAATCATACTTTATGTATCACAATATAAGTTTTAAGCGTTATAAATTTAAGTTTAGAGGTGATGGTGACATAATTTTTGAATAAAACTTAAAGAAACAATTTACTTATGATTATTTTAACCTATACATAGTTTAATGTAATGATTTTATTAATTTTATTAACTTTTAACTAGTTCAATAACAACTAGACTGTTTTTCGCTGATTTTACAACATTCCACCGTCCCAGTCGGTGTTCACTGCCCACCGCAGCGATTAATTTGCTTCCATCATTGCTGAAAGCTAAAGAATTAACATAACCAAGGACTGGAATTGTCATTAGATGAGTGAGGGTCTTTGAATGGTCTCCTACTTTCCATAGTTTTATGTTGCCATCATAGGATCCTGTATGAATTAAAATGTTTTCAATAAATGACTAATTTTAGTTGTGTTGGAATAGGTTATGTTACCTGACGCTACTAAATCAGTGTTTACTAAAGCTGCAAGCGCAGTAATCCATAGAGGTTGATCATTTGTTTCATCAATGCCATGTGCGGATTTTATAGATGCTGTTGGTTTCTTCTTATTGACGCCCCAAAGTGATAAAGTTCTATGGAAAAAAAGTAAATTTTGATTTTGATCATAAATATCTTAAAATCTATTGGTTTAATATGAACTAAATTTTGTACAGAACTAATTTACTAATATAAGTATTGTTATATACTAAAATTTGTCGAAAATATAAATAAATCTAGATTTTACAAGGAATTAAAGGTTAAAAATTAAAAGCATGGAAAATGCAATTTTTAGTACAAACCGTCGCCATTTTGTTGTTATATTAGATATTTTCATAAAATTTTGTGCAAACGGAACCCAATTAGTTATATTTTAATATTATGTTTAAAGTTTTAAAATTTGATAAGCTAATAAAGCGTTATTTGCAATTTAAACACCAAAAAATCAAATTTTTTACTTCAACCTCCGGCCATTTTGAAATTTCTCAACAAAATAACATAAAATTAACTTAAATCAATAAAATTACATATTCTAAATTATTAAACTTACCCATTATCACCGCCGGAAACAAATGTCTCCTCATTAACCAACTTGACCACATCAATACTCCCCGTATCGCCATTATAAATCAACTGCGACTCCTCCGGAATCTTCCACATCCTCAGCGACGTATCCCGCCCACCTGCTGTAACCGCCCTCTCCCTGGCCAACGCATCAATCGCAGTCACCGCATCCAAGTGGCCATATAGTGTCTCCACATAGGACATCTCATCCAGCGACCACACCTTCACCGATCTATCCGCACTAGCCGAATACAACGTGTGCGTACCTCTACGAAACACCAACGCGTATATTGAATTCTTATGTCCGCTCAGTGTCTTGATGTGTTTGAATGTCTCCGGGTTCCAAATCTGGATATTCGACGAGGTGTCACCAACAGCAAGGAATAGGCTATCGTGGGATAATGCTAGTGATAGTATGGATGAACTGTGTCCTTTTGTGTAGGCTTTCTCAACGCTTTTCTTGATGAATGGCAAGGAGGATAGTTTTTGGTGTGTTTCCAGTGACCATTTGACTATTCCGCCATCTTTACTGCCGGAGTATAAGTACTTATCGTCGGAGCTTACGCAGACACAAGTTATGGTGCTTTTGTGTTCTTTTGCTTTGAGGAAAGAGATTTTGCTGTGGGATTTGTACTGGTCTGCGACTGACGAACGGAATCGGCCGGTTTGTTTCAGGTGGTCGTAGAAGAGGCGTTGTTGGATTTTACGATCGTGGTCGTCCTGCTCGTCTTGTTCTTCGTCTTCACGTTCACGTTTTTGCGTTCTAAACAATAAAAATTTTTAAAAATGTGGTTTTGTAGCGAAAATTTGACTTTTCTAGTTAATTACTTAAGTAAACAATGGAATATCAACACAATTATATTAAAAAATGATTCTGTACTTAATTCTTCACAAATTTGACCCAAGAAAATATTTGCAATAGTTTTAATTCACCAATTATTAACAAAAAAACGTGTTTTTCCATACTTTCAACAAAGATTACTTTAATACCTTGTAACTTTTTATCCAGGGCAATAATTTACAAGGTTTAAACGGAACATAAAACAGAATTTAATATAGAATCAACTTCTGCAAGATTCACAACCCTAACTCTTTTCGTTCAAAAGTTATTCATGAAAAACTAAGTAAAAACAATGACCTACACAATAACTACCACATTTACAGGTTAAAAATTACCTTGTGCTTCAATTTCTTTCAAATAAACCTTTGCCAAACGTAGTTTCTTCTCCTGTGCGGTTTCGTTATCATCTTCAGACTCATAGTGCTCTTGTTCTTTGTTATTAAAGTCTTCATCTTCACTACTTGTGATATCGTCGTCTTTACTTGCTGGCACATTGTAACTTTTAGTTTTTTCGTTATTATTCGGAAGTTTCCGCTTCCTACTGGGATTTTTCTGGTTTTTATTAGTTTTGGGTTGTTTACCCTTGTTTTTTATAAAGAAGGACATAGTTATCTAGTTTAGTTTAGTTTTTATTTAAGAAAAACTTAAGAAAACGATATCAACATTGAGCACATGAAGATTTCGCGGTTATGTTTACCATGCTGACATGTACAGGGTAAAAAAATAAAAATATAAAGGAAATTATGGTAGATATGTACTGTTTTAATTAAGTAATATAAATAAAATGTATTTATTTAGTTGAAGTAAATCTTTTAAGTTAATTTTTGTGTAAAATAAGAAGGTTTTAGATAATTCTGTAACAAAATATTTAAATTTACTTCAATATTACTATGGCCCCCTGCAGGCGATTTAAGATACTATGCAATAACACCGACTTTGCACGATGTTCAAAGTCCCACATTTGAAATGATATTTCCGTCTTAGATCAGTAATTACCTGCATACCCAATAATTACATAAATACATAGCGTGCACACGTGACTAATTAGTAGTTTAATGCGGCAATAAAAGTCTACGTAACATAAAACGCTTTTTTATAGCTGGAAGTCCCCGTGATATGCACGCTATCGATTTTGCGCTGCCATGACGACACAGATGTCGCTCGCAAACGTGTTTTTATGAACGCGCGAAGTCGAGAATGTTTTTTGCCGCTGGCCGCTGGCGTGAATCGTGAAAAACTGGTCGCGTCCATTGTCCTGGCGCGCCACAGCTCGCCTCAGACGTAATCCGTCCAGCAAGCGAACGGGCCAGCAATCAACACGCATCGAGGTCAGACGTTCATTCAAACCGATCAACCAAGCGGCGGCGCTTTTTTTGAACTGGGAGAACTTCAATCCGATAGAGGGACCCCGCACACAGCACACAGGTGACGCAGGTAGCGGTTACACCGAAACAAACGACGATCGCGCGAGTCTACGATGGCCGCCACCAGCGTTGTAGTCTTAGATCGCGGTAACAACACGACCTGCACGATCAATCTACACGGTAAGCATTGCATTCCTGCCGAAATAAACCCATCTTCTTATCTGTAAAGTTGCATAACACGTCGTCACGTAATTACTGCAAAAACACGCAAAAAAACTTTCGCATAACCTCAAATTTTTTGTTTATAATTTTCACTGGGCGATTTTTTACTTATGGTTTTATTTGGTGCCACTTTTTAGGTGCTACCGTTGTTTCCTGGAGGGTCAACAATCAAGAACAGCTCTTTGTGAGGTATGTCAGTGTTCCAATAACATATTAAAACTTTAAATTGTTTAAATATTAACATAAAACTTATTTATTTATATTTTCAATAGTAAACAAGCTGTTTTTGATGGAAAGAAAGCCATTAGAGGTGGTATTCCATTTGTTTTTCCACAATTTGGAGCATGGACATTCGGGCCCCAGCACGGGTTTGCCCGGCTGGTGCGCTGGAATATTGAAAAGGCCCCTGAACGCATGCCAAGCGGCGATGTTGAGGCGGTGTTCTCGCTGATGGAGAGCGACTACACAAGGTCAATGTGGAATTACTCGTAAGTCGCTTTATAACTGTCATTAAACGGGCGTAAAATGAGGTTTTTTACATGCATAGCTAAGGTTTTGTGAGTTGCAGTTACAGGAAATTGAGAATTAGGATATTTATTGCAGATAATGTAAATTTTGAACTGCTAGTTGCTGTAAATATTGAATTATTCAAAATAATATAGTTTTTTTTTTTGTTAGAATGTTGGAAAAAAATCTGTAAAACAGTGGAAAACTTCTATAACTCGGAAACTAAACGAGATAGAAGGTTGATTCTTTTTTTATTTAGTGCAGAATTGAATTGTTTATTAGTGAGAGCAAAATAAGATAATTTTATTAATAATTTTGGTTTTTTTCGCGAAAAAACTGTCAAAATCTAATGATTTTTTTATGAATTAGTTTAAAACTTTTAAACTAAATGACTTAGAAGATCACTGTTTGCTTTTTAAAGTATATCTTTATAAAATTTATCACCACACCAAAAATTAAACATTTATTGCAATTAGTTTAGTTGTAATCGTTAAAAAACTGTCAAAAAAAATCAACAAAAGTTGATTTACAAGTTAAATCGACTTAAATATTAACATTATTAATATTTATTTACATAAAGATGTATTTTTAAACAAAAAAAAAACATTTTAAATCGATTTTAAAACATTTGAATGAATTTTTCATATAAAAATTTTATTTTTTGCAGATTCCGTCTAACATATAGACTAATCCTCCGAGAAAAAGAACTCCACTTTAACATAGCCATATACAACCCAAGCAAGGACCTAACATTCAGTTTCAACATGCTTCTCCACACTTACTTCAAAGTTCCGGACGTCCGCAGATGTCAAATCACCGGCCTACACGGCTGCACGTTCATCGACAAGACGCGCGATGGCGCTATCTATCAAGACGGCCGCGACGTCGTGACAATCGGCGAATGGACCGACCGCGTGTATCAAAACACCCCACACGAACACATCATAACCAACGTAGTATCCGGGCGTAAGATGCGCATACAGAAGTACAACTTCCCCGACACTGTCGTCTGGAACCCATGGGTTGAAAAAGCCAAGGACATGGGCGATTTCGGCGATGATGAATACCCAAACATGGTTTGTGTGGAAGCCGGCCACGTGTCCAGTCCGGTGATTCTCCTGCCCGGCACCGCTTTTGAAGCGAGTCAAATTTTGCAGGTTATGTAAGCATAAACATGAAAACGCGTTTGTTTAACACCAGATGGCGGCAACTAAAGCAATAGGATAATGTTTATTCACACACACACATAATCTATGGTTTATTGTTATATTTTTTAAAATCAACTATAGCCTTACATGGTATACGACTGGTTGTAGTTTGTAGCACTGTATGGATATAACTTGTAACAGAAATATTTGTGCAATAGGTAAGATCCTCTTATACTAAAATGTAACGAATACGGTTTTTTAAAAATGGTTTATAACTGGTACAACTGCAATTAGGGATACGACTTACTACTGATAACTAATGTACTATTTAGGAATGTAACAACGCATTTGTTTATTGTTATATATCAACATTTTTTACGTGTTTTACACTTGAATGCCAGGAGCGCCATGGATTTGATCGTGGCGGTGAGAGAGAGACGAATTTTCTATTTTATATTATTATTATTGTGGTGATATTGATTATTATTGATGATTATATTATTAATGCGTATGATGAATTTCGTTGGCGGCTTGCGCGCACCGATTGTATGCGAACAGGTCTGGTATATTACAAACTACGATATAAAATGGAGTTTTCTTAACCGTACAGCTAATTATTTAAGAAAACTTGTTGTTTATTGCAAGAAATTAAGAAAGATGGAGACTTTGCTTTATGTTTTAGTAGTTTTAAGACATTTTAATAAGTTTTTATTGGGTTTTATCATGAAAATGTTATTTGAGGTTAAATTTCTTTCCATTGCAACAAAATGGTTGGAAATAGTTGAATCAAAGCTTAAAAAGTATTAATTTAAGTTGTTTTAAGTCAATTTTGAAGTTATTTGTCTAATAGTGATGAATTTGATCATAATTAGAAGTTTGAGCAAAATTTGAGAGAAATAAGGTTAAAATTGGCTGTGATTCTTAAAAAATGAAGAAAAACATGACAAATTTCATGAATTTTTGCAAGAATTAAGTATTATTTGTTACTTAAGAGGTTATAACAAGTAAAAACACTAATTTAGGTTAATTCTTTGCACCATAACCTCAAAATTCTTAATTTTATTGCATTAAATTCAATTAAAATCTTTTATAACTGCTTCTAAACTAATCTACGATCAAATAATTTAATTATTGATCAATTTGTTTTGATTAATCATGAATTTAATGATTATAGCAGTCATTTATGCTTAGATTCTTCCTAAATGCTTTTAAAAGATGTTTAAGTATAACTTCGGAGTCGCAGCGCGATAATTAGAAACCATGCGCATGAGTATGCACACTCAACGAGTATTTATGTTTGATTGTTTGCGAATTCCTAGACGTGCTTGAGCCCCACTGGAAATATCCAATATTCATGGCGTAAATATGCCATATTTATAAACGCGTTTTACGACCGTGCGCGCGCGCCGGGATTGTTTTCGAGCGGCGTGCGAGGCGAGCGCACGCGGATGCGGTTTGATTTGCATGTGCATTAAATTTGAAAACTAATTGCTTTCTGCCAGGGTACCAGACGAGCGAGACGCCGGAGATGCCGGCGAGCAGCGGCCATCGATTGCAATTATAACGGTGTACGCTTGGTTTACGATCCGCAGGTATAGGTAAACGCACAAAAAGTCCAAAAGTAAAAGAAAAGGGATTTTTGAGTTAAAAGCCAACGGTCAAATTGGTAGCAAGTAGTAGTAGTAATATATATTGTATTATCTTTGTTTTAGTTTAGTATATTTGTTTAAAAGTCCTTCAAAGTGAGGTTAATAGACTTTAGAATAGGTTATGTAGTTATGTACACACAATTTTTCTTGTTAGCAATGCATCTAGAGTGTTTAACTACTTTGGGTTTTTTTTATCAACGCTGTAAGTTATCTAAAATTGTATTATTTGTGATAAATGTAATTAATTTGCTCTATTTTAGAAGTCTACAAAGGAAAATGAGGTTATCTAAAGACCAAGATGGAGGAGTAAATTTCTCAGCTGTAATTTCATTGAGGTTTTAAGTTATTCTCTTGTTTCCAATTGGTGGAATTTCATTAAACATAACCTCAACATTTATCTAAAAAAGGCAACACTGTTTTGGGTAATATAAAATATTGCGTGATTTCCCCATTAGATAACCAAATTTATACAATAAGTAATGTGATTCTAACGTGTTGATAATGTGAGGTTAGTTTTATGCTACGGAATAGTACTTAATCATTTCTATTGGTAAAATATTTTATATATTTTCGCTATTTTTTCACATTTTTAACGTTTTTCTACTATTTTTCTTATATTTCTACCATTTCTTATTTATTTATCACGTGGTTAACTTGTTTGTTTCCAGATTAATAGCATAAAGTCTCCATTTTAATTGCATTGCATTTAATTGCATTTGATCACGACATATTATCCAATAGTTTAGTGTCGGTTGTATTTTTGAACCTTTTCGAAATGCAAATCAAAATCACATTATAAGCTGTCTCAAGGCCGAATGTACAATGCACATTACATGAGCGTATTATAATGATAATGGGAGATATCAGAATCATTGTATCGTCATAATCTCCCGACGTTAATCTATTTATCTAACACACTGGCTGAGTGTATCAGCAAACACTAAGTGAAGACATAGTCGCGACTACCTTACACGACACAAAAATAGAAATACATTAACAGAATGAAATCGAATATAAAGCAAATATTTACGGTATAGAAATGATTAAATTCTTCATTTATAAAAAATACTATATAGAATATTATCATTAAATAACATTGAGTTGACTTTTGAGGAAAAATTGTCAAATGTCACTTTTATCGAAAAATCTGATTTAATATTGAATAGATTTCTAACAAAAAATTATTTTAAGTTGATTTTAGATTAATACAGAACAAAATGATCACAATGTAGTTGTTCATGACCCAAAAATTCTAGTTTTTAATGAATAACTCTTAAATTAATTGAGTTATAATTATAAATCTTAGAAAACGGAATATTTAGTTCAATTCCAGGTTTAACAACCAAAAAAAGTTGTTTATAAAATTATTATTTAAATACTTATCAAGAATTATAATTTGGAATCCCTACTAATATTATAAATGCGAAAGTCCTGATGTTTGTTACACTTTCACGCAAAAACTACTTAACCGATCATCATGAAAATTTGTACACATATTCTTAGTGGTCCCCGAATGGTTATAGGCTACTTTTATTAAAAAAATTTTTAAATAAAATAAAGAAATTGTTTAGCCAATAATACCTCTGCATCTGGCTATTTGACTACTTTAACGCCATCTAGCATTCCAGCAATGAAGCTCAAACCTAAGTACTCTAGTACCATCACACTGTATTATCACACTGTATTACCGACAGCTACGTCAACATCAAATCCAATTGACTACACTATGGAGACTGTACACTATACTTCCATAGACTATACTTTCAGCCATTTTAAACTTCCCGCCATTCTACTTCATTGTTACTTCTTCTGTGACTACAGACGCGTACGGAAGCATCTTCATTATTTTAGATATTCGCGAGCGAAGCCAAGGGTTAAAGCTAGCTATAATATATAACAGATTCCTGAAGAAATTATTCATATAAGTTGATTAGGTTTTAAGTAATTAATGAAAAACCAAAAATGATCACTTTACAGTTGTTCATGACCTAAAAAATCTAGTTTACAATAAATTATTCAAATATTTGCAATATAATTATCATTCTTAGAGATTACAATATGTAGCAAGATTCTACATCAAACATCAACAAAAATATGTTGCAATAAAACTGTTTTATAAACAAATAAACAGGTATTTAGCAAAAAAAGATAAAACTTACTCCAACCAACGTGTTAAATTTAATAAAACTAGAAAATACTACGACTAATGAAATGTATTTGAAAATGTATTATTTCGGGCAACTAATAAGGTAGTCATAACTATATACACAAAATACATAACATTTAGCACCGTCACGATTGTGGTATTAACCAAAAGCCAACCTGCACTAAACCACATGTACACAATTCTCAAGTAACAAGTGTATATTCTATCTCTCAGTCTATCTATCAGTTTCATTGATACGAGTATCGCCAACAAAAGTGAACGAGACTTTATTAAACCAAAAATAAAACAAAAAAACCATAAAAACTTGTGTTGCCGTGTTAAAACACCGACAAAAACAATAACGAAATAAATATTACACTTTCAATAGTATAACAAACTTTAACTGATAAAATCTATAAATGTTAAAATATTTAAAATTTAAACAACATTTAAATTTAAATTACAACATAATATAAACTCGGTTATGCAAAAGTCAAAGTTATATGTTAAACGTCGTGTCAACGCACCTCGCGTTTTTTATTTAAATTCGCGTTTTTAATTTGTTATCTTTACAGTCGCCGTTTCGCGCCCGGCTTGAATGATACCGTTGATTCGTTGAATAGCAAAAGCTTAATAGCTACTAGATTGTTGGTGGTTACGATTACGATGCTATTTCGCTACACGCAAATGCCGCCTAGGTGAATATAGTGAATAGTAATACCAGTTCAATTCCCAATTTGAATTGCCAATTGTGATCACTATCTCGATTGGGATTGCCACGCGGCGCCGGCGATACCCATCGAAGCACCGTATAAATATAGCGCTACGGTAATAAATCAAGTATTAATCTTAATTGCGTACTGAAATACATGAAATATCAATTAAACCACGTAGTGTAATAACGTAATATTTGTGCTGGAATATTTGGGACAATTTTAAGATTAACAATTAAGTGAGGACAACATGTTAAAAATACGTAAGTGTATTATTTATTATTATTTATTATTATTATTATTATTATTAATGGGTGATTGTTATTATTGAATTGAGAGAAAGTTGCTTTGCGCATCTGGGTGATATTTATGTTGATGAAGTGTGAAGAAGTTTTTTTCTTATTTTCTTTTTGTTAAAAGCATGAATAATGATTATTTATGCATTATAATTATATTTAATTTATAGTTTATTGTTGAATTATTTATTATAAAACATAAATTTAATTCGTCAAACACCTGTTTAAATGTATTTAAACATGAAATATGACTAAATAATGTGTATGGGCAACTTTTACCAGATGGCGCTTGTGTAGTGCAGTGTAAACATAACCTAAATTAAGTTGGAGGTTAAAAATGTCAATGAAGTAACAGGATATATTTTATTTTATTGTTTAATGCACAAATATTGATAAATACAACAAATTTAATGAATATGTGTTTTTTAGCGCCATCTAGGTTCAAATTACATAACTATCACTATAGTTTATCCCTACTAATATTATAAATGCGAAAGTCCTGATGTTTGTTACACTTTCACGCAAAAACTACTTAACCGATCATCATGAAAATTTGTACACATATTCTTAGTGGTCCCCGAATGGTTATAGGCTACTTTTTATTTAATAAAAATAATTATTTTTCAAATAAAATAAAGTAATTGTTTAGCCAATAATACCTCTGCATCTGGCTATTTGACTACTTTAACGCCATCTAGCATTCCAGCAATGAAGCTCAAACCTAAGTACTATAGTACCATCACACTGTATTATCACACTGTATTACCGACAGCTACGTCAACATCAAATCCAATTGACTACACTATGGAGACTGTACACTATACTTCCATAGACTATACTTTCAGCCATTTTAAACTTCCCGCCATTCTACTTCATTGTTACTTTTTCTGTGACTACTGACGCGGGTTAAAGCTAGTTCTCTATATTCTGTATATAAACTTTAATAACAAATTTTAGTATTTTATGGTTTTATATTTACAACCAAAAGTAGTCTATGTTTTTCTCTATGATATTATCTAACTCCAAACCAAAATGCATCAAAATCTGTTGCGTATTGTAGGCGTGAAAAGAAAACAAACATACTTACATTGGCTTTTATACCATTTTTATAGATACTTATCAAATGATAATATGCACTATTTTAATATCATGGTATCATCACTGGATAAACCAGTAATAATTATTGTTTGCTTATCAAACTAATATTTATTTCCATTTCTATATTTCCATCGTTTCCGCTCCCATTTGAGTATTGCGATAAAATCTAAAACACACATTAATCACGTGTATTCAAACACATCAAATACACATTCACGCACTTCTATAAATACTAAATTATAATATCATAATATAGCCTACACATACCACACTATTAGTAATTATTAATTAGTAATTAGTGATTCGTTGCAATCGAATTGAATAGATAAGACACTATTCACAATATGCACGATATTCATAATGCACTATCATTCATTGCCAAGTATTAATCGGTTAATCTGTTAAATATTCAATGTCATATTATATTCTTGGTAATTGCTAATTGAATATTGATTTATTCTGCATTACATGTATACAAAAATATTGGAATATTGAATTATTAGAATACAAAAATATAATAATTATTTAAAAAATGGTAAACAGAATATTTTGTGCTATTAATATTTATAGCGGTTTTTCACATTTTGTTATGTTGAAAATTATATATATGTTGCAATATTTAGCAGTATTTACATTGCTAATTTTAATTTTGCTTACTGATAACAAATTCTTGGAACATGCCATTCTTAATTAAAATAAATAAATAAATAAATAAGTCACAAGTTGCGCGAATCTTACATATAACATTGAATTTGTTTACATAATATTAGCTGAAAGATTAGGTTAGGAATCTGTCAGTTTTAATTTTAATTTTAACCCTATTTAACCTCGTTCAACTTGATTTTTAACTAGTTGTTTTGTATTTTGTAAAGTTTAAACTAAAACTTTCGCTAAAAATCAAAAAACGTATAAAACTATTAATTTTGCGTCCTTAAAGAGCAAACCAACTACATAACCATACTTTTTACAACTTGTCTATTATCAATTTTGTTACAATCATTTGATATGCAAAATATTATACACTAGCTTTAACCCGCGGCTTCGCTCACGAATATCTAAAATAATGTAGTTGATTCCCTACGCGTCTGTAGTCACAGAAGAAGTAACAATGAAGTAGAATGGCGGGAAGATTAAAATGGCTGAAAGTATAGTCTATGGAAGTATAGTGTACAGTCTCCATAGTGTAGTCAATTGGATTTGATGTTGACGTAGCTGTCGGTAATACAGTGTGATAATACAGTGTGATGGTACTATAGTACTTAGGTTTGAGCTTCATTGCTGGAATGCTAGATGGCGTTAAAGTACTCAAATAGCCAGATGCAGAGGTATTATTGGCTAAACAATTTCTTTATTTTATTTAAAAAATAATTTTTTTATTAAATAAAAAGTAGCCTATAACCATTCGGGGACCACTAAGAATATGTGTACAAATTTTTATGATGATCGGTTAAGTAGTTTTTGCGTGACAGTGTAACAAACATCAGGACTTTCGCATTTATAATATTAGTAGGGATTATGTGAATGTTCGTGTTGGTTGTGTTGCCTAAGTAATTTATTTACTTCCTTATGGTATTTCTTTAATATTTTCTAATTATTTTCATAATTAAATAAAATTTACAACCGTACCTTTTCAATTATCATGCAATTATCACGCTGATAACGCGTGAAATGGTGAAAACCTGAAATAAATACTATTATGTATTGTTTTCGTAACTAGAATGTTTTCGCCAATTACAATTAGCATACCGTTCTGCAGAATCATAATTCAATTACATGCCTTTTAACTTTTAACAGTTATACTGACCACTCTACTCAATATAATTTTGAATTTTTTGTTTGAACTGTTTAATTGCTCTTTAATGAAATTTATCGCTGTTATTAATTGCTTATTAACTCTTTGGTGTCGTAATGATGTAATGGTACATTTCCACGACCCAAATCAACCAATAAATTTATTGAAGATGAAGGTAACAATTATTTAGTGAGTTAATAAGCGTCTATTACATCAGTACTGATTGTTTTCGGGAGTTGAAAAATGGCGTGTTTTTTGATGCGTAAAATCATTTGGTACGAAATTGAAGATCATTTATTGGTGGTGTGATTCTATCGTGGTCGCATGTTTCAAAATATATAGTCTTGACACAGTTATTTGTTAATTACGCAAAAACTATTCAAGAAAACTCCTTGATTCTTTTAGAATTAGATTAAGAATTAAATTTTGCATCTATTTGAGTAAAATTATGTTATTTTGACTTATGCAACAAAAGTTATTAACAATTAAAATTGGTTGTAGTAAAAAATATAATGTTGAGGTTAATTAGTCAATAACTACTGATTTAAAAATGGTAATAAATCAAAAATAATATATTTGGTAGAAAATTTAATAGGGAATTTATTTATGAAAGAATTTTGGAAATAAATTGATTAGTTTAAGAGTAATTTAATAAAAACGATTGATTAAAGCTTTGTCTTTGTAGTAAAAAATATGTAGTTCAATTGGTTCAGTTATTAATTAATTACTTAAAACGTAATTGAGATAGGCGTATGATTCCTTTGGAAACATATTGCCAATTAAATTCTCCAACTAATAAACGTTTATTTATTTATCCTAGATTAATACACAAAAAGTTATAAACAATAAAAGTTCGCATTGCAAAAATTTATAAATGTTATACCAATTACTCTCTATCTTGTGTAATAATAATTTTAAAAATAAAATTTTTACATAATTTGATGCACAATTAAATAACAAATAAATTTCTGAAAGAATTAGTTAAATATATTGATTAGTTTTCGAGTAATTAACAAAAAACTAACACAAACAATGTGTTCACATATGTTTGCAGATTGTAAGGGAACTAGAACTATATAAATTGACACATACGTGCCCATAAATTGTACCTAACTATAGGTATTGCAATTGAAATAATAAAAAACACAACACTGCGATTGCGATTGCGATTGGCAATTTGTGATTCGTGGACGAAACACGAAAGTACACGCGTGTGTCGTGTTGTTACTCGTTGACAGACCAGAGACAACAGACAGTTAAATAAACAGTCTTCTAACACGCGGGTAAAACATCATAAAAATAATAATCAATAAATAATAAGTGCACCAAGTCCTAAAAATATAATATATATCTTATTAAATTATAGTAAATGTATTTTATTTATTAAATTAAAATCTAGTGAAAATAGTGAGATGTTTTTGGTAGTTATTGTGTTGTCTTGAAGTGGAACAGGGAACGTGGAGCAAGTGGCACGCGATCAGCAATAAACAACGAAATTGCAACAGCAATAAAAAGAGAAACTTACCGAGAGAAGAGGTGACTTAACATTTATTACTTTACCTGGTTAAATAGTTACTAACATGTACTGAGAATTAACTATTTGATTTTATTACGGAACAAATCGGTTTTATGCTGAAATAAGTAATAAATTTACTTGGTTTTCATAAACTACTCATATTAAAATACAACATTAAAATACAATGATTTAAAAACAATTCATGATAGGATATTAAACCTAGAGTCGCGTTTTTTAGTTTTTAATTAATTAATTGAGTATTTATTAATTAATTCAAATTATTTCTTTAAAAATCTCTTTGATATTAAATTATTTATTCAAATATTTAATATTTTGTTGGTAGCATTGTGGATTCAAAAGTTATAAACAAATTTGTGTGAAAATTTGAGAAATTTTAATTTTTCAACTTTAATTGTTTATAACTTTTTATGCAATAATTTTATTAGCATACCCAGTTGGGAGTTATGTGTAGAATTTAATTAAAAAGCTATTTATGAAAAAGGTACACTTTTATTGCAAATAGTTAATAAGTAATCCGTAAATAACTACTCACTATATCAACCTCTAATATTTACGTTTCTAAAATTTGTAGTTGAACTTTAATTACTTATTAAACAATAAACAAATATGAATGTTAATGAAATTTTAGCAGAAATAGATTGTTTATTAAATTCTTGACCTATTAGAATGATAATTTAATCAAAAACAGTTTTATCTTTAAAATTACGATCAAATTTACGTAAATAACAACATTTTTCATAAATTCTAATCAAAACCGTTTATAATTTATTGATTATTAATCTAAAATACACATTTTTAGTTTATTTACACGCAGAATTTAATTCTGAATCTATTCCCGAAAGAATTTTGCTATTATTATGAATAGTTTTTGAATAATTAATTAAAAACTATAATAAACAAACAAAAAAACTTTTCTTACTTCTTATAACTTCCGCGATTGATATCAAACTCATGCATGAATACGAATATATGATGGGAGTTTTTACTTTTTCGTTCTTGAATGTATCAAACCTTAAAAATCGTGAAGGTTGAAGCGTCGTTCGAGTGTAACCGCCCACGTCGCGAATGCCTGCCGAGTTAAACCACCGCGAACCGAACCTGCCAATGTAATAATTACGGCCGTAATATAGCCGCAGACAGCGAGATCTGCGCTAGACGTTGGTGCAAATTAGCGCGGAGGCAGCTCGTAATACGTCAAGAATCCAAACGTATTATAAACTATTCTACATTGACTAGACCAGTTATAAAATTAACATTAGAAATACTCGTATACGATAGAGATCAGTTTTAAATTTCACATTTTATTTTCATTATCAAGATATCAAGGAAAATTCAAATAAAAATAGAAAAATTGTTTATTTTTGCGATTTTTGCGATTTTTTTTACGTAGTTTTTAATCAAAATGTAATTAATTTTTATTTTCTTGTTCATAACCTAGAATGATATAAGAAATGCTAATAATGCACTTTAACGCCATCTGGGATTGAATTATTCAACTACAACTATGAGTAAATTACCATATCAACTTTCATCCCTTATTTAACACCCTGTATATTACAATTTTCAATATTTTAATAATTAATATTCTATTCTAAACCAAGACAAACCCAAAAAATCCTAAATAATCAAAATCTGTCCATCCATTCTTGAGTTATAAACGTTGTAACTAACTCTCCGCTGTACTTTACACTTTAATCTATACTTACGGTCGTCGAAAAGTCTATATATTACTACCTATATCTTTTGTATGAAATTTAAGTTCATTGTTCTTGCTTTTTGCTTTAAAACTTGCTCCTTCTCATTATTCAACGAGGCCAATGTTTACCTCTTTTGTCATTCGCTCCACAACTTTATAGTTATTGCTTTTCACCTCTATGGAAACAACGTGCACCTTTACACATCAAAGCGTTTATTTCGTACACAACTTCAAGACGCAACAACAACCAAACCCAAAAACAGTTATTGCACTTAAATTTAAACATTTTAGTGTTGCTTTAATATTTCCGGATTTACTCCGGAATCTTCAAAGTTAAACCGACAAAATCATAAACTTATCTTGTTTATTTTTATGTGTGTTCTCTGTACTTAACTAAACACAAATAGGTTGTGAGTTAAGGTAATTGTGTATTGCAAATTTAAGTGAGGTAGAAGAGAGTGGTAAATGAGACTAATTGCGGACAAAATCTCATTAACGAATTTACGACTCCTGGCTTTTATTTGTTACTGGTAATGGTTTCTTGGGAAACAAGTGCATTTCAAGCTCAAGAAGTAAAAAATATAACGAAATACAAAGAAATGTTAACTATATTCTCTTATTTCTTTTTTAAAAATTAACATTTTGAAGCAAATTCACAAAAAAATGAATTGAATATAAAATACGCTTTATATTAATTAATTTTATTGAAATAGCAAAGCTAAAAGCATATTTATACGCAAAAAATAAGCATTTTGTGTATAATTGTGTTAGTTGTGTTGCCTACCTCACTTTTTTTACCACTTTTTGTACAGATGTTGCTATTTTGTATTTATTTAATAATTAAATGTTTAACGCGTGAATAACATTGTAATAATAAATGCATTTCAAGCATAAAAGTTAATAATTTAACGTACAAAACAAAATATAACCTGTAACCTCTGAAAATTTTTAATTTAACGCCATCTATGCATAAATAGTGATAGTATTTTCTCAAAATAGGTTAAAATTGTAGAATGAAGTAAAACAGCGTGAAAAGAATATTTACATAGTTTAACTAAGTAACAACGATGTGGCTTCATGGTTTGGTGTTGCGTTTGACGCTTGGTGCTAATGAACGTGGTCGCGTTTGTCGTTTGTCTCCTCGAGCATGTCGCGAGGTGACAAACCGCAGCGTAACCACAGGTAACTATAGGTAACCAAACCGCGTGTTACAATTTCGCTTTTTCACATTCCTACTCTTCTCTCAAAAGCATTCAAGCGTAAAAGTAAAGAAACTATTACATTATACAAAAACCTTTATTAATTGAAAACACAATTTACGTTTAATTGTTATTTTTGATGAGGAAATAAATCCTCCCTCCGATAACTTTCCCTTATCTACCAATCGGTGGGGCCTTGACTTGACTTGTGCGAAAAATCAATGCCAGGAATTCTGGCATTCATTCCCATTCCAATTCCCATTTCCAAACAGTTGCACTGCACCACTTACCCAACCACAACACAACCCTTAAATTGATTCCTATCAAAGTAATAAACAAACCTTTCATCTATAATAATTAAATTAAATTAACCAATATAAATAGAACCTTATACTCGTAGGTATAAGGGAAAATTCAATTTGTCACTAATGTACAAGTAAGTAAGTCAATAATAACATATGTATCACTTTGAGAATCATACGATCCTTAAACGAACCACTGGCGCGGGTTTCCGATGAACCGCGTGCGACCTGAAGATCGTTTCCCATGCACTCACTGCCACACAGCGACACACTATCACTTATTAATTATTAAACAATAAAAGCGAGTGGCGGCGCCCGGCAAACCTCCACGTAACCAACCCGGCCGCGTGTGCCGCATAACGCGCACTGCCTCTGACCCAGTCAGTCGTTTTCTTACACCCTAAATGCAAAAATAAAACAAAACAAAAATTACATAAACATAAAAAAGTGATGTGTGGTGTATTGGTGCTCAATTCCTACATCTACATCTACGTCTATTAAAATAAAACATAGGTAATGATAATACTAGGTTATGTTCAGAATTAATTTCGTGAAATATCAAGCGAATGGAAACCCGTTATTATATTTCCATTCGTTTCCTGCAATAATTTATAATTACACGCCAAGTGGAATATAATTTTATGCAATATGCCTGCTGGCCGAATATTTACCCTTTACCGGCGAATAAAAAATCATCCTGTATATGAACATTTATGCGCGGTTCCCACAACCAGCAGCTCTCGGGGCCGGGCCACCGAAAACTGCCGTTATTAATAATAAACAATTAATATAACCGTCTTGAAACTAATAAAATTTTATAACGCTCGCCGTGGATCATCGCTCTGCGCGCCTCCAGTTATATTGATTAATATAATATTTCGTAAAAGCTAGAAAGTGCCCGGCCCCGGCACTGACCGCTCCGCGCGAGATCGATATATGACCAGGCGGAAGAATGTCGACGCAATTTAAACTGCTCACTCAAAACTTAAAGTTTCATCAAAAAAAAAATCAAAAAAATTCTCACGTTGATTACTAAATTAGATTCTGGTATCAAACCCACGGTAGACATATTTGTTGACTTAAGTATGATAATTTGACAAATGACTATCTGCTCACCCGACGCTGATTGAGATAGAATAAAGCAATTATGCGTACGAGTAGTAAGCGAGCAATTCATCATCCAGTTTCTCTCCACATCAACATCAGTAATTCCCTTTCGTGGGCATTGTTGCGCTGAGCGTAATAGACGCACACGCGCATGTTATACTTCTAGGTTAAGTCAATACCTTAACCTAACTTAACCTCGCGAAAGTAATCGGCGTTCGGCGAATCGATTCGACGCAAACCTGTTGTGTTTATGGCCGCAAACAAAACAAACGCGTACGCGCACACTCATAACGCCTTTCTCATTATGCGCAGGAACAATGCTGGAGCTGTGGAGGAAACGATTGGACATCTCGTCTATGAGCTTCAAGCACGAGGATCCCACCATCTTTGCGCGCAGCCAGGTGAGTGCTATTTGCAAATGCAATTGAACGTTTTACGGCCGACTGTAAATCAATCATTGTGTGGATGTTAATAAACGCATTCCACCACAGACTCTAAAAAACATTTTCTACATTTCAGTGGCAGAGGAAAAAAGACCCGAATGCATTCTATCTGGCGTATCGGGTTGTAATCACGACGTATTTGGTGATTGCTTGGATTTTATCCATGATAGATTCAGATAATCTGCATGAACCTTATATTTTTCATCTGAAATGGTTGATTTATCTGACTAACTGGGGATTCACATGTTGTGTATTGCAAGCATTGGTTTGTACCATTATGCTGGTGGCGAGATATGCGAAAATGCGACGGGGTGGACTCAATTCTGATCCGGATCTTGTGCCTAATGTACGCCTGTATAAAATCTACTGGTTTTGTTTCACTATTAGTGTTGACCTTGGGATTGCAATCACTTTATTGTATTGGATTGTTATATTTAATCGTAAGTTATGATTTTTTTCTATTTTTAACTGTTTTAACACTTTAGTCACAGGTTTTAGTCACGGGGTGGTTAAAGTGTTACTAAGCGCACTAGTTACTGAATATTTAAGGGTTTAAAAGTGTTTTTAATGAAAAAATTTCCACAGCTGATAAAATGGAGATTGATTATCTGAACTTTAGTCACGGGGTGGTTAAAATGTCACTTAGCGCACTAAATACTTATTATTTAAGGGTTTAAAAGTGTTTAAAAGTGTTTTTAATGAAAATCTTCCACAGCTGATAAAATGGAGATTGATTATCTGAACATCCTGGTCCATTGCACCAATAGCATCGCAATGGTGATAGAATTGTCAGTGGTTGCACATCCGGTTCGTCTTGGTCACTTCTACGTACCTGTGACATCCGGTTTTGTCTACACACTCTTCAGTTTCTTCTATTATCTAGCTGGTGGTACATCAAGGTAAATTTCAAATATAACCTCAAATCATTTTTTCTTAATTTTAACCTAAAATTTCTTCGTAGAGTTGATGAACCCTACATTTACCCACCTGTAGACTGGCGTAAACCCGGCCAAGCTCTCCTCGTATGCTTCGGAGCCTGTATCCTCTTGATGGTCATCCATGTTGTGACCTATGGTGCCTACCGCCTTCGCCTCGCCATCGCCAAACGTATAAAACTCACCGATGACGAAGCCACTATCCCCGTTGAAGATCAATTCCGTGGGTTTGATAATAACTGCCTAGCCAACGACACAGTCTAGTCCCGTAGTGCTTCGTTTGGTTATCCGTCCAATAATCAGTATTAATCTCTAGTATATCCACACACCATTTTAATTCTACTATGCAAAACCAAAGCAATTCAAGTCAAGTTTTACCCTACTACGTAAGAGAGTGATAAAAAGTCTGTAAAGTTCCTTGAAGTTCATCATAGTCATTAGAACCTAAATAAGATAAGTAAGATAACTAGTGTGATAGATTGTTGACTTTTGAAATGAGACCTATATAAGCGTTAAGTAATGATTAATAAAGTCGTAGTTGAGTTACATCACAATTCAGAGTTTCGGACGGGCGAGGGTTCATTGATTCGCATTTCGGCCTTTGGGATGCACACAGGTAGAGATTCTGTGCGTGTGTGTGTGTGGGTGAGACCTGTGAGTCAACTTTCCGGCGATTTCTCGAGACTTCTTGAGAAGTCCGTCGATTGCCCCCGAGGTGCATAATGTTTTTTTCTTTAGTGAAGTTCAAAGCTCACTCCACTTACTTACTCCAGTAAAATAAAAATTAAATAAATGCCGCTAATCTTGATTTAGGATAAGGATAAGATTAAGAGGTTTTTCTGAAGATGAAGTAGATTTGAGTAGAAATGGTTGAAATTCGCATGTTGTGTAGCGTTGCATCTTGATCTTAACTTGACTTAAGTTGAGTCAAGTGAGTCAAGTTCCGGCGCTTCGCCCAGTACGGCTACTACTCTGCTTCTGCGCGTCTACCTGTGCGTATACCATACCTGCGACCACCGCACATGAAGAGTATTTCATCTTTGTCTTTTACTGCGGCGTCTCTGTCTGCGTTGGTTGGTCAAGTACGAGAAACGCATTACGATTTGCGAACGCGCCGCGGCAGTTCGCAGCCCGCGACCCGTGGAGCAGGAGGTGTGAGTTGTGCGGAGGAGCTTCGAGAGTGGAGAGGTGCTCGCAGGCCCCGCACTCAAGTGACTTAAGTGAGTGAGTGCAGTAAGTGTGTGTGCGACTGTCGCCAAAGCTCTGGATTACTAAAGTGATGCATCTAGTGACTTAAGTGCTTAAAGACACATATTCGCGCAATGATGGTTTATCCTGACCCGCAGTGGACGTGTCCTTCCACCACGCCAATGTTACAACTCTACGATGAGTCCTATCGAGGTAACCATTCAAAATATCACATTTTTGAGTTATTTATATAGATGTGTAACACATATACATGAACACACTGTATGTATGCATGTGTGTTGGTGTCTTGAGCGCGCTGGTTCTCACGGTGCCACTGCTCTCGCGCACGCAGGGCATGTCGCGCTTTGTGTAACGTGTTTTTTTTCCGTGTGCCGGGCTGAATTAAAATCGTTGTCGTGCAAAAGTGGACATTGCGAGTCATCCAGTTGTCCATCGATGACGAGCGGTCAAAGGCTCGCGCGGTGGCAGTGGGAGGAACGCCCCGGTGCAGAAACACTGACGTGACATAGCCAGACAGCAAAAAGTCGTGTGTGCGCGCGCGAGCGCGGCATAAATTTGGTTCGAACTGTAACTGGGACCATTAAAACGTTTAAAAACTGGCTCCGCGACCGTGGACGCAAAAGGCGCGCCGCGAGTCAACTCTCCTTTAATCAGCACACAATGCTTTGTCTCTGCCCGAAATGCGCTTCCCAGAAGCGATTTGCTCTTATATGTCGTCTTGCATTTTCCAGTCAACGTGGTGGAAGCGCTGCAGGAGTTCTGGCAGATGAAGCAAGCCCGCGGGGCGGATCTACGCAATGGTGCGTTGGTCATCTATGAATCCGTACCGTCCAACACCCAACCATACGTCTGCTATGTTACTCTACCAGGCGGCTCCTGTTTTGGGAGTTTTCAGGTAACCATGTTAATTTCTCCTTCAAATACTTCTTCAAAAGTTAATATTTGTCTTTGACGACTTCCCAGAATTGTCCCACAAAGGCCGAGGCACGTCGGAGTGCCGCCAAGATCGCGTTGATGAACTCCGTCTTCAATGAGCATCCATCCCGACGTATCTCCGATGATTTCATTGAAAAAGTCGTAGGTGAAGCAAGATCCACCCTCAAATCCACATCCAATACTTCATCAGAAGACACTTCGGATGAAGGTGATCCCAATCGGGGAATAGGCGCGTTTCGCTTCATGTTGGAAGCTAACAAAGGAAGAACAATGCTGGAGTTCCAGGAGTTGATGACAGTCTTCCAACTGCTTCATTGGAATGGGAGTTTAAAAGCCATGAGGGAACGACAATGTAGTCGACAGGAGGTTGTAGCTCATTACTCCAACAGAGCTTTGGATGATGACATGAGATCTCAGATGGCTCTGGATTGGATCGCCCGTGAGCAGGAGACTTCCGGAGCCCTGCGAAGGGAACTCACCCAAGCGGAAAGAGAACTGGAAGCTGCTAGATTGGCTGGAAGGGAGTTAAGATTCCCCAAGGAGAAGAAAGACATTCTTGTGCTTGCGCATAGTCAGCTTAATGTCAGTTGAATGAAGTGTGGACCTGGAGGTTCGTGTGATACCAGCGCCAAATGAAGAAACAATGCATTTCTTTTTTCTTTAGCTGATAAGTGAGACTGCACGACGAAACTAATGCAAGTGGTTGGTGTGTGTGTGTTCGTGGAGTTTTGAGCGTTTGCGACACCACAAAGACAAAGCGAGAGCGTGCACGCAAGAAACACGTTACTGCGCCTGCTTGCGCTGCGCCGGTGAAGAAAGAAGTGCAGACGAAACAGCAGCCACGCTGCCGGCTGTTGCGTTGTTGATTCTTGGCTGTTGCCGCTTGACGAACGCCGGCTGCCGCGCGCTTCTTCTTCTTCTTCGCTGCACGCGGCCCCGCTTCGGGTCATGGGAAGAACGCGGGTCGTCGGAAGTCGGCCATTCTTAAATCAACGCATTGTCCGCGACGCGAATGATAGATGTGTGTGCGAGCGAATGTTCGTTTTGTTTTTGAAGCGATCTCATAGATGTTTAATTTACTGCATTGCTGCATAATTTATTATATCGATTTCGATTTTTTTTTTACTTTCTTACTTCGTATGATAGTTTAACGGCGTGTACAGACTTTAATCGCTATGTATATAACACTTTTTTGATTGATTTATTGACGTACGCATGTGATGCGCTATTATTTAATAAAAAAACACTTTAAACATTTCCTGTGGCGTGTTTTTTCTTCTTTTAACTGTTAAGCTGTTGATAATATAGCAATTTTAACTTAGCAGTGTGCATATAGGTTTTAAAATGGCATTTCAGCAGGATTTGTGTGCAGGAAATTCAAATATTTACAATGTGTCACACAGTAAAGATTTAAATATTGATAAAATTTAAAATGCATGTAAAAACTAAGAAAATAAAGTCTAGAATCAAAATTGGGCATAAGGCATTATTAATAATAGTGTTTTAAAGTACTATTGTTTAAATATTTAATTATTTATGTTGTTACAAATATTTGTGTGTCACTTTGTATTAACCGTCAATGTTAGTTTCGAAATGCGGCTGCAGATGTCAGCACCAATCAGAGCACAATATATTTTTGCTTTAAATTTTAAATTATTTTAAAAACAAGACATAAAATATATCTAATTATTGTTATTATATTTATATTTTGTTTTACGTTGATTTATTTGGTGATTTTTATTTGATTCTTATTATTTTAATATTTTATAAATAATTCTGAAACCGTACATGCAGCGACACCTAGCAGTCTTTTTAAAAAGTAAATAAAATCATTTTTAGTTTTTAAACTCTTTGCGCGTCAAAATAGTACTTGTAATTGTATTTTATAGCTAAAATATTAATGTAATTTATTATTTTATATCTTAAAAGTATTAATTCAATATGATTGCTTCTTTTTATTTATTTTGTTTGATAACCCAGCGCCGTATGTTGGAGTTTGACGGAATCAAAACAGTACACATCCTTCGTTTTATGCGCTGATCCGCCCCCCGGTTGTAATCATAATCAGTTGTGAGTGTTTAGCGTAAGAGCGTTTACTGCCTGCGGCGCGTTTAATGCCCTAAACGGCCCCAACGCACCGGAATCTCCCAATACGCAAAAATCATCACCGGCCAGTGCGACCACCCTGCGCGAGTTTGTGCTCTGCGTGGTGCAACCTGCGATGAAAGTGCCCCAGCGAATATAAACCATGACCGTCGCGTTTAACGATTACTTTTGGGTGAGTGTACGCCACTGTGCTTTTGTTTATTGCTCGCTATGGTAAATAAGCTATGGGATAACATCATAATGCGCTGCGTCACTTGCGACGATTCGCATTTGTTTCTAACAAGCGACAAGCAAACAACTAGGTTATGTTCAGTAATCAGTAATCCAATACGATTTACTTTTATAACACACGTAACGAATGCATTTAGCACCGGCAATTAATCGAAGAACAAACAGAATGAACTGCTTAATACGATCCACGTGAGCGTTTCAATGCGCAGTAATAGGATATGGTATTAATTCAGCTATAAAAACTTGTTTGCAGTGCAAACTTTAAACAGTCATAACCCTAGTTATAGTAGATATCTATGCGGATAATGTTCAGTTGGCAGGAAAGTATTAAGTTGGAGTGCGTGAAAATGTTACGGGTTTCTTCTTACAACAACGTAAGCCAATTATTATTGATTATTTTCTATGCGTTGAATGCATTCATTGAACGCAACGAAGCGCCGACGAGTTTAACTTTAATCTGTGTCCTTCACTTCACTGCCAGTCGAATCAGAGTCCGAGTTTTAACTAGTTTAATGTACTTGTAACTTGTGTTGTGTTGGGAGTTGTGATTTGTTGAGTGCATTCATTGATTCACCAACAGCACAACAAGTTGCATTCATTGCATTATCAACATGCGCATTAAATATTAAATATTTTTATTAGTTAATTCGGAAGGGTGTAGTTTAGGCTTTTATGGTTTTGAATGTTTTGTTGGACATGTTTGGATAAACTTATCAATATATAATATGTGTGTTGAGTTAACAAGTTAACATTGTAGATAAGACTGTTACCACATTGCTGCTGGTATGTTCAACAGTGATAAACCGGTGTTAATTTCTGATTAGGTAATCAATTTCGTTCCCGGAATACATTTTTATGCACATGTGATGTTTGTTTTATTTTCTCGGGTGTTTTACGGTGCTTAAATGGTTGTAAAAGTTAGAATAACTGATATTTTGGTTTGATTTAAGTTTAGAGTTGTTAGTTTGTTCAGTATTTTGAAGTGTAGAAGGTTTGAATCATGTTTGAGTAGTGAATTTTAAGATATTTCAATTTTTAAGCAAACAAATGATGAATTTTAGGATATTTTGTTGTTTTTATTATAAAAATTAATTATTTCTAGACAAATATCAGCAAATCTTGAGTAAAAGTAAAAAGCGACTAGAAATATTGTTATATTTAGAGTTTTTGGATGTTTGTTACTAATCAGCGGTGGTTATACAGCAAAAAATGGAAATAACGTGGAATTTTTGGCAATTTTTGGCGTTTATTGTGAGAAATGAGCAGAAATTAATTATAATTAAATAAATTATTAATTTGCGCGACCAAAATTGAACCGGGGACAAAATATAGAGAAAAAAGGAACCTAGACCTTTATACCTGCGCCCTACCCGCAAAAAGTGGTGGGGATAGTTGGGAGACCGCGCTAGGTACTCCACTAAGGGTACAGACATCTTTAAACATATTTAGTCCCAAAAGGACCCTTAATTAATAAATTTCACGCAAATAATCTCACAAATTTCACTATTTTTCCCATTGACCAAGCCCACCACCGAAAACAAACACACAATTCAATTAAACCCTAAATGTCACTATAAATTACGTCTATTATAGCATTTCAGCGAGAACAATGTACATATTATAGCCTCAGTGTATCCAAGAAAACAATATTACTCGAACTAAAACAATAAAGGCATGGCCGCTGGCATAAACAACAAAAATCGAACACCTGAACACGAAGCTGTTGAAAACGCACAATAACGAGTCAATTTTCCGTAATTTGCGTCGATGTCTGATGAATAATTACGATATAATTGCGCGAACGTATACTATGACCACATCCAGCACTTGTTTTTTGAGGCCAGGTTCTAATTAAGAGTCTCTCCTCGCCAATGCGCTTGTAATTACGTAAACGCAGTTGGACGTCAGACGTCGGCACTTTCTTACACTTACCTTAAACACGCGCACGGCGATGTTCTGTTTGATATTTCGTGTGAATTTCGACCTTTCGTAGCATATATTGATCTTGCTCCTACTTATAAATAACTAAACGGTAACTTTCGGTAGTTTACTAATACCCATCCGGATGAGAACGTTTAGAAGATACCGGGGATATCGCAGACAACGTGTTAGTTTAAATTTAAAAATTTAAAATTTAAATTATTTTAATACTATGTGGTTTTGAGTGATTTTTTAATTTTATACAGGGCGATAAAAACAATGGGTTTGATGTCCTCTACCATAACATGAAATATGGCCTTGCCGCGAGTAAAGAACTTGCGGATTTCTTCCGGGAGCAGTCCAGCATCGAAGAAAACAACTCCAAATTCCTAGCGAAATTAGCTAAACAAGCTGGGAGTTGTTGTACACAAGGTACCTTCGCTCCATTATGGGCCGTTTTGAAAAACTACGCGGAGCGCTTGGCTGCGCTCCATCTACAAATGGTCTCCAAGGTGATGGAATTGGTCAAGGACGTAAACAAGTACTCCGAAGAACTGGCCAAGAAGCACAAGTTGGTCAAAGAGGAAGAGTCTGGGACCTTGGAAGCAGTACAACTGATGCAATCCACAACCCTCATGGTCCAGAAAGCAAAGGACGTGTATAATCAACGCGGGGCTGAGTTAGAAAAACTCAAAAAAGAGAACGCCTCACCTAAAGATGTCGAAAAAGTGGAGAGTAAATATAAAAAAGCACAGGAGGATTACAGAGGGTTTGTTGATAAGTATGTAGCGGCAAAGGACGCGTTCGAGGCGAAGATGACAGTGACCTGTAGACATTTCCAAGAGTTAGAAGAGCAACATCTTACTCAGATGAAGAATTTTATCAATACGTATGTACAGGTAGCGCATGCAACTCATGAAGAAGCAGGGGAAGTACAGTCTGACTTCAAGAGACAATGTCTTGAGTTGACTGTTGATAAATTACTGGAACACTTTGTATTGAGCAAGTATACTGGACTTGAAAAACCAGGTTAGATTTGTTAGATTTTCTGTGTTTTTTTTTGTGTTGTATTACAGGAAACTTTACTTATAGGTCTAGTCGATTGGGAAGAATCCTCCCAGCAGTTGCAATCGCCAGTGCTGGACGCGGAACCACCTTCGGCGTTGGCGACTGCTGTCGGAGCAAGTGGTGGCGCAAAAGCCGTGAAGCGCGAAGGTAATGAGAGCAATGTAACCGGGACACAGGCCATGCCAACACATGCAAAATCATCCCGCCGTACAACCTCCCTTCTTAATCTCTTCATGTCTAACTCGCAGGGTATGTGATGACCAATCGTGGGGCGCGCGCTCTCTAAAACTAACCCTTGGGTCTGTTGTGTTTGGGGGGCTGTGTGATTGCAGGATCGCGCGAAGGCCGAGCGGGGCCGAGCAGCGCGCCGTCGAGCCCGACTAATCCTGGAGAAATGACGCGCGGCGTGCAGCGTGGATCGAAATGTAATTGTTTTAGACACATTAGCCACATTTACCTCTCTCTTTATATATAATATATGCTCATGCCATGTTTGCTTCTTTAATGTAAATGACTGGACTCGTTGGCTATTTTTGCTTAGTGTTGCACCGATAGATCTCTTGATTCCCGAGCAGTGTTGGCGGGTGCCTGCCCCATCCCAACCAGTTTGATTTTTGAATTTTAAGCTACTCTTAACACACTTTTTACACACACTCGCCACACTTTAATCAAGTCAACTAATTGCATAATCTTTTTTATTCACGTTTAAGATCTTGGTGTTGTGTTTTAATTGATTGATGTGGATGTAGGGTTTCTGAGGAGTCGACGGGACAGGGCCAGGCAGAAGAAGGCGAATAAAAAGAAGAAGGATGGCACGGACAATCAAAGCAATAAAGAAGAAAAATCAGATTTGTACGATTTTTCATTTTCACTTTACTTATGTTATTTTATTTACATTAAAAAATCTTATAGGGAAGAAAAAGAAGAAACGAGAAAAAGTCAAACCCTCGTTGAACGAGACCCTGATGCACCCGAAGTAGATGAAGATGGTTTCGTCGTGCAGCCAACCACGCCTGCCAATTGGACCAATGACAAAGGCAGTTTCTATTCCTCATCGGATTCCGACTCTGATGATGACCGGGAACGAAAAATACGCGTTGAAATCAAACCGTTGAACAATGGCGCCGCTCCCATGTCCGCATCCGTCGATGAATTACGCGCCACTGTCGAGAATCTTTACCTGCTTCCGGCTGGCGGTCGTCGTGGTTCAGCGCTCGACTCCCAAGACGCTGCGATGAAACGCTCGCAATCCGTTTCGCAACAATTAGGTGGTAAACCAAGCAGTGACCTACTGGGCTTAAACTTTCAAAGTCCGGCACAGTCCAATGCTTCCACTCCGACTAGCACTCATCCGTACGCTCCTTTACAAAGCCCTTCACAGCCCACACTAAACTCACCAACTTTATCAGCTTCTTCGAGGTATGCCGATCTGGGGGATATATTCTCCGAAGTCGGGGAGATACAGCCCGCGCCTAAACCTCGCCAGACCCCGACTCCCACCAGTGGGTACATGTCTATTCCGAGACCGCCTTCGAGGAGATCCGAAGCTGCCACACCGCGTGGTCATATCAGTCCGTCGAACATCTCGAGGGCAGATAGCGTGGGTAGTCTTGAGTTTCGTACTGCTTGTGTACCAGTAGGGGTATCCAGAGGGCCTTCACCGTTGACCATTGGAATGGCGGATACTATCCCGCTAGCTGTCGCTTTTCATGAGATTGTTCATTCGTATTTCCGTGGGGCGGATGAGACAAAGTGTCAGGTGAAGATGTCTGGTGATATGATGCTCTCGTTTCCTGCGGGGATTGTTACAGTGCTGGCGAATAATCCTAATCCAGCCAAGTTGACCTTCCGCGTGCATAATACGCAGAAACTTACTATATTACCGAATAAACAATTGGTTACAATGTAAGTTTTAACCTACAGATATTTCATACTAATTTTTAATTTAAATTTGTATTATGTAGTGATGGTAGTCAATCAGCGGTTGACTCAAAATTCCTCGAGTTCAACATGACCGCGCTAAGTGCCCTATTAAAGAAGCAGTCTGAGCTGAACCCGACTGCTTCGTATTTCAACGTGGACATCCTAAAATATCAAGTTAGTTCCAAGCACATTCACATGTCTATATTAAATTTATATGGATTTTTTGTATATTTTTAGATTAAACCGAAAACCGGGGCGAATTCTTGTCCGCTCCAACTAGTGGCTTACTGGAAGTGTGAAGAAGCTCACACCGACTTGAAAGTAGACTACAAGTACAACTCGCATGCAATGAGCTCGGCTTCACCTCTATTGAATGTCTCAGTGACTGTTCCTGTTGAGGGTGAAGTCAAGTCCAACCAATCTAAACCAGCCGCCATTTGGTAAGTCTTATAAAAATCGTTAATTAAAATTTAAACGCATGCATCATAAACTGGGTGGTTTCACCAGGAACAGTGAATCGAACCAATTGGTCTGGAAATACACCGAATTATCTCTGCACTCGGAAAACCACGGCGTGGGTTCGATGCTCGCACGAATTGATCTAGATTCTGGACCAACGAAACCCACAACTATTTCGGCACAGTTCAACTGCGAGGGTACTACGCTATCAGGTATTGGTTTCCATCTGCAGGGAGCTGGATATCGGCTCTCACTAGTCAAGCGCCGGTTCATCTCAGGACGGTACATATGCGAAGGTGATTTGAAATTCTCCAGCGCTGGGACTTCCGGGACAGCCACTCCGTCGTCGACGACCAGCACCACCGGCAACTGCTAGCATTCCAGCTTGACGACATATCAAACAGCACTCTACACGCTAGTGCTGTAATTATATCGAATTCTAGGACCTAAACGTAAACCTGACACATTCAAACTACACACACACACGTAAAACGCTATAAATAATATACAATAATCGATTTAACGACGACGAGATACACAAGAAATAATGATCTAGGCGATCCGGGGACGACCCGGGATGTAATTGTAAGTATTTTCATGTTACGAAGGCGTATATTATATAGTTTATGATGCTATTTTATATAATCCTGTCATTTTCGGCGTTTCGTCGTTTTGTTAGCACCGCGATAGGTAGGCGTAGGATAATGTAGGGAGAGCAGGTAGGATTCGTACATTTTTACTTGACGCCATATTAAAACTAAACTATATAATATATTCGAATAAGTTTAATGTCCCTATATAGCCTATATATCTGCCTATAATTATAGTATGGTACAGCTCCGTCACAAATCACACAGACAGAATTATGATCAGTTTTCCAAAATGGAAATCGTACGAAAGTACCCCACACACGGGGTACCTTCGTGCATAGTGTGGGTACTTTCGTACATGATGGGGTACCTTCATACAGTCAAAGAAAATAAACAATTGTTGATTAAATTTAATCATTTATTGAGATCAATTTAACACAGAATCAGCATTTTTGTATTAAGAACCAAGATATATTATTTAGGTATTCATAGGTATCATATAATATGCATTTGCTTCATTATCAGTCTTTGTAGTTTTCTTTTGCTTCTTTAAATTAAATGACTCTTTCGATTGAGATTTCCTCTTTATTGAAGATGCGTTATCTGCATCTAAGACAAGATGTAGAGCTTTGATGGCCTTAGCTTTTTGTTTTTTCTCTTGCACTTGCTTCTTCAATAGTCTTCCTTTTTCTATTTCTGCCAGTCTATCTTTTCCGGAGTATCAGTGTAAATTCTAGATTTGCCTGGTAGCTTTCCTTTCCTTGTTTTCTTTATTGAATCTCTGTCCACTCAGTTGAAAACACCTGATTTGACGTAAACTTGGAAGTGAACGCACGGGTAGGCATATTTTCGGCAGCTTCTTGTTGATGAAACTTTTTCAGACGACTTTCGAGTGTTGTTGGTTTGACGCCATATTTTTGTGCAGATTTTCTAATAGATAATGTCTTATCCAAAACTTCTTTTATCGCCGATTCTATTGCACCTTCATCTACCTCTCCCGTCCTCGTCCCTTTTTAATATATATTCGCGGCATGGTTCTGTAACAATATTAGATTTTACTGAAAAATAGATACATTTAAATGTCCAGTCAGGCATCGGGGAGCATTCGTACACGTACGAATCTACCCCACCCCTACCTGTACGAAGGTTCCCCAACACCAAAAAAAACAATTAATATCGAAAATAAAAATAACCGCTGAAACTGGGCCAAAATCTATATTTACATGCTAAACTAAGTTATTCCTTCACAAACTGTGTACATTCACTTTTACAATGTTACGACTACATAATTTTGATATATTAAGCTAATTTTAATAATGTTACGAACGTGTATTGTGCAAACGACGCTGAATTCGATGGAATTCACGCAAAACAAAAGACTATTTGTTGACAAACTCAAGTTTGTTTCACTTTCACCCTGGCTTTTACTTATAAATTACAGATTTTATTCGTTTTCTGCAATTATCTAGCATTTGTGCAATTTTTATTGCATATTTCATAATTATATCATAAGTTAATGATAATTAATTGTTAATTTTATTAATTACGTTGCATATGAGTACAATACATGCATCTGATAAATATTTGCAGAATACACAATTGGAATTGTTTTGTTAACAATAATTCATATAAATACGCTTGAGTTTATTTCCTTCCATTCAGATTCAAACAATTCCGATTAATACTCGATAAAATGAAAGTTAATACAGTGCTGCTGTTGATAGCAACAGTGATATTATTGCAATGGAATTCTTGTTATGGTGATCATTCCTCTACATCGTCGTGTTCGTCCTCTTCTTCATCATCATCCGGTAAAGATTTTTGAATTTTTAATGTTTAATTTTGTATTTGAACAGTTTGAATCCTGTTTTAGGTCACCACTGCATTAATTGTCTTATATATTACTCTAAGGAGTATTGTAATTCTATTGGGAAGGATCAAATTGAAGCTACGTGTTATAGATGTTCGGCTTGTGTAGACCGGAAGCCATGCAATTGTTAATTTTGCTCTACAAGATGGTGTAAGAATTGCAATCTCTTATTTTACATTTCAAACATTTCAAAACAAGAAATAAACTCGAATCATTTTCGAAACACGTATGTTTTTCGCTGATTTATTAACGTTAATCTTTTATTACTTGTTAATCTCTTTTGTCCGTGTTTAATTGCGTAATTTTTGTAAACAATTTACTTAAACGTCACGTACAAATAGGAAATATACCTGGTATAAAAAGCAGGTTCTACTTTCATTTCTAACACAATTTTATAATATTTAATTCAGCCATCGTAATAGTAACAAAATCAAAATGAAAGTTACATTTGGGTGTTTGTTACTTGCCACAATTGTTTTGTTGCAATTGAGTGCGGCAAATGCTTCAAAAGAAGAAGAAAAACTAACTATTGGTACGTTTAAATATTCAATAGTTTTAAATCATAAACAAGTAATTTATATAATTAGGTAAACCAATATCATGTGTGTTTTGTAAAAAGTATTGGTCTAAAGAAGAATGTGCGGCACTTGGAAAGGATCATTTTGAAGGAGACTGTCAGAAATGTTCAGCTTGCGTGGACAGAAAACCAAAGAAATCTAAAAAATGTCACGGTAATTAGCATTGCCTGATTAACTCCGATTAATGAAAATGTTAACTATGATTTATAAAATGTAAGTACATTGCAACACACCAGCTATTTTTCTACAATGTAACAAAGAATTCTACATTTTCCACATGTAACATGCAATAAAGAGTGTTAATATTTAAAAAGCAGGCGTCCTCATTAAGTTTGCTATAAAAGATGGGAATTATTTTTATTCAAATCATTTACATTTGTTGCATTACTTTAATGTCTTGTATTTAAACCAACTTAAAGTAAAATGAAAATTATTATTGTGTGTTTGTTAACATTGACAACCATGCTGTTGCTGCAGCCATGTGTTTTGCAAGCTGACAAATGTAAACTTCTAATAACAACAAAACTGTTGTGGATTGCTCGTTTTCATTATTTTCTTTATTTATTAGATGGACCATGTATAAATTGTTTTGCATATTATTCCAAAGAGTACTGCGCCACCTTGGGAAAGGACCAAATTGAACAAACCTGCCACAGATGCTCAGAATGTGTTGATAAGCCCATTAAAACTGATTTATCAATCCAGGATGAAAGTATTGATTTAAATAATATTCATATTGTATGCTAAACATTGTAATATTTTTAAATTTGTTAAACTTAGTATCGAAAATAAACCTGTTTTAAGTTTTTAATTTTCATATTGAACTTAGAAACATCATTTACTATTTTGTGGCTACCATTTTATAGCTCAAGATATCCTTCAGACGCTCTAGGTGTTAATTGACAATATGTAGTGGATACAAAAGTGAAAATACGTGAAAACATTAATTATTGATTATGACTAGTATCTGTCGCATTCATAGATGGCACTAGGATGCACTAAAAATCATAAAATCGAGTTATACGGCTTATTTTTATATTTATCGACAAACGTGGGCACGAGAATAGTTTTGTATACAATGCTGTTATCTGCGATTTGGTATAAACAACTTTTTTATCGCATGTGTTCCGCGCGCTGTCTCCTAGCGCCGCATCAACTTGCTGCATGCAGCGAAGTCTAGTTTAGTTTAGATCACAGGTAATGTGCCTATTGCAAATTCGCGCACAAGGTCGCGTGCCGTCGACGCGCCGGCTTTGCGCACCTCTTGCTTTCTTATCATATACTGTCCCGTCGTTGTTTACGCAGTTTCGGCATGCACTATCGGTGGATTGCAGCCAGTTTCGTGCCGGTCGCTGGTTAATCCAGTTGTGTTTTGAGAGACTTATATCGTTTATTCGGACTTCAATATTCTAAATTTGTGTTATACTCGAAGATCAATCGACTATTTATTTGTACATTGCGACTATAGTAATTTGTTTAATGTTCGGAAATGCCGGTTTTTGATCGCGTTTGTTATGTATATTACAAGTCACGTGATAGTGGATTTGATAACATTCTTCACTCGGCGTTGTGTTTGGTGTCGGTTCTAAATTAATCGGATATATGTCGCCCCCATGTTGATTCTCATCAAAGCTCCATCAGGCTCGTGTAAGTATTTTTTTTAACTATACAGCACAGATTGTTTATTTTGTGTTGATTGTTAATTATAACATAATTCTATTGTATGAAATATTGTTGTTTCAATTTATGTTTTCGTTTAGTTACAGCACTCGTTGTGCCTGGCAGTCCGATAAGCTGTACACTGGTAAGTTTATAATTCTATTATATTTTTCAGCCAAATTTTTCATTTGTTGTTTATAAACAAGTTTTTGTTTATCACGTACTACCTAACTGTGACACAAATTAAACGACCGGCACGGACACAATTTGGAGATATTCGCAATTCAAAATAGGGCAAAAAAAGAAAAATTGCACTTTTAGTCAGGTTTTTGGTCCTTTTATCCCACGCAATTAAGTTATTTTAAATTTATATTTAATGCAGAATTTTCCATTTTTTTATAACTTTCTATCCGTTCGTCGTTATCGCTTTTAGTTTAAAAGATATGCACTATTATCTTTTATTGTCTCGAATATGTCAAGAACGTTGATTTTTCTTTGTTTATTTAGTTATATTGCAATTAATTCAATTGAATAGTTGAGTCTCATTCGGTTTACCACATCAGGGTGTCAATAGAAGTGACTCGTGTTCACAGCACCGTATGAGAGTAGCGGTAGAAGTGACTCGTGGCACCATAGTTTCTTATAAATTAAAATTTTATCTCTTAGGTTTCCCATTTAATCAGCTTATTTAATAGAGAATTGTCCGTAGATTAAGCATCTGCTTCCTTCTTTTCAATCTCTTTTAATTAACGAAATTTTCGCAATTAAACCAAATCGTCAAAAATTGAAAAATGTCACTTTTTAGCACTTTTAGTCGCGTTTTTCGACCTTTTACTGTAGGAAATATAATTATTTTATATATTTATCTGATAGAGAATTTTCCAATCTTTCATAATCAACAATTCCTTGGTAGCTATCTCTTTTAGTTTAAGAGCTATGAATTTTTGAAAATCGTCCAAAAAAAGTATCAAGACATAAAATTTCATCTCTCAGATTTCACTTTTAACTGTGCTATCTGATAGAGAATAGTCCGTAGATTAAGACGCTGCGATCAGATCTTATTTATCTCTTTTGGTTTACGAGATATTCGCGATTGAATAAAATGGGCAAAAATTGCAAAATGTCACTTTTTAGCACTTTTAGTCGCGTTTTTCGACCTTTTACTGTAGGAAAGCAGACACAATGGTGGAATGAGAAATGCAAGGAATTAGTAAGAAGAAAAACCGAAGCAAGAGACAAATATATGAAGACTGGAGATGACAATGACAAAGAGAACTATAGGAAGGCGAGGAATGAAGCAAACCACGGAATAAGGGAGGTGAAGAATCAATGGATGAACCATAAGTTACAAACCGCTGAAAATCAGATGAAGAACAATAATACCAGAAAATTCTACAAAGACATTAAGAAAATGAATACCATAAAAAGCACCAGGCAAACTACAAAGATGAAGAACAAGCACGGAAAAACAGCAGAAACCGAGGAAGAAGAAAAGCAAATATGGGAAGAATACTTCAAGACAATCCTGACTGAAGACAAGACTCAAAGAAGAAATCTGGGAGTGGGACAAGAAGAAGAAAGGTGTGAAAGAAATGAGCAAATATCAATAGCCGAGCAAGATATAAAAGAAATAATAAAGAAACTGAAGAATGGGAAGACACCTGACCCGATGGAATAAACAATGAACTAATAAAGTATGGAGGAAATCGAGTGGTCAAAGAAATACACGAGTTAATAAATCAGATATGGGATATGGAACATGTACCGGAAGAATGGGGTATAGGAGCAATATATCCAATTCACAAAAAAGGAGATAAACAGATATGTGACAACTATAGGGGCATCACCCTGCTCAACTCCACATACAAGATGCTGACCACAACCATACACAACAAACTAATGGAAAACATCACAATACCTGAATATCAAAATGGGTTTGCGAAAGGAAAATCTACCATAGATGCTATACACATGATGAAACAGATTCTACAAAAACAACTGAGCATAACCAGAAAGTGATAATCATCTTCATAGATTTTAAAAAAGCCTTTGACTCAATAAACCGACAACAACTAATGGGAATTATACACTCGCTCGAGATACCAACAAAGGTAAAGGCAATGATCAACGTTGTCACTGAGAAAACAACAACATCAGTAATTACGAGAAGCGGACAGACAAGGGAATTCGAAACAAATATAGGGATAAGGCAAGGAGACATACTATCAGCAACATTGTTCACAATAGTAATCGAGCACATACTCAGAAATATACAAAGAAAAGGAACATTAAGAAACAAACCACTACAAATAATTGCATATGCTGATGACATTACAGTGATAGCCAAACAAAAGTATCTGCTTGAAGAAACAATGAGGGAAATTATGGAAGAAGGAAGAAAAATTGGACTATACATAAATACGGAAAAGACAAAGGTTATGATCACAGGAGACGATGAAACAAGTTCAATTAAGATAGGAAACCATATGTACGAGTGCGTAAAAACATTTAAATACCTAGGAGTCACCATCAACAAGAAAGGTACAAACACCGACGAAATAGCGGAGAAAATTCAAGCTGCACATAGAGCCTACTATGTCAATAGAAAGTCACTAACAAACAAGACGCTGAGAAGAAAAACAAAACTGGGGATATATAAGACTATTATAAGACCAATTCTGATGTATGCAGCAGAAACACTCACGTTAACAAAACAAGATCGAAACAAAATAGAAATTGCAGAACGAGCAATATTAAGAAAACTTACAGGACCGAACAAAATGGATGATGGCACAATTAGAAGAAAAACCAACCAGGAATTGGAAGATGTAATGGAAGGTGAAAATATCATAAGAAAAATCAAGAAACAGAGACTAAGATGGGCCGGCCATATCATGAGGATGGATCCAGACACAATACTAAGGCAATTAACTGATTGGCAACCAACATCCAACAGGAAGAGAGGAAGACCTCGAGAAAACTGGTTACAGCAAGTCGAAGACGATCTAAAACACCTAGGAATAACGGAGTGGAAAAAGAAAGCAAGAAACAGAAGAAAATGGAGAGAAATTATAAAGCAAATATAGAATACGGTTGATCCGCCGAATAAGGATCTATAAATCTTGAAATTAAGATGGCAATGCCCAATAATTATTTTATATTTTTATCTGATAGAGAATTTTCCAATCTTTCATAATCAACAATTCCTTGGTAGCTATCTCTTTTAGTTTAAGAGCTATGAATTTTTGAAAATCGTCGAAAAAAAGTATCAAGCACCCCCCCTTGGCAATTTTTTTCTTAAGACATAAAATTTTGTCTCTCAAATTTCCTTTTAACTATCCTATCTGATAGAAAATAGTCCGTAGATTAAGACGCTGCGATCAGATCTTATTTATCTCTTTTAGTTTACGAGATATTCGCGTTTGAATAAAATGGGCAAAAATTGCAAAATGTCACTTTTTACCACTTTTAGTCGCGTTTTTCGACCTTTTACTGTAGGAAATATAATTATTTTATATTTTTATCTGATAGAGAATTTTCCAATCTTTCATAATCAATAATTTGTTGGTAGCTATTTCTTTTAGTTTAAGAGATATTAATTTTTGAAAATCGTCGAAAAAAAGTATCAAGCACCCCCCCTTGGCAATTTTTTTCTTAAGACATAAAATTTTGTCTCTCAAATTTCCTTTTAACTATCCTATCTGATAGAAAATAGTCCGTAGATTAAGACGCTGCGATCAGATCTTATTTATCTCTTTTAGTTTACGAGATATTCGCGTTTGAATAAAATGGGCAAAAATTGCAAAATGTCACTTTTTACCACTTTTAGTCGCGTTTTTCGACCTTTTACTGTAGGAAATATAATTATTTTATATTTTTATCTGATAGAGAATTTTCCAATCTTTCATAATCAATAATTTGTTGGTAGCTATTTCTTTTAGTTTAAGAGATATTAATTTTTGAAAATCGTCGAAAAAAAGTATCAAGCACCCCTTGGCAATTTTTTCTTAAGACATAAAATTTTGTCTCTCAAATTTCCTTTTAACTATCCTATCTGATAGAAAATAGTCCGTAGATTAAGACGCTGCGATCAGATCTTATTTATCTCTTTTAGTTTACGAGATATTCGCGTTTGAATAAAATGGGCAAAAATTGCAAAATGTCACTTTTTACCACTTTTAGTCGCGTTTTTCGACCTTTTACTGTAGGAAATATAATTATTTTATATTTTTATCTGATAGAGAATTTTCCAATCTTTCATAATCAATAATTTGTTGGTAGCTATTTCTTTTAGTTTAAGAGATATTAATTTTTGAAAATCGTCGAAAAAAAGTATCAAGCACCCCCCCTTGGCAATTTTTTTCTTAAGACATAAAATTTTGTCTCTCAAATTTCCTTTTAACTATCCTATCTGATAGAAAATAGTCCGTAGATTAAGACGCTGCGATCAGATCTTATTTATCTCTTTTAGTTTACGAGATATTCGCGTTTGAATAAAATGGGCAAAAATTGCAAAATGTCACTTTTTACCACTTTTAGTCGCGTTTTTCGACCTTTTACTGTAGGAAATATAATTATTTTATATTTTTATCTGATAGAGAATTTTCCAATCTTTCATAATCAATAATTTGTTGGTAGCTATTTCTTTTAGTTTAAGAGATATTAATTTTTGAAAATCGTCGAAAAAAAGTATCAAGCACCCCCCCTTGGCAATTTTTTTCTTAAGACATAAAATTTTGTCTCTCAAATTTCCCTTTTAACTATCCTATCTGATAGAAAATAGTCCGTAGATTAAGACGCTGCGATCAGATCTTATTTATCTCTTTTAGTTTACGAGATATTCGCGTTTGAATAAAATGGGCAAAAATTGCAAAATGTCACTTTTTACCACTTTTAGTCGCGTTTTTCGACCTTTTACTGTAGGAAATATAATTATTTTATATTTTTATCTGATAGAGAATTTTCCAATCTTTCATAATCAATAATTTGTTGGTAGCTATTTCTTTTAGTTTAAGAGATATTAATTTTTGAAAATCGTCGAAAAAAAGTATCAAGCACCCCCCCTTGGCAATTTTTTTCTTAAGACATAAAATTTTGTCTCTCAAATTTCCTTTTAACTATCCTATCTGATAGAAAATAGTCCGTAGATTAAGACGCTGCGATCAGATCTTATTTATCTCTTTTAGTTTACGAGATATTCGCGTTTGAATAAAATGGGCAAAAATTGCAAAATGTCACTTTTTACCACTTTTAGTCGCGTTTTTCGACCTTTTACTGTAGGAAATATAATTATTTTATATTTTTATCTGATAGAGAATTTTCCAATCTTTCATAATCAATAATTTGTTGGTAGCTATTTCTTTTAGTTTAAGAGATATTAATTTTTGAAAATCGTCGAAAAAAAGTATCAAGCACCCCCCCTTGGCAATTTTTTTCTTAAGACATAAAATTTTGTCTCTCAAATTTCCCTTTTAACTATCCTATCTGATAGAAAATAGTCCGTAGATTAAGACGCTGCGATCAGATCTTATTTATCTCTTTTAGTTTACGAGATATTCGCGTTTGAATAAAATGGGCAAAAATTGCAAAATGTCACTTTTTACCACTTTTAGTCGCGTTTTTCGACCTTTTACTGTAGGAAATATAATTATTTTATATTTTTATCTGATAGAGAATTTTCCAATCTTTCATAATCAATAATTTGTTGGTAGCTATTTCTTTTAGTTTAAGAGATATTAATTTTTGAAAATCGTCGAAAAAAAGTATCAAGCACCCCCCCTTGGCAATTTTTTTCTTAAGACATAAAATTTTGTCTCTCAAATTTCCCTTTTAACTATCCTATCTGATAGAAAATAGTCCGTAGATTAAGACGCTGCGATCAGATCTTATTTATCTCTTTTAGTTTACGAGATATTCGCGTTTGAATAAAATGGGCAAAAATTGCAAAATGTCACTTTTTACCACTTTTAGTCGCGTTTTTCGACCTTTTACTGTAGGAAATATAATTATTTTATATTTTTATCTGATAGAGAATTTTCCAATCTTTCATAATCAATAATTTGTTGGTAGCTATTTCTTTTAGTTTAAGAGATATTAATTTTTGAAAATCGTCGAAAAAAAGTATCAAGCACCCCCCCTTGGCAATTTTTTTCTTAAGACATAAAATTTTGTCTCTCAAATTTCCCTTTTAACTATCCTATCTGATAGAAAATAGTCCGTAGATTAAGACGCTGCGATCAGATCTTATTTATCTCTTTTAGTTTACGAGATATTCGCGTTTGAATAAAATGGGCAAAAATTGCAAAATGTCACTTTTTACCACTTTTAGTCGCGTTTTTCGACCTTTTACTGTAGGAAATATAATTATTTTATATTTTTATCTGATAGAGAATTTTCCAATCTTTCATAATCAATAATTTGTTGGTAGCTATTTCTTTTAGTTTAAGAGATATTAATTTTTGAAAATCGTCGAAAAAAAGTATCAAGCACCCCCCCTTGGCAATTTTTTTCTTAAGACATAAAATTTTGTCTCTCAAATTTCCCTTTTAACTATCCTATCTGATAGAAAATAGTCCGTAGATTAAGACGCTGCGATCAGATCTTATTTATCTCTTTTAGTTTACGAGATATTCGCGTTTGAATAAAATGGGCAAAAATTGCAAAATGTCACTTTTTACCACTTTTAGTCGCGTTTTTCGACCTTTTACTGTAGGAAATATAATTATTTTATATTTTTATCTGATAGAGAATTTTCCAATCTTTCATAATCAATAATTTGTTGGTAGCTATTTCTTTTAGTTTAAGAGATATTAATTTTTGAAAATCGTCGAAAAAAAGTATCAAGCACCCCCCCTTGGCAATTTTTTTCTTAAGACATAAAATTTTGTCTCTCAAATTTCCCTATTAACTATCCTATCTGATAGAAAATAGTCCGTAGATTAAGACGCTGCGATCAGATCTTATTTATCTCTTTTAGTTTACGAGATATTCGCGTTTGAATAAAATGGGCAAAAATTGCAAAATGTCACTTTTTACCACTTTTAGTCGCGTTTTTCGACCTTTTACTGTAGGAAATATAATTATTTTATATATTTATCTGATAGAGAATTTTCCAATCTTTCATAATCAATAATTTGTTGGTAGCTATTTCTTTTAGTTTAAGAGATATTAATTTTTGAAAATCGTCGAAAAAAAGTATCAAGCACCCCCCCTTGGCAATTTTTTTCTTAAGACATAAAATTTTGTCTCTCAAATTTCCCTTTTAACTATCCTATCTGATAGAAAATAGTCCGTAGATTAAGACGCTGCGATCAGATCTTATTTATTAGTGTTTAGTGGGCGAACGCCATGTCGTAGGACAACCGTTCTTTCATCAAATTATAGGTTTTTACATTATTAATAATTCTCATACATACTTTGTGGGTTTGTCCCTCGGGAAACCTACAAAAATGCCTTTTTATGTTTTTTGGTCGGCTATTTTTGTGGTTTTTAGTATTTAGCTAGTGAACGCCATGACGTAGGATAACTGTTCTATCACCAAATTATAGATATTCAAATTCTTTATAATTCTCATGTATAATTTGTGGGTTTATCCCCCGGGAAACCTACAAAAATGCCCTTTTTGTGTTTTTGGTCGCCTAATTTTGTGGTTTTTAGTATTTAGCGGGCGAACGCCATGACGTAGGGCAACCGTTCTTTCATCAAATTATAGATTTTTAAATTATTAATAATTCTCATATATAATTTGTTGGTTTGTCCCTCGGGAAACCTACAAAAATGCCCTTTTTATGTTTTTTGGTCGGCTAATTTTGTGGTTTTTTGTGTTTAGCGGGCGAACGCCTTATCGTAGGATAACCGTTTTTTCACCAACTTATAGATATTTAAATTCTTTTTAATTTTCATATATAATTAGTGGGTTTATCCCTCGGGAAACCTACAAAAATGCCCTTTTTATGTTTTTTGGTCGGCTAATTTTGTGGTTTTTTGTGTTTAGCGGGCGAACGCCTTATCGTAGGATAACCGTTTTTTCACCATCTTATAGATATTTAAATTCTTTTTAATTTTCATGTATAATTTGTGGGTTTATCCCTCGGGACACCTACCAAAAATCCCTTTTTATGTTTTATGTCGAATATTTTGGTTTTTAGTGTTTAGCAGACGAACGCCATGTCGTAGGACAACCGTTATTTCAGCATATTATAGATAATTAAATTCTTTTTAATTTTCATGTATAATTTGTGGGTTTATCCCTCGGGATACCTACAAAAATGCTCTTTTTGTGTTTTTTGGTCGTCGAATTTTTTGGTTTTTAGTGTTTAGCAGACGAACGCCATGTCGTAGGACAACCGTTATTTCAGCATATTATAGATAATTAAATTCTTTTTAATTTTCATGTATAATTTGTGGGTTTATCCTCGGGATACCTACAAAAATGCTCTTTTTGTGTTTTTTGGTCGTCGAATTTTTTGGTTTTTAGTGTTTAGCAGACGAACGCCATGTCGTAGGAAAACCGTTATTTCAGCATATTATAGATAATTAAATTCTTTTTAATTTTCATGTATAATTTGTGGGTTTATCCCTCGGGATACCTACAAAAATGCTCTTTTTGTGTTTTTTGGTCGTCGAATTTTTTGGTTTTTAGTGTTTAGCGGGCGAACGCCATGTCGTAGGACAACCCTTCTTTCACCAAATTATAGATATTTAAATTCTTTATGATTTTCATATATAATTAGTGGGTTTATCCCTCGGAAAACCTAAAAAATTGCCCTTTTTATGATTTTTTGGTCGGCTAATTTTGTGGTTTTTATTGTTTAGCGGGCGAACGCCTTATCGTAGGATAACCACTTTTTCACCAAATTATAGATATTTAAATTCTTTTTAATTTGTGGGTTTATCCCTCGGGAAACCTACAAAAATGCCCTTTTTGTGTTTTTTGATTGTCGAATTTTTTTGTTTTTAGTGTTTAGCAGGCGAACGCCTTGTCGTAGGATAACCGTTTTTTCACCAACTTATAGATATTTAAATTCTTTTTAATTTTCATGTATAATTTGTGGGTTTATCCCTCGGGAAACCTACAAAAATGCCCTTTTTATGTTTTATGTAGAATATTTTGGTTGTTAGTGTTTAGCGGACGAACGCCATGTCGTAGGACAACCGTTCTTTCAGCATATTATAGATAATTAAATTCTTTTTAATTTTCATGTATAATTTGTGGGTTTATCCCTCGTGATACCTACAAAAATGCTCTTTTTGTGTTTTTTGGTCGTCGAATTTTTTGGTTTTTAGTGTTTAGCGGACGAACGCCATGTCGTAGGACAACCGTTCTTTTATCAAATTATAGATATTTAAATTCTCTATGATTTTCATATATAATTAGTGGTTTTATCCCTCGTGAAACCTACAAAAATGCCCTTTTTGTGTTTTTTGGTCGTCGAATTTTTTGGTTTTTAGTGTTTAGCGGGCGAACGCCTTATCGTAGGATAACCATTTTTTCACCAAATTATAGATATTTAAATTCTTTTTAATTTTCATGTATAATTTATAGGCTTATCCCTGGGGAAACGTACAAAAATGCCCTTTTTGTGTTTTTTGGTCGTCGATTTTTTTGTTTTTTAGTGTTTAGCGGGCGGACGCCATGTCGTAGGGCAACCGTTCTTTCATCAAATTATAGATTTTTAAATTATTAATAATTCTCATACATAATTTGTGGGTTTGTCCCTCGGGAAACTTACAAAAAATGCCTTTTTTGTGTTTTTTGGTCGTCGAACTTTTTGGTTTTTAGGGTTTAGCGGGCGAACGCTATGTCGTAGGACAACCGTTTTTTCACCAACTTATAGATATTTAAATTCTTTATAATTCTCATGTATAATTTGTGGGTTTATCCCCCGGGAAACCTCCAAAAATGCCCTTTTTGTGTTTTTGGTCGGCTAATTTTGTGGTTTTTACTATTTAGCGGGCAAACGCCATGACGTAGGGCAACCGTTCTTTCACCAAATTATAGATATTTAAATTCTTTTTAATTTTCATGAATAATTTATAGGCTTATCCCTCGGGAAATGTACAAAATTGCCCTTTTTGTGTTTTTTGGTCGTCGATTTTTTTGGTTTTTAGTGTTTAGCGGGCGGACGCCATGTCGTAGGGCAACCGTTCTTTCATCAAATTATAGATTTTTAAATTATTAATAATTCTCATACATAATTTGTGGGTTTGTCCCTCGGGAAACCTACAAAAATGCCTTTTTTGTGTTTTTTGGTCGTCGAATTTTTTGGTTTTTAGGGTTTAGCGGACGAACGCTATGTCGTAGGACAATCGTTCTTTCACCAAATTATAGGTATTGAAATTCTTTATAACTTTCATGTACAATTTGTTGGTTTATCCCTCGGGAAACCTATAAAAATGCTTTTTTTGTGTTTGTTGGTCGACTAATTTTGTGGTTTTTTTTTGTTTTAGCCGGCGAACGCAATGTCGTGGGGCCGCCATACTCTGCACTAAATTGTACGGTGCCTTGAATGGGAGTCACTTCTACCGCTACCTTCGCACGGTGTCCTAAATGGGAGTCTTTATGGATCCTGTAAGAATAATTAATTGAATTTATGTATATTTATGTTTCATTTACATAAATATTTTCCAGTTGGATGAAGCATTGGCTATTCCTGAGATGCCCAAGTTTATCAATAAGGAGCAAGTGGAGAGGTTCCGTGGTACTGGTGGACTGCGTATTGAGGATGGTATTCTGATTACTGAAGATGGATGTGTCAACTGGAATAAAATTCCAAGAACGTATGTTATATATTGGCAATTTATAATATTTTATGTTTTACTATTCTGTTATTCATTCTGGTTTATAGTGTCCAAGAAATTGAAGATTGGATTGGTGTTGATGATGATTCCAAATACGATTGAATTTACAACATTTTGAAGCTGATATTGATATCATTTTTATGTATTTTGTTAAAAAGTATGAAAAGATCATTATATAATTGCATATTATTATCCTGTTTTCATGCTTGTATTGTTAAAAATGCTGTAAATATTAAGAAATTGAATTTGTGATTCTACATGTTTAAATAAAATTGTTGTTTTATATATTTAACTATAAATTTTTATTGTTTTATTTGTTCCAAACGGAGAACATTGCTCACAACATCGTTACTCCTTTAATTAATCCATAAATCCCTTAAACATTGATGGAAATGCCACTGCTAGATATGAGAAATAGTTCAAAATCAATTTTATATTGTATCAATATTAATTTAAAAACGGTATCACTAGTGTCATCTATCCACGAGTAACTAAACTACGCCGCTATTCAAGAGATTTAGCCTACTGCACTTTCTGCGATCCTAATATTCAAAAGAATTTTGTTACCAATTTCAATGGATTTCTCGACAAAATTTGTCGAGAAATTTGCTGAAATGTTGCTGCTCATCAGTCTGTAGTATTAGGAACGCAGAAAGTAGACATAGATAGTTCCCGCTAGTTTATTATATATATTATTTCAGTTTGTTTCGGTACATTTTCAATTTTTTCTATAAAATTGCAAATAGGGCCTAAGCATTTAATGCTAGCAAAAAAAATACCAAAATAATTGATGTAGAATTAAATTGTCTATCAGAATTCGAAATCTTAATTTAAAAATTCCAGCTTTTAATTTCGACCATAAAAAAGAGAAATCTTTTGCCATTTTTTTAATAAAATCTTTTCTTTAAAAATTTTTTGTGCCATTTTGATGATTTTTCAATAATGATGCCACCTTGTAGAGAATTTTTCAAGGATCAAGATTATGTAGTTCTTAATTTTCTAGCCCTCTTAGTTGTCGAGATCCTTCAGAATTCGAAAACCGAATTTGCTGAATAAAGATTTTTAAACATTCATTTTACCCGCCATTACTAGTTACCGCCTCTTTTATTTACTTACCTCCTCACCCTTTCTGCGATCCGAATACCAAAACCTGAGTTTCGACTGTTTCGAGTCCAAATTTTGTGTCATTTTGCCTCCCAGAGTCGACAAAATAAAGATTGAATATTAGGATCGCAGAAAGTTGAGAAGGCTGATAAAGTTTCGGCGGTAACTAGTAAGGTGCTGCCTCTAGTGGCGACGGACCGAAGCTCAAAACTTTCGGTTGTTGTAGTTTCTAATTGATAGATGGCACTAGCATGCACTTTTCAAAATAAATGGTTTAAGGGATCGTTAAATATGTGATCAGGTAGAAATAAGAGAAATAATTATAATTTAAAAAACTTAAAAATATTCTTTATTAAAGAAAACACACAAGCATATATTTTTGGAGTCAATTTGTGTAATAATCACAAAAGTTATTTAAGATAATAATAAAGAAAAATAATATTCATAATGTAATCCAGGAATGGTCCTTCTGCAATGTCAGACTCAGATGCAAAATCCCTAAAACAAGCAAAAATTAGTCATTCGAACATAAAAATGCAAATTTGGGGGTCAATTTGTGAGATTATCACAAAAGTTTTTAAGGAAAATGATAAAGAAATTAATTACTTACAATCTGATGCAAGAATGGTCCTCCTACGTTTTCAGACTCAGGTGCAAAATCCCTAAAACCATCAAAAATTAGTCGTTCGAACATAAAAATGCAATTTTAAGGATCAATTTGTGAGATTATCACAAAAGTTATAAAGGAAAATGATAAAGAAATTAATTACGTACAATCTGATGCAAGAATGGTCCTTCTACGTTTTCAGACTCAGGTCCAAAATCCCTAAAACCATAAAAAAATTAGTCCCTCGTACATAAAAATGCAATTTTTAGGGTCAATTTGTGAGATTATCACAAAAGTTATTTAGGAAAATGATAAAGAAATTAATTACTTACAATCTGATGTAAAAATGGTCCTCCTACGATGTCAGACTCAGGTGCAAAATCCCTAAAACAAATAAAAATTAGTCAGTCTACTTCATAAAAATGCAAATTTGGGGGTCAATTTGTGAGATAATCACAAAAGTAATATAAGAAAAAGATAAAGAAATTAAATACCCACAATCTGATGCAAGAATGGTCCTTCTACGTTGTCAGACTCAGGTGTAAAGTCCCTAAAACCAGCAAAAATTAGTCCTTCGAACACAAAAATGCAATTTTGGGGGGTTAATTTGCAAGATAATAACAAAATTTATTTAGGAAAATGATAAAGAACTTTAATACTTACAATCTGATGCACGAATGATCCTTATACGAGGTCAGACTCAGGTGCAAAATCCCTAAAAGCAGCAAAAACTAGTCCTTCAAACATAAAAATGCAATTTTGGGGGTCAATTTGCGAGACATTAACAAAATTTATTTAGGAAAATGATAAAGAAATTTAATACTTACAATCTGATGCAAGAATGATCCTCCTACGATTTCAAACTCAGATGCAAAATCCCTAATGCAAGTCAAAATTAGTCCTTGAAAACACAAAGATATTTGAATTAATTTGATAGGATATTAGGTTTGATCAATCAAGTAATACTTACAGTTAACTTTTTGAAGACAATATCTTGTCCCACACCGCATCATTGAATCATCCCCGATCTTCTTTATATCTTCGATGCACTCCCCATAATGCTTTTATATTTCAAGCAATAATAATCGAACTGAGGTTAGGATGCGATTAGGATGCAACAACGAAGTATAGATGCAATGTTGGATGCGTTGGATGCGAACGGATTAACCACATTTTGATTGTTTTTCAATAAGAATGCCATCCTGAAGAGAATTCTTCAAGGATCACGAATATTATGTTCTTTCTTTTGTAGCCCTCTTATTTGTCGAAATAATTACTATTTATTCTTCGAAATTAGGCTATTCCGACTGAATGTTGAAAATTTAAAAGTTTGAATTTTAAAATTCAAAATAGATGAATTGGTTCAGAAGATATAGAGTGTTTACCACAGCACAAATTTAAGTTTTTTGAAATGTACTTATTACTTACCAACTCAAAAATGACGTATTTGAAAAGGCCTAATGATTGCATAAAATTGCAAAATGCTTACATAAAAAAAACTTTTTACTGTTCTTCCTTCTTGTCTGTTTTTTAATAAATACCCTGTCTTCAAGTCCCTAGAAGCATTCCAATAGCCCTTTGCTTGGCGTACAATTAGTTGCCTATAGTCACCCACAGTAATTTTGTCAAAAAAGCTCAGTTGATGATTATATTTCACGATTACATACAAGTAAATACATAAATCTACTGCAGCTTTATAACATATCTTAAGCATAAGTACAATATATACATAACAGTATTTACACTTTACCTCCAGTTAAAATATTAGATAAATTCCTGCATAAAAATGTCCGCAGATAGTGATTTAGACATCAAAGTTAAAAAATGTAAGTACATGCAAATAAACAAGGGGCGTAATTATGTTGCATTCATACATTATATTACCCTTATTTACAGCAACTGAAAGAATATCTGAAAACATGCATATTGTGGCTAATGAACCATCTTTGGCATTCTACAGACTACAAGAACATGTTCGCAAGGCACTCAATCCAATGGTAGACAGAAAAATGGAAGTGCAAAAGTTGCATACTGAACTAGTTGGTAGAATCTATGACATGGAATATGCCATCAGGTATTACATATTATAAATATTCTTTGCTATACCCTAACTAAATAGGTTCTTTCTTCGCTTTGAGCTTTTTTTTTACAATTTAAAGCATTTTATGCATTTTAGTGCTGTAAAATCAATTGAAGAAATGGAGAAGACATACAAGAGCATTCAGGACAACCTCAAGAGTTGTATCTTCCTCAGACAACAATTAAAATACGAGGAATCTCGCAAGAAAAAACCTGAAACCAACTCAATGTACAAGAGGCTCTCAGCCCACATCACCATTGACTTGCCAGAGATCACCTCTGACATGGCAGATGTAATGCGTGAGACCGCTAATCGTGTCGAGCACATCATCTCTAAATCTACACATACCAACAGCAACAATCAATAATCTAAGAATACATTTACGCCCTTTTAATTAATTTAATTCTAAGTTCCATGCTGTGATTTTATGTTAATATGGTAGTATACCTTATAAACGCGTTTTATACTTACGAATAAAACCATCTGTAATCTAAAAGCGTAACTTACCGGTTGCATTTCTCTACTTGTAGGTTGGTACCACTAGTTTTCAAAAACCCTACACTAAATGAACTCCCCAGACGCTATATGTTTGTGTCTGTCGTTGGTTTACGCTTCGAGTCGCGCTGTCGAGAGTAAAATCCCGTCGTTGCGGCCACGGAAAGATGATCTAACGCGTGTGCTCTCGCAAATCAATCGGGCGCGAGTGTGTTAATCAGCGCCAAGGGTTGTGATTCACCAAAGGGACCTCACGGCCGGCGCGCATCCGTAAGTGGTTGTTGCTGCATCCATACGCGTTCGTGCGTGTTTGACAGTAGACATACATTAAATCATCTGTGCCCAGGCAGGTGGCGGGGGTGTGCATGTGCATTACTTTAATTACTTTATTTGTACCACTTTATCCTGTATTGAATTAACAACCCTCTTAACGTTCAAGCTTGAACACACTTCCTTTGCTGTTGTATGTAGTACATGTTTGTATCACTCTGTAAGAAAAACAAAAGTTGTTTGATCACCATTTATTTCTGGTTTTATTTGCATGCTACACATCTATTTGAATATTGCATCCGTGAGTTTAGAATCACACATCACACGGCTTTGATTAAAAGCGTATATAATATATGTGGGACGTGTGCGTCTATGATCTGGTTCAGACGTAGCGCAGATGTTTCGCTTGTTTGCTCGCGTTTTATCTCTACAATAAACGCTCCAATCAATATTATTGTTTGCTTTCTGGCGTGCGCGTCGATTTCAGCACTTTGATAACGCAACGCAACTGATTCAATAATAGTGTAGATAATACGCAATTGGATAGATAAGAAATGTTCACTTTATTTTCATCTGCTATTTATCCGCGTAATTGCAACATATTTTAAGGTTAGTTCAATTTCCTATGTTAAAAAGACATTTTACGCACTAGTGTGTAAAATATAATTTTATTTACACTGGGAATTCATAACAGGCGCAGTATTTTTATTTGCGTGCACATTAGCGCGTATAATTTACTCGAGCATAAATATTTGCCTCCATGGCTATGATGGAGGCGGCATGCGACGTTCAGAACAAGCGAATTATTCGAGTAGACAAACAGGATTACGCTTCGGCCGCTTTAAGCGATAAAACTTTCCAAAGGATATAGTCGGCCGCCGCCACCTCCACCATCGTCGCCCGAAAATCGCAACGCAAATACGCGCACATTCTGACAGCAAACTTTTAATGAATTAAATTTAAATTAACACGAAAGACAAACGCGCGACAATGGATTCAATTTCGGGGCATATTTAATATGCAAACACAAATATATGTAAAAGGATTGCCGGGGCGGGCGGAAATGAATGTTAAATCCGCATGTCCGACCGGAAATTAGTAGTCTATTGGTGTGACTTCCGGTTCACACCATATTCATATCTCATGGGGAATAATAAACACAGATTTTTAATAAAATTTGCTGTTTTGAGGTTAAAATAATAGCAAATAATGAAATGAAGACCGAAATCTTGTTAGGAAAGTTTGTTTTGTACGAAATTTCACCGTGAGTAAACAAAACTCGAAAGAAACTCGAAACTGTGAAAGAAAAACAGTCGGCAAAAAAAACCCACGCTGTAATTAATTAATAAATTGTGATCTAATAATTTTTTGCATGCATTAATTTTTAATTAAAAGAAGAATTTAATTCGTAATCGATTTGTGAAAGAATTATGATTTTATCACGATGCGTTTATGCGTAATTAATTAATAACTTGAACTGGACGCGCGAATTGCTCATTTTTTATCGGGATTAGCCCCGAATTTCATCATGGCCCCATTAAAAAGCAGGTACGCTTTGCCAAATATGCAAAATTGAAGTAAATTTCACGCTCGATATTAGCGTGGCCCTTTTAATCAATTAATCCGGCTGGCTTGGGGATTTAATTCTGTTTGTGCACATATTCTACGCCGCTCGAGGTCGCCGGTGGTGAAATGGAACGGATTAAAAGAGTGCACACGCTCGCGTGGTCACCATATCTCATATTTCATCCATTTCCATTCCGAAATCCACCCCCATTTTTGGGGGATTTTCGTTTTCTGGGGGCGCGCGCGACGCGTCGTCGGGCTTCGGCTTCATTAAAAGTCCCCTCAGCTCGCTCCTCGGCAGGACACGAAACGAGTTCACCACCACCGACGGCGGGGGCGCTCAATAATTTTGCCGACGGGCAGGCAGGCGCGCGCCGCGCATGCGCCCGTTTCAAACCTGTTCCTCTCCGGCCACTGCCAGGCCACGACACGGGAAAATCCTTGCGGGAAATACTATCCGTGTGTGTCGGGTTCGCGAGCGCAAACAGGTCTGGCTGTTATCCTGTGGGTGCCACGCAAAGGATTTTACCGTTTCACCAAAAAAAGTAAAAAATCGTGTTTCGTGCGGCAGCTGTATAACGTGTGAAATAGTTGAATAGTTAATATTGATTTTACACCACGACGTCGACTCCGGCGGCGGTGGTGGCGGCGCCGTTGGCCTGCCAGTCGGGTATGAAGTGTGTGTTGCAGTGAATCGAAAACGAGTGACTTGGATTTTACGTCTTTAAATGATTTCGCCCTGTATGTAACATATTCTCCAATTATTCCACTTGACCAACACGACAGCACTCTAATTATCATTGTGTTTGATTGATTGCTTGTTTGATATTTTTTTATTGATTTTGCAAAATCCAATTCTGTCAAAATCACATCTCCAACGATGATTCATCGCAATGGGTGCGCTAATGAGCCAACATGCACTTCAATCACTTGTCGTTAGTCATGTCCTCGTGTGGTTTGATGAGTGCACCAATGCCCGGAAGCTAAATAAGATGGCCGATTGTTTGTGTTGGTCCTGACGTCATTTTCTTGCACTTTAATTAATTCCACCAACGTTGCATTTTTTTTTTCTTCATTTCATTTCATTCCCTGCGCCTCCACCAATTCTACATGATCTCATATACAACGCTAGAGTATTTCCGGTTGTGTATAATATGTGTCCTTATGTTGTTGTAGATGCGTTGCCGCATTGCAATGCTCGTCCGATGGAAAAAGTAATTGTGCAGCAGCCCGCGCGCGATGACTAGCTTGACGTTGGCGTTAGATAATGCTGTTACAGAGAGCACTGAGCAGATCAGCAAGCTGTTCCCCAAGTGTCGGCCGCGCGGCGCCGACATTAACCTCAATCCGCTCTTGGGCCGTGAGCATGCTGAGCGCAACGACAACCATCGCCATTCGCACGCCGCCGCCGTCATGAACGTCGACGCCAGGGATAGGGATAATGATAGGTATTTCCTGCACGTGTCTCTTACCCTTCATTCATTCACTCACTATCTGTATGCGTGTGCGTTTACGTGTGTGTGCTTGTCACCATTTTCGAAAGTGACCATTTGCCGGAAAACCGGAAATGCGCCACCAGTGATTCAACGTGTGTGTGCGCTGCTAAGATGCTTTTGTTTTGGTGTGTCGTGTGTTCAGATGGGTCATGGATGGTTCCTATGCGGACAATCGAGATAACGGAAGCCAAGTGCATTCTACCGACGACGACGACATAATCGACCACGAGCATATCGGAGGAACGTACAAGTTACGTGACTCTAGGTACACACACTCCAACACACACTGTCACAGAATAAAAAAAACACCGGAATTGCTATCTTCTGTCTATCTCTTCACTGTATCTTCAATTTCACAGCATGGAAATTTACTATAACTACCCTCAAATTGTATATAATATCTAAATACATACCTGTCCATGTCATATAATGTCGTGGTGTAGAGTAGAAGCACTTTCACTTCTCTTTCGAACGCATCGAACCCTCTTTCCATAGCTGTAGATGATCTAGATGGCGCTCAAGACCAATCAGCGCCATCTATCGTTGCATTAGGTTACTGCTTGTTGCTGTTTTGATGTTTTTATGTAAATCCCTAAGGAGATGTTGATTTCTTTTGATGAATTTTGCAGAATCATCGAGATAGCAGGCGGACGCGAAATCTACTCGCAGAGCCGCAGTAAAGCATCGCGTAAATCGCGTAACAATCCAACGTCGCTGGTTGGTGATGAGTTAGACAAGAAGCAGCGTCAAGGCGTGTGGGAATTGAGAGGCGGCGGGACGGCGGCACGATGCAACAATGACGCTGTCGGCCTCGCTGCGAAAGCGAAGGCGCGCGCTGCACGCGACTTCACCGAGACGGTCTTCGCGTCGGAGGTGTGCTCGATGACGATGACGCAGCAGAATTCCTCGGCGGTGGAGGCCCAGCAGTTGCAGGAGCTGCAGGCGACACTCGCTCAATTGCAACAGCGCAATGGTGGAGGCGGTGGTGGGTCACCGGATAACGACGTTGTGGTCTTTGATGATATCGGCGAAAGCTGGCAGAATGATTCACCGCCACTGCTCATGGAAAATGGTAGTAGTGATAGTAATGCTGGGAATGTAGGCGGTGTTAGCTCAATCACCACCGCCACCACCAATAATACCAACACCTCGCCGCCGTACAACAATCATCAGATGGACGAGCGCGTGACGAAGGTGATTGGCTCGCTCCCGATTGCCGTGTACGAGGGCTCGCCGCGCAGATACGGCCCCCGCCACCAGGAGTCCAACTGCACGCACCCGCAATTACCTAGCGCGCAGAGCTTGCTTGCTTCCCCTAGTGTCTATCCACCCAGGCCCGGCTTTCCGCAGCGGGTTGTCTGTTCCCCTAGCGAAAACGATGCCCCCACTACTGATAACTACGTAAGTCCCTTGTGAGAACGCGGACCTTTCTTCCCATATCCATGATCCTTAAAATGTTTGGGCTAGTATACCAATATTTATCTCTTTTGATAAAATTTATATTTTTTGTGTTTTTATGTATCTAGAGGACAAATGGTAGTAAACCGGGGTCACCACGTACCACTTCGTCGACATTCGACTACCTCTACGAATTCTCCGAGACGCGTAAAGTCCTCGAAGAGTTCTTCAAGTGCCCGCCGCCGGAAGAAGAAAACCGGCTGGAGGCGGAGTTTCAGGACCTCGAGTATGAGTTGCGCCGCCAGGCGGGCGATTCTGGCAACTCGTATGTTGGTCAGCGATTGGCCAAGCGACCCGAGCAAGATTTCTGCCTACGCATTGATTCACCCCGCAAGCACAATAGCACTAATTTATTAACCCTTCAGGTATATTTCATCTCCACCCTTCATAATCTTCTTAAAAAAATAATATTTTTCTTTCTAAATCCTTAGGATCATGAAATAACTGAGTACGAAAACAACTTCCTGGACCTCTCGATAGGCACGGGTTCCAGTGGTGATCTGGGCGAGACCGAGGTGGGTCTTCAAGTGGGCCACAGTCGTAACTTCACCCTATCACCAGAAACCACTGATTGTGACTCCAACTGCGGTGACCTCGACAGTGAAGTGTCCCTAATGCTGATGGAAAATGAATTAGGCCCAGCTTCCGGGTTATTAGGCTCCAGTGGTGATCTAGCGATACCCAATGATTCCCTACGATTGTATTCAAGTATGCCTGTGCTGGAAGATGGTCTCTCTTCCGGTCACGCCAGCGATACAGACAACAACAATCCCACGGTGATGTTGATGAAGCGTCAAATCACCGAGATTGAACGTGAGATCAACCAAGGCATCAAGGGTAAACAACTCGTCAGCAACAAACCACAAGAGAATGGTCTCTCCCCAGCTAAAGAAACACCTCTGAATCAAATCGAGGTGATCAATGGTATCAACTCCTATGATGATCTCAATCATCAATCAGTGGACACGTCAGGTATTTGTAGTTTCCGGTTTTGTTTCTTGCATAGTGTGTGGTAGTGTAGCACATGTAGTCTTGTGGTAATCCATTAGATAAAACACCACCTCCGCCTGCTCCAGCTCCACATCGCTGCGTCATCCCAACCAGTGGAGGAGGAGGAGGAGGTGTTGGAGGAGTGCAGGTGCCCGCCGCGGAGGTCGCTGATGTCGAGGCGGCCATTAAGGATATCCGGTTGACGCTGCAACGCACCAAAACGCTGCCGCTCAAGTGTCATCCGGAAGAGGAGTGTGAGGAGGGCAGCGCCGTCAGCCCAGTGTGGGTGCCGAGGTAACTAGCCGCTCGGCGCGTTTAATTTTGAGTCTAAATTTTCGTTGCAGGCAACGTGGGCTGTCCGCAACAAGCGCAGACTCCGATCGGAAGGTGCAGAGTGGTGAAGAGGGAGGTGACGAAGGTAATCATAATCTAACTTTTAAAACCCTTGACTTTTACTAATCATATCCCGGTTTGTTTCAGAAGAAGCCGACACAGACCTCGAAACTGATCGTCTTCTCGGACAACAACGTACGGATGATCAAGGATTCTACGATGATAAGGTAATACCCAATGTGATTTCGTGTGTCGTGTGTGAGTCGATGTTTTGTTTTGATGTTAGGATATAGGATAGGGCAGCGCAGATATTAGGTGAAGATTAATACCAAAATATTAGATATTTTTCAAGATGGCGGACTAGTTTTAGATGAAATTCGCATGATACTATTTTGATTACTTACCATCCCTTTACTGGAGCTGTTGTGTCGATAACCGTAACGTGTTTCTGTTGTGTTGTGTGTCTCTCTCACCCAGGGCTGGAGAAAACCCAAAAGTCGGACGATCATGCCGCCATTATCCCTACCCACCACCCAGAAACAGATCATGCACCCGCTGGACGAGGGCACGATACCGCTCGCCTCACCCACCGATCCTCTCATCTCGCATCCCTCGTCACCCAACGCCACCTCCGACAAAAGCCAGTCGCCTCAGAGCCAGAAGGGATCTAACGCTTCGATCAAACTCAAAAAGGTGTGACCCGCTATAGCTGGCATGACCTCTATCTCTTAATACTCTTTTAATGTTTCTGTGTCTTGTTTAATGCTTTTGCTTAGCAAAACATTTATTTCTATACATTAGACTAGTCTAAAGTTTAGCAAAAACAAATTAGAAATGATTTCTAGAAAGATTATAGTAGGGGTCTACAGACATAACCTCAACTGTTGTGGGTGGCGCTATGTGTGTGGACTTGGTTTGCTTTGATTGCACCGTAGCATTTGAAATTCGCACGCCACGCGAACAACATTCAACATGCCCGCCGGCGGTGTTCCAGCCCGCTTAATGTGCGTCTTATGTTGCAGGACAAAGAGAACAAAAAGAAGGGACGCAACAAGGAAGGTGTGTATAGTTTTGCTTTCTCACCCCACTCACGTAACGTAAATAACAGCGTAGTAAACCAAATACTAATTCTTACTTGATTTTCATGCGTCTTACGGACTTGCTCTTGATGTAAGTACCATTTTAATAACAACTAACTACTTACGCCATCTAGGGTCAAGTGGCCCCGACATGTTTTCCATCATTACAAATCAGATTTGACTTGCAGGTGGATTCTTGGATCCGACAGTGCTCATTGAAGGCGTGTTATTCAGAGCTAGATACCTGGGTTCCACGCAGTTGGTGTGTGAAGGGCAGCCGACGAAGACGACGCGCATGATGCAGGCCGAGGAGGCCGTCAGTCGCATCAAGGTAAAGCATGCGTTCTTTTTCGCCTTTCTGACACTCTCCTTCGCACTGAACACGACTATCTGGTGTTTCCTCTTGTTTTAACCTCAAAACACTACACAACATACCTTCACACATATGAAACACTATACGTTGCTTTTGTTTTCTAACCTCAAAACACTATAACACTACACTACACAACACAAGATACAAATACACATTGTGTAGCTGTGCATGTGTAACAGTAACTGTGGGTATGTACGTTGTTCCAATGTTGGTTGGACATGCGTCGGTATAATTTTTGCGGCGGCGCAGACAAACAGTGTGCCCGGTGTGCCCCCCTTCTTCCCCACTTTCGACCAGGAACGACGCACGCTTCATGTGCATATATATCTTATATATCAATATAAATCAATATAAATATTTGGTTGGTTGCCTGCTCTACGTGTATGATGTGATGAACCCTCTTCGGTTTCGAACACTTTTTGTTTCTCGTTTGATTATTTATGGCGCACACTATATCCGACTATATCTGTTGTCATTCTTTTCTCAATCTCAGCGCTTACCTTTTTGTTGTTATCTCTTCTCATTTACGAGCCGCTTTCGATGTTTTATTTCTATATCGATTGTATTATACATCTTTTGAGGTTATGATAAACCAAACAACATAACCTTTTTTATTATATTTGTGCACTTGATTTTATTTTAAATATGAATATATTATATTAGTGTATGATTTTGATTAATTTGATTTTAATTTCGATTTCTCCACCCGTCGATGTTTTTGGTGGTTTTTTTAGGTATTGATTGATTTTGCAAGTTGGTTTCTTTGATTTTTGACATATAAACACTCCACACTCATACATATATACTCTTAAAGTGTTTCCGGCACGATTAGTGCACTCAGTGGCGCATATAATTGTGGTAAGCGAAGAAGGGTGAAATCTTGCAGGAGGCATCCAACCAAATGTTGCACAACTACGGCGGCAGCAGCCCCGAAAGTAGTTGCGATGACGAAACGCCCGTCGATCTGGACGCGGAGTGCGAGTCGGTTATCGATGCGCCTTCGCAGCCATTGCAGGGTGAGCACAGTCATTATATAGCCACACAAAGCTATACTATCTCTTTAGATAACCTTTAATTGGTTATGTTTACTATTTTAACCTCTGATTTGAGAGGTTATGTGTGTTTGAAAAACTCGGTATGCGCAGAAGCGGCGGGCGCGACCGGCACGGTCTTCCGACTGAATTTCTTGGGCTCGGTCGAGGTGGATGAGGAAGGGGGTCGCAAAAGGCGCAAGCGGCTCAAGAAAAACATGGTCGAGCTGGCCGTTACCAAAATCAAGGTAACCCCCACTCCGATTAACCCCCACCCTTGCTACACAATCAACATACAAACCGTTTCGAAGCGTATCTAATGTTATTTTCTGTTAATTTTCCATTTGTTGAACTTCTCTGCGTTTCGTGTTGAGTAACATACTAACCTAAACATTTTCCCACGCTTCACCTAACCGGATATCTAGGCATTGGTAAGTCCCGCACGTAGTGACCAACCGCATTATTTTTATTTTTGTGGACATATTCAGGCACCAGATGGCGAGACGCAGCCCAGCACCGAAGTGGACCTCTTCATCTCAACCGAGAAGATAATGGTGCTCAATACCGACTTGAAAGAGATCATGATGGACCACGCACTGCGTACCATCTCCTACATAGCGGATATCGGTGATTTGGTAGTACTCATGGCGCGGAGACGTTTCGTCCCGCATGAAATGGAAGAAGCACCCAAGATCAATCGGACTCCGAAGATGATCTGCCATGTTTTCGAGTCGGAGGAGGCTCAGTTCATCGCCCAGAGTATTGGGCAGGCATTTCAGGTCGCTTATATGGAGTTTCTCAAGGCGAACGGCATCGAGGACCACAGTTTCGTCAAGGAGATGGATTACCAAGAGGTGCTCAACTCACAGGAGATATTCGGGGATGAATTACAGATGTTTGCGAAAAAAGAGATGCAGAAAGAAGTAGTGGTACCGAAAGCCAAGGGGGAGATATTGGGTGTGGTGATAGTCGAGTCCGGATGGGGGTCGATGCTGCCGACGGTGGTGATAGCGAATTTGGCGCCTGCGGGTGCCGCCGCACGCTGCGGCCAGCTGAATATTGGGGACCAAATCATCGCCATTAATGGCGTGAGCCTCGTCGGGCTGCCGCTGTCGACGTGTCAGAACTACATCAAGAACTCGAAGAATCAGACGGTGGTTAAGCTCACTGTGGTGCCGTGCGCGCCTGTCGTCGAGGTGAAGATTAAACGACCCGATACGAAATATCAACTAGGTTTCAGCGTACAAAATGGAGTGGTATGTGTATTTTCACTTGGTTTTCGTAAATATTAATAATAAAATGTTTTTTTAGATATGTAGCTTACTTAGGGGTGGAATTGCCGAAAGAGGTGGGGTGAGAGTTGGTCATCGCATCATCGAAATCAACAATCAGAGCGTCGTTGCAGTACCGCATGAAAAGATCGTCAATTTGTTGGCGACATCTGTCGGCGAAGTACGTAACTTTTAAAATTTTAACCTAACCTATATTATATGTTTATTTTTGTGTAGATATTGATGAAAACGATGCCGACATCGATGTTCCGCCTTCTGACGGGTCAAGAAAATCCAGTGTATATCTAAATAGACTTACCGAAGGTCTGAAAGTGCCTACCTTAAAACTAGTTGATATTTAACAAGACGAGCGAAGCAAACCGAAAGAAACCTGTCATTGGGAATTGTTTATTAAGTTTTGGTCGTGCTTGAGTCGCAGATCAATATATTTTTTATTGTAACGCATAAGTTTTAACAGACTGAAGACAATACAAGCGAAGACCTGCGGCGCGGATCATATCTCAGCTTGGTCGTATCCATATTTCAGCAGCACGCGCGCGCGCAGTAAATGCAAGGACGACTTAAATGAATTATAGAATATACCAAAGATGTTTGTATAAAAGGAAAATGAAGAAGAAAACCGGCGTAAAGTCGCGCGCAGTTAGCTAAACACACAAAAAAAAACGCATGGACATGAATATATTAAGAATTTGGTGGTGTAACAATTAACGCGTAAAAGAAAAGTAACAAATTAGCTCCAAAATACCTATTTATATACGTATAATAATTGTACTGTATTATATTGTAAACTATATCGTAAATGACTCAGCTTTCTTTTTTCTAATTGTGATAAGCTATAAGGAATCGCGAACGCGGAAAAATCAATGTGTAAAACATGCGCTGACGAATTGAATGTGCTGTACATTTTCTCTAGTCGTAATACGAAAAACTAAAACCACACAAGATTCGCAAGAATTTGAAACGGCGAAAGCGAACCCTAACCTTAAATTTATTTCGTAAGCGTCACTCAACCACACGATACACACTCAACATAGAAAAAAATTGCGTGTAAGCCCCACACACACATGATAATTGAAAAAAATGTGGAAATAATGCTTCTTACTACATTTCGAATGCCTTACGCCCCCGTATTTCTACTATTAAACGAAACTACTAAACTTCTAGTACCTAACCATATCAAATAAAGAACTATGCAACACACATTACACATGTACACAATTTACGATTGCGTTGACGACATTTGTTGAGATTTGTGCAAAAACTAAGAGACGAACAAATATTATATTAACGAAACAAACGAAATCAAATGCAGAGATTATTGTAAAACTATCGATATAGTGAAAAATGTTACTTACATTGTGCTGACAAAAAAGAAAAACTCTCCTGTATGATTCGATGATATTACTTAGTTAAGAGACTCTTCGTTCTGCCATTATAACGTCATCATAACCTACAAATGACCTATGACCGCATCGCGCATGCGCCCCCTTCCGCATTCGACTTTGTATTACCGGGTGTTCATCTTAAATGTAAGACAAAAAAAAACAAAAAGAAAAAGAAAAACGGACGCGCGAAGGGATGTTTAGTCGAAATAAACACTTGCATTAATGAATTTCTATCTCCAGAGATTTATCCCGCTGCCCTCTTTCACCCGAAATAAAGTGTTGTAGGGAGATCGCAGATTGTGTAAAGAATTTATTTCGTAAAAAGCCTTACATATCAATATATACAACACACTTAAATGTTCGCCGTTCTGCTTAAAATGTTTTCGACCTGCTTTTTCTCTCTATATGTTTTTCCCGGGGGCTTATGTTGCATTTTTACTTGTCTCGGAGCTGACGTCTTAACTATTCTCGAAAATAGAAACAATCTCAATCGGAAATTCGAAATTACAAAAACCTATCGATACATTGCGCTTCGCTTGCTTCATTTCTTTGTTTGTTTGTTTTTTATATAACATTTAACATGACTAATCCGTTTAATTAATCAAGAAATCACACATTTGACAGCTTGATAGTCGAATCAGCCGCAGTCAGTCGCGCGTGCACGAATTCGACCCGTTTTTTTTTTTTTTTCAAATGACATCCACTTTTGTTTGAGAGGAGAAACTAAAATAACTTAGTGTATCGACTAATGTATAAATCTAATCAGCAACAGTTTGTTTTTTCTTTCTTTCTTGACGAGAAATGAAAAGGAGTGAAGTGTTGAAGTTGCGCCGGATGGATCAAACGTAAGAATGTCTCTCAGTTTTGCTCGTACGATACAAACTGATAGGATAAGTAGAGCGATTATTGAACAATTCGGTACAAGTGCAGTGCGACGGTCTGAAACGCGCAGAAACCAAGTTATACATTAGTTATTATTGATTTACGCGCAAACATTACGTGTTAGCGCAATCATTCTTTCATAATTCGATTCTGTACATAATTCTCCATCTAATAACATCATGAATGTTTTGAAAATAGTTTTCTATCATTAGTTACAGGTAAAATTCATGTTTTTTGCAGTTTTTTGCTTGTAACTTTTTTTCCTGGCATAAATTTTGATAAATCTTTATAGAATTAGATTTAGAATACAATGCAGAATCGATTTTTAAAAGAATCATTATTCTATCACAATTAGTTCTTGAATAAATCAATAAATCATGACTAAAACCATCAGAAATCTTACTTTGTAAAACTTAAACATTAATAACTCCAAAACCAAACGAGATATCATAACAATTCTTTCAAAATTCAATAAAATATCTAATTCTGTGTATAATCACACGAAAAATGATTGAAAATAGTTTTATATAATCAGTTATAACTAATTTTAGCAAAAAGTTTAACAAAATCGAAGTTTTAAAAGCAGTTTGATGTGAAATTTGATGCATTTTGTGATTTTAAAACAATTGTTATGATACCCCGTTTAGTTTTTGAGTTATTAATCAATAACTCGGCCTCGAATGAAGCTGGTTGGCGTGCCCAGACCGTTGTCCTACACTTAAACCGAAAGTTGATTACAAAATGCACACCGATCGTGTTTCACTCGTGGGTCTCGCCGCAAAAGTCTCAGTTGTCCATGGCGAAGCGACGCGTCCACTCCTTGGCGTTGCGGATGGCCTCCACCTCGTTGACTTTCCACAGTTCGGCGACGTCGTTGGCGAGCGGGTCGTCGGGATTCGGTGCGCTGAGCAGCGCCTGAATCGACAGCAGCACGGTGCGAATTTGCAGCGCCGGGCTCCACTTGTCCTTGAGAATGTCGAGGCAGATGCGCCCCAGCCGGTCAATGTTTGGGTGATAGATACGTGTGATGAAGCGCACCTTCGGCGCCGACATCGGATAGTCCTCCGGCAGGAAGAGCTCCAGCTTGAAGAGGCCGCCCTCGAACGGGGAGTCCTCCGGGCCGGTGACGATGACGTGAAAGTAGCGTGCGTTGTTCTCGTCGGGCACGGCGCTGATGCCGGGCACCGGCTCCTGCATGAGGCGCAGCGTCTCCTTGGTTATTCTACGAGGCAGGGCTGCCATTTTTCTTTACGTGCTATACTCGACGGCGAGGCGAGATGTCCGTAGGGTGGCGATGCGAGCGACGGGAACTACGTGCTTCGAGGCGCCGGACGCGCGCTGCACATGCTAGGTTACGCCGACGTGACCTGGACCTGGTGCGCTGCGGAGTCGCTGAGCTCGGCTGCGTTTTGCACTTGATAGATGTGTCGATGGATTTGATTGTTCACGGCCTGGTCTGCAGTTATCGCACGGTTTTCTACTGGAGCGCCACTGAGCATGATCAGAAACGACCAACGTACAACTTAAATTATACCGAGCGATACAAGCCCCTTGTCAAAAAATTAAAATTTAAAAACTGCTTATAATCATTAAATCAATTAAATCAAACATAAAATAACTACTAACACATTTAATACTAAATATTACAATAATTTTTAATAATAAAAAGCGCCTACTTTTAAAAATATTCACTAAAATATTGTTTGTCATTCCCCTAACATAGTTTTTTTGGTTTGCTAACTCACCACCATTGTTGCGACGAACTTAACCGAACCAAAAACATCACCCGAACGTTCAAATCGTTCAAAATTCCTGCTGACCCTCCTGCTAATCATTCCCAACATCGCTTCGACATTCAGTTTCACGCAAGGACAGCGAAATAAATCAATTTCTAATCATGGTGCAGTACAAAGTGGTAATGGTACGTCATGGTGAGTCCGAATGGAACGAGAAAAACCTTTTCACCGGCTGGTACGACGCGAATCTCAACGCAAAAGGTATAACATTCAGTCACCTTGAAACGACCTTCACAAATATTTCAACTAATTTTGTTAATTTAGGCGAGGCAGAAGCCAAAAGTGCCGGTGTCGCGCTGAAAAACGCCGAATACAAATTCGACAAAGCTTATACATCAGTCCTCACCAGGGCGCAGAGGACCTTAGCTTCAATTCTAAAGGAAATCAACCAGGAGGACATCCCTATTGAGAGAACCTGGAGACTCAATGAAAGACATTATGGTGGCCTGACTGGATTAAACAAATCCGAAACAGCTGAAAAGTATGGAGAGGCTCAGGTGGCAGTCTGGAGGAGAAGTTTTGATGTCCCACCTCCAGCCATGGAAGAAGACCATCCTTATTTCCATACAATTGTTGATGATCCAAGATACAAAGATGGACCATCAAAGGAAGAGTTCCCCAAGTTTGAGAGTCTCAAACTAACCATTGCAAGAACAATGCCATTCTGGAATGATGTAATTGTGCCTGAAATCAAAGCAGGAAAACAAATCCTGATTGCTGCACATGGCAACAGTCTGAGAGGAATTGTAAAAACCCTTGATAAAATGACTGAGGATCAAATCATGGGTTTAAATCTCCCAACAGGCATTCCATTTGTTTATACACTTGATGAGAACATGGAACCTGTTGAAGGTGGCAGTCTGCAGTTCCTTGGTGATCCAGAAACAGTGAAGAAAGCAATTGAAGCTGTTGCAAATCAAGGCAAGTCAAAGTAAATCCTTAAATCCACTTTGTATTTTGATACACTGCTATATTTCGTACAAAATCTATGAAAATAAATTAAATTCTTAGTAATTTTGAAGGATTTTTCATAAATTTTTAAAAAAATCATTCATTTATCAAGTTTTATTTCGTTTCAATCACAATAATGTAATATCCCAACAAGTATAACATATTTGTACACTGGTACATACATTCAAATGAATAATACTGATAATGAGCTCAACATTAATCACCCAAAAACAAAAAAACAATAAATTATCATATTTAATGAGTTAAATTACATTTGAACGAAGTTTTCGTCATTTCTGTGTCTCGGAATATCAAAAATTATATTTACAATCGTGTTGTAACCTCAACCATCCAACTATTAACCTCGAAATGTGCGGGGCGCGTGTATAACCTCACTTATATAATAATATATAGATCACACATGTGATCGTGAATATGCATATTGCCATGTAGGAAGGAATAAGTCTTCGTTGAAATCTAACTCTACCAACAATGTGTCTTGTTTTGTCTTGCGTTTAATTGCGAATTGCGCTAGTAGCAAATGTAAATCGATCTAACAACGTGTCATACATTTGTTCATAGAATGATAGAATGCGATAACGTTTATATTCATTTTTATTTATGTATATATGTATATATTTCGTTAGTAGTCTCGATAGTTTAGTAAATAATTGAGTATTGTTTGCGTTAGGGTTTGGATTGACTATCATTGACATTGTCTAATTACGTTTAATTGCATAACGTGAGCGTTAACGTTTATATACTCGAAAGTTAAGTCTTTTAAGGATTAATCGCATATTTATTAGATTATATCAGTGTTTTGTGTTTGTTTGCAACTCTTGTGGTTATGATATCGATGATATTTTATATTAGAGATAATCTGATACGATTGATGTGTATTGAGTGTGTTTGGGGCGTTAAAATGCTTAAAATTTAAAATATTTTGTGAGCGTTAAGTTAGAATTGATGTTTGATGAACGGTGAACACGTTCGATTTTTATTGTCCGGCACTCAGTGCTAATACTGATAATGATAATCGTTTTTTCTTTGGTGGCGGCCATTTTGTCGACAAACTGATGGTTTGTGACCAATCAACAACTCACGTGATATCTTGCTTTCATATTTGGTCGATATTTTGGTTTAAGTGTAGTTTAACTGTCTGAAATCTTATGGAAGTGTTTTTTGTTAGTTTTTTGTTAATAACTCAAGTATAGAAAGTGATAGAGTTATGATTCTTTCACAGAACTGTTGTGTATTAAATTCTACGTGTAATTATCAAGAAAAATACTTGAAATTGTTTTTATAACAAAAGTTATTGACGAAAAATCAAAAATTTAAAATAAATTAAAAAGTGTTAATAATTAATTATTTAAATGTAATACTAATTAAATCTTTATGTAAATAGATGGTAAATTTCATCCCGGATAAAATGCCGAAAGAATTACCAATCTATCTCTTTTAGTTTTTGAGTTATTAACAAAAATCTTCAAAAAAAAAACACTTTTCTGACATTTTCAAACCGGTAAACTACACTTATACCAAACATGAATAGTTTCTGACTACAGCGATATGATTTGCAATGATTTTCTCGTTTGTTAACATTAAATACGTCTACTACATCATGTTTAGGCCAAACGTGAACACAAATACAGTTTGATTCAAAGTGTGACTGATGACACCATGTACATAACCTCTCAACGATCTAACTATAAAAATTATCACGTTGCTGATACAATGGCAGCGGCGATATGGGCGAAGAATCCTCATCATCCGAATTCCCCGCCTGTGATTCCAGTGGCAGTTTGGAGAGCGCTTTGACTAAAGTAAAAACAAGAAAAAACGTGTGTGTGTGTTTCTATAGCCCAAATCTGAGGTTATGTTCACAACAAACCATGCGCACAAAATACGCCAATCAGTAAGTAGAGATACTTATACGTAAATAATTTAATCAAATAATAAACATAATCTGTATATATACTCCTGCTGCTCTTTTATACAATCATACAATTAATTCAGGTTATGCGCTATAAATAAATAACAATATTTATGCTATCAATTATTTCTAGGTATACGCAATACATCAATGAAAATAATAAATAATAAAAATGTACACACACTGCGATATCGATACAATTAGTACACCAAATTCAAAAACAAAAACACATGCAGGGGGAAATAGTATGAGTGGTGGTGGGAGTAAAAACTGCAGAGCATGCTAATTGGATTCGTCTGCATTGTGTTTACCTGCGACGATCTTGCTCATCTCCATCACTTGCTTCGCGAGGATCTGATTCAACTGCAAGAGATGCTCACGCTGCTTCTTCTCTTCGATCATCTTCGTTGTGGCTTTGGTTGTGGTACTTGCAGCAGCAGTAGAAGTCTCACCTTCATCTCCTACAAAACAACAAAACAAAAAAGGTAAGGTTATGTTTATTTTCTAAATTATTTTATAGTTTAACATACCATTAGCCAGATTGGCAGTGCTAGTGCTTAGAATAGTTGTATCCGAGAGCATTTTCTTGATGGATTCGACTTTCCTCAATCTGTGCTCTTCTTCTTCAGCGGACAACTGCGGAGTTTGTTCGGGTATGTACCTCTCGGGAATAAAAATCTTATTTGGTGCACCAAATAAGTTATCAATAGTATTCTCAGTATATTTAAGTTCTTTACTGCTTAAAGTACTTCGTACTACATCAGGTGCATCTATACGTTGCCTCAAGGCTCTTTCCATGTCTAAATCATCTCTTGCACGGCGTGTTTCTAATACTGCTTTGTTAAAAGTGTCATCGTCAGTTGTAGGCAGTTGATTGAAACTCTTCCGGATGAGGTTATTATGTGGGGCGGTGTAATGGCGGCGTTTTTCTATGGGAACAGCTCGACGGTTCTTATTCTTAGGTGTTTCCTGACCGATTTCAGTGATTATCTGTCGAGCTGCTTCACTTTTGAACACTGGAGATAATACAGGTGAAGCATCTTTCTCGAATTGAGATATACTGGGTGTTGAACTGGTTCGGCTTAGGTTATCTTCAGGATAGGTTAAGTTGGTGCTACTGGTTGCTTTCTGCACGCTTAGGGTTGTAGGACGAGTTGGGCTTGAAGTGACATAGAAATCATCTTCGATTAAAGCGTCGTATTTGTTTGGACCACTTGGACCACTCGGCGTGACCTTGTCACGGTCACGATCACGATGCCGACGTTCGGATTCACGTTTGACAATACGTACGGTTTTGATTTCGGGTTTTTCTTGTGGCAGTGGCATTGTAAACTGATGACTGGTGGAGTAATCATCAATTGGTGTGGTCCCACCATAGATGTCTTCCTGGGGATTACTTTGAATTTGATTTTGAACTGGTCCTTGTCCTTTGAGATCAGTACGAATGTATAATGGAGACATTGATGATGGTATGGATGAATTACTCTCCCAATTTGATTCACCATGGTCTCTGATGTACATTGTATCAAGGTCAGTCTCCCTCCATCCGGAATGGATCCTCTTCTTACCATCAAATGACTTCATGGGAATACTAGACCTGTCTGTGAGTTGTCTCACCTGCAAACTCAACTCCTGTCGTTGTTTTTGTAGATCCCCGACTTTTTGTTGGACTTTTTGAAGGTCAGATTCCATTAGACCATTACTGTTACCAATATTACCTATCCCACAGGTTAGGCTATCACCTGGGTTGGAAAACTGTGGTGAGGACCTGTTTTGGTTCTGTTTGGATGCTTGGAGTTTCTGTCTCAGGACCAATAACTCCTGTTCCAATCTAGCATTACCCGCGACAGTCTCCTCTAACTGTTTGGAGTTCTGTGCGAGCATTAGGTGTACTCTACTGAGTTCATTCTCTAAAATTGACTGCTGCTTCTTAGCTTTCTCGATAATCTCTGGATCATTGTAACCCTGCATTAATCTACTACGGATCCCTCCAAGAGCTCTTTCAATATCCTCTTTATCCTGTTGTAAACCTTGCAGGGTACCTGAACCCTCTTGAATCAATTGATCCAATTCATATAACTGCTGGACCTTCTCCTGTAGTTGCAGGTGACTTGAATTAATACGGTTCCAATCACGTCTTTCGTCATCCAGGAGTTTCTTCTCTTGCATCTGTTGATTAAACTCAATTCTATCTCTCGTGGTATAACTACTGGATCTATCTGAGCTGGGGAACTTGTACAACGAACCAAGTTTAACCATATTATCAACCAGATTCACCATGGGTTTCCCTTTCTCGTATTGTTTTTCTAAGTCTAGAAGATGTTGTTTGATTGCTTCCAGTTTCTGAAGACTTTCCATGCGTTTAGCGGCATCCATCAAGTGTAATTGGGCCTGTTTAGCAAAACATTAATTTTAGTATCGGATAAATATAAATGGGGAAATAAAAAAGCCCAAAAACCACCACAGGGTGTTACAGAAAGGAATTAATTTAATTTGTGATGTGCAAATGTTGCGTTGGGATTAGTTGAGTTAGCGAATTGAAACATGGTGGGCACCTGTATACTGTCAATTTCATTATAACCCGCTTCGATCGCATGGCAAATATTCGTGCTCTGTCGGCGCAATTGAATCAGGAGGAGGACGAGCTCCTCGTGGGTACGACCCAGGAGGTCACCAGCTGATAACTTTACTTTTGCATTCCAAGGCGTCTAATATATTCAAATAAATTTTTTTTAAATCATAAAAAATAAAAAAATAAACAATTTACTAACCTTCCGGTTTTCCGCTTCGATGTTTTGTTGACTCGGTGCAGGACTAAGATAATAATCCTGCCAACTAAACACAAAAATTCATATTTTAGCTTAAAATTGAGGTTATGTTATGTTTCACTAACATAGTATAATCACTGTCATAACTTCGATGTAGGTTAGAGGTGGATCTCGATTGGTGCTGTTGATAGTCACGTTGCATGGCCGCCATGTTATGCATGCCCATCGAGAGCGAACCTGAAGCTAAACATTGAGGTTATATTTTTCAGCAGAACCTAGAAAGTTGTAAGTTGTTCTTCATGATTGACATGCACTAGTTCTCTGAGAGATATTGACAAATGATGCTGATTTATACATGATGTGTGTGTATATACATATCATACAGTACCTAAAAACGTTTAACTTGTACCTGCTTCTTGGGCCACCCGCTGCGACGCTCTGTTCCCGTCACCACCGCCGCCAACAAACTCCACCTCCGCCGAGGCGGTCGCGCGCGCACCCGCTGACGACGCGGATGACATCAAGTCCCACTGACGGAGTTTCTCACGGTCGATTATAAAAGATGCTGATTTTGATCCGGCATTTTGTTTTGTGTTTGTACTAGTTGTACTCAAACTTTGTTCTGGTGGTTGTTTAGCGAATTTTTCTTGTACCGGCATGTTGTATACAGTGTCATTGACATAGACCACATCTCTGGTGATAGCTCTAGAAGGTTTTTTACTTTTGGGCTCTTTGGGAGGCGTGGCCATTTTGGAATTTGTTACATTCGTTATCCCCACACAGTCTAAGTCATCTAAACTTTTTGTATGTCTTTGACTGGCATCTCTTAACCTTTCCCTCCAGATAGAATCCTCTTCCCAGAGATAACTCCCTTCATTAGGGTCTACTTGCTGTTCACTATCCCCAAGGACATTCTCTAATAACCCTTCTAAACTGTGTGTCCTTCTAACAATCCCATCCTCATCCGAAACAAATTTCTCATCTTTTTTTGAAGGATAAACATTCCTCTGTTGTGGATTCTGCATGTCTGGGACTTTTAATCTCTTCAGCGTGTCCGATTCGTAGACGTTCTTCTTATCGATCTGCCCGGATTTATCTGTAAGATTAAGAAAGTCCACACTGGCAGATCGTGTCGCCAACTCGTTCGCCAACTTAAATGGTTGCCCGAAACTAAAATCACCAGTGTGGTTGGATGCGGGTCGATTGTGAAGGGAACCCCGGATGGGGTTCACGATGTGAGTAATGTCCCGCTTGCCGCCATTGTTAGTACCGCGCTGATTGTTCAGCTTCAACATGCCACCGCCACAAAGAGCGTTCGTGTTCAGCCCAAGGTCAGAATAGTAATAAGGCGCCGAGGTCAAGCTATAATCGTACTTCTCTTTCTCCGAAGGTTTGATATCATCAAAACCACTTTGGGGCGACCCTAAAAAAGCACTCTCAGAAGTATCCGATAAATAGGTAGTACCCTGACTATCTTTAGACAACTCCCTAGTGTGTAAAATCTTCGGAGATGATAATTTTATCTTTGTCACTATCATATTCTCATAATCATGGTATTTATTCGTAAAAACAAGGTCATCATCAATTTTCTCCAAGTATTTCTTGATATCCGTTGAGTTAAATTCACTGTCAAGTGATTCTACTTCATCCCGATATTCTTCGGAGACAGGTCGACGTTTGAAAAGTCTTTGTATGTCCTTTCTGACATATTCCACATCAGAGTCAGAATTCTGTGAGTGTGAAAACGTGCGGATTCTGGAGGTACCCTCATCCGTTTGTAAACTACACAGGGATAAATCATCACCTTTTGCTTTATCTTGTTTTGCTTTGGTGGGTTGGTCAAAGTCTTCCATTGGAGGAGGTGACCTTGGAATGGGTGGAGGTGAGACCAACTCACTATCAGAACTGTCTTGTTCCGGTAAAGCTGTTTGGCTTGCTCCCAGGTAATATGAAGCAGGGCGGAAGACATCCGAAAGACTAAATCTTGGATTAGCGGAATATAAAGATTCTAAGTCTTTGGATGCTTCATCATCTGCATCGGAACTGTCTGATTTACTGTCTTGTACTGAAGAAGGTAGTAGGATATCAGGTAGGTCATTCTTTTTGATTGATTCGTCCTTTTGGATATCAAGTGTATTGGTTCTTAATTTGGGATTGTGTAGTTCCATGTACAAAGGTTCCATTTGTGGAGGAACTTGAGGTGTCTCCAAGGTATCCCCAAAGGTTACCAACTCATAAGGGTCTAATACAGAGGTTGTAAGTCCTTGGGTCATCTCCACATAAGGATTCTCTTCATTTTCATTTTCGTGATTTGATGGAACCATTGCCCCCTCCCCAAAATCAAACGTATTCTTTTTCGGAGTCATAATCATATAGTTCTCCTCAATGATAGCATCAATATCCTTGGCCTGTGTGGGGGTACGCGGCGCCTCAGGTGGCGCAAGTTTCGAAAACTCCGCCAGGATGCTTTTCACCAGCGTGCCGCCGGTGCGATTATCGAGACCAGGCGAAAGTGGTGCGATTGCAGTGGTGGTGGTGGTGCTTAGCGTGTCAGTTTGTGGTGGTGATAGAGAGATAGGCGTGTAGGGTGCGCTTGTGTCTGCCGAGATCCGTCCTGCCTGCGTAATTCGCGCCGCATCCGCATTTTCTGAACCGGGTACAGAAAAATGTACAAACAAACAAAACAATTACAACAGAAAGTTAAGAATTAGAGGGGGGCGAGACACGGCACTACTCGTATGTAAAAAGCTAGCAGAGAGTTAATCAGATAAAACATCTACTCCCGTTAGAACAGATAGGCGTTAGTAACAGAAAGAATATAAAAATAATGTTTGGAGATATCAACAAGTGATGAGTTTTGTGGCAGGCAGGAAGGACCCAGAAACTAACCACCCCGCACACCATATAGTCCCATAGAGTCAGATCCAAGAGACACAAGTCACAAGTATAAACACATTGATGATGATACAAATTATGATACAAAAAAGTCTACGAATTCGTTGTTATCATCCCGATGCACGCGACTTACCTTCATCATCCGACGAATAGCTGTTGTATTGACCCATAGCTGACCGCCCATCAACATGCCGAGCATAACTACTCGCACGTTTGTAATATTCCGGTTTACTGTAGGTTTTGTTCACATTCTGATTCACCTTCCTGTTGAGTGGACTCTGCAACATCCGCTGCTTCCATTCCAGGAGGCGTTTCATCGATTCTTCTCTCTAAGTGGTCAATTTCATCAAGGTTAAACGTGTCTTATTGTAATTGTGCAGCATATAAACTTACCTTTCTTTCACCTTCTTTGTTCATGCTCGCTCGACCGTCGCCTTGCAGTCGCTGCTCGATGTTGGCGAGTCGCGCGCTTGCAGAGCGTGTAAATGGGTCGTATTCTCTCAAGTGATCATAACGATGACCATACAGATGGTCTGTTTGTGCGTTAGGGAGTTCTTTATATTGACTACCATATAATTCTCCATCTAACTCTTTAGATATAGATCTTTCACTCAAAACACTTCTACATCTCGTCGGTTGTAGAGGTAAAGACTCCCTACGAGTTGACGAATACTCAACTGGGGTTGTAGCATAATTCAAGGGTTGAGTATTGGATCTCATCAGAGGAAAAGTATTATCTGCTTGGATTTCATGAGATCTCCTTGGAGGTGTGCTGTATTTCCCTGGTAACTTGGACAAATACTGCGCGCTTTTTCTCATTTTTCTGCGTATCTCTCCTCGGAGTAGAAATAATTATCTCCGTTACGGTTGATATCCAGGCTGGATTTAGGTCGGGCTGGTTGTGGATTAACACTCATAGCCTGATTCAATCTATGAGTTGCTTCATATTCCAAAAAGTCAGCACTATGCGGCCTAGGGACTGAATTCGGAGACTTCCTAACCTCTCTGGAATCACTCCTGGTAATAGACATAGGTGTATATGATCTTTGGATAGGAGTCATGGGAGTAGTAATAGATATCGACTTATTATACGCCAAGGGACTCAAAGGTCTCTTATACATATACTGCTCCGCGTAGATATCTTCATAATCCGAGGGATGGCGGCCATTTTGTGCGGTGCCATTCAACATGTGCGTCTTGGACCTCCCATAGGTATCCGGCGTACGCCGTTCAGCATTCTGTGCGATATACTGCTGCAGTTGTTGGTGTTGTTGTTGTTGACCTTGATACTCTTGATTATAAACACTGTCTTGACTGTATACGGAGTTAGACTTTGACATGTTGCGCAGGTACGCAGGTGGTTGTAGAGTGACATATTTCGGTTCATTGTAGCGCTCGAGCGTGTCGGGACTCGGCGAGGAATATCCGGTGTCATTAAGCCGGCGTGGTTTGGGAGGTGCGTTCGCATACAGCGGTTGATTATACTGACTCAGATTCATGTGGTGGTTGAGATCCTGGCTCGGATTGCTAAACTCGGTCGTGTTGCTTGATGAATGCGCGTGGAGTGGTAGACGCATAATTTGAGCTTGGGACTGAGGTTGTGGTTGTTGTTGTATGATTGGGTTGTGACTATAGTTGGATTCAATTGTTTCATTTAGTGGGTTGTATGAAGATGGAGTGTTTAAAGAAGAATCAGACTCACTATAAACAAAAAAATTAGGTGATTAGCATTATGGAGGTAATAAAAACAAAATGGCTGACTTACATGTTGCTCTGGAGTAAACTAGCGAGGTTAAGCGCTCGGGCCCATTGCATCATCAACTCCTGGGTATCAGCTGCAAGCACATATGTCCTCATATTGGTATGTTCACATTTGAAAGCAAACTTCCGGTTTGCTCTATCCTCTGGACCACAAATAGACACTCTATACGATGGCAGTAGGACAGATCCCAATAATTTTTCTTCTTCTGGACCTTTAAAAACCATATTTTTAATTAAAAAAAAATTTTTTTAAATATAACCAACCTACCTTTATAATAAAACAAAACATATTCCGAAAGCACAAACCATCGCTTCTTCCACAACATCAACCCATCCGACCCTTGCTTATGCAACCACCCCTGCAACGTAACCGGAGCATCACTGGGACGTTTCGCTGAAGGTGACCTCAACTGCGTATGCCCTCCAGACTTCCTCCTCTCCAACTCCCGGTGTTTATTATGCACCGGAGTTGTGTTACTCGTATTCAAATTCATATTGGTATTCATCGTATTAGTAGAACTAGTAGTTGTAGTAGGAGTCCCCGGTTCAGACTTGATCTGATTCTGAGACTGATACACCGCATTGACACTGGAATGAGGTGGAACCCATGGTTGCGGTGTAAGATTCGGATTGTGTTGATAGGTTGTAGCATGTTGATGAGTTTGATAAATCGGGGACAAGGGAGACAACTGTTGCTGATGTTGTTTGAGTTTGTTCTGTTGATAGATGTACTGGTTGTTATAATGCACGTGCAGCGGATTCGTATGAATATTCGCAGTGTTGTACAAGTTCCCTGGAGGTTTATTCATGTAAGGTTGATGGACATGTTGATGGATCATCGGAGACTGCCTCAGATGTTGTTGTTGTAGTTGGTTGTTTGGGATCTTCAACCCTTGCTGCATATAGCGTAGATATTGTGGTGGAGTGTTGTGTTGATGTTTCGGTATGCCATCCATGTCCACTGTTGTGGTGGTGACAACCGTTGCGTTGTGCAGCGAGGCTTTCTTCTCCATGCTGGGATCCAGCCTGGAAATAATTATTTTTCTTTATTAGTTATCTGTTAATGTTAATATTGGATGATTCTTTACCAGTCCCACAAGTTGTACAGACACGAAAACATTTTTCACGTGTGATATTTACTGCGGGACGTTAAATGCTAGTAATTAATGGCGTTGAGCGTGAAAGGAAGGAGTTGTTCGCGTGTGCGACACATTGTGTGCATGCACATTGATGTAGGTCACAATGGCATTGGTGAGCGGCGGGCATATTGACGAGAGAGGCGTATACATCCTATACTATATTCGCCCAGAACACACTGCGCACGATTGAGAATATTATCGCCGCGGATTAAATCGAATGAGATTCCATCACATCACAAGCGATTCGACACGCGCGCACGCATACACGACTAGTTTTGTATATATGCGAAAAATGGGCGCTAGGTGAAACGCAACGCACGTTTTCGATCCGTTTACTATTATTTACGCCGTGCGAATGTAGCAGCGGCAGTGCCGTCGCGGCCACTTCCGAGGTGACGGCGTCGGCGCCCTGCGATGCGTGCTACACACCCCCGGAGGGGTTGAGTTGCGCGCCGCCGCCATCGACATTCTCATGCACGGAACTAAATATTTATTGCGGCGAGGGTGGATGAACTGATTAAAGATTGAATGCAACCAGACTAATCCATTACACACGCGAATGCAAACTGAGGGTGTTGCAAAGGTTGGATTTTAATCTGTTTTGTATTTGTGTGTGTATGAGTTGGGTAATATAAAAATCAATAGAAATGTATTATGTCAGTGGAGATGTGTCAACATAACCTCAAATGAGTACTCTTTGAGTGTTTGTAGTACTTGCGGTGGTTTTGTACGCAATCGTTGGAAATAGCGTGTGATCTTTGAAAATCCGTCGTAAAATGGGTCATAAAATTCGCAACATCCCAGTTTCGAAAATAAACCGACACGAATCGGTCACGACCGGCGGAGTACTGCTTGAATGTTGACATTAATGCAGCTGAATTAAATTTAGATTCAATATGTCCTTGGTGTTTGCAAAATTTCGGGAATTAAGTGAGTCGTGTCCGAGTTTTGGTTTTAATAATAACTAAATCATATCAATAAATAATGTAATTGTTTTTTTAAAAATCGATTCAGAATTAAATTCTCCATCAAGTAATGCAGAAATAATAATAAATTTATTATCATTTCAAAATTACAGGCTTATAAAGACATAATTTGATTAATAATTTAAGAAAATGTAGAGGAATGTAGAGAATTTGTGCTATAACTAAATAGAAAAATTTGTTGTCATCATAATAATTATACAATTAAAAGCAGAATTTAATTCTCTATAACGTTTTGAAAAAATTATAACTCTAACATATCTTGATTTTTACTTATTAATTAATAACTGCAAAATTGTTTTGTGCCAAAAACCTTAAACATGATTCACTGTTCCAGTTTTTAATTAATAACTCGATAACACACAACGCTACAATAATAATTTCTTCAGAAATCGATTCAGTATTAAATTCTCCATCATAAACCACAAAAACTTTAGCAAAAAAAAACATCTTACAAAGAACATAAGCGGTTTGAAACGAAAATATTTGCGATTTGTATCATCCACATAATCAACATTCCGCACGCGTTGTATGCAACACACCTCTAACCTAAAAATACCCATTATTCACATTACTCACACAAAACCACAAAGAAAAACCGCCGAGGAATACAAATAATGCACTCATTATGCGCATGCTCTAGAAAGTCGAACTTGAAGATGTCAACTCACTTAGTGACGAATTTAACACCTTTTGTTTTGGGTCTTTTTTTTAATCTCAAACAATGCGCACTTTTGTTTTTTGTTTTCTTTTTTCTTTATTATTGTAGGTGTTAAATAACTTTTAACCCACATATATACATCGTGGGTAATTGTAAAGTGTGCGCGTGTTTCTAGTTATAGAGAATTAAATCACTTTGTTAGTTGAGTTGCGCGTTGCGTTTCCACGCACGCAGGACAACAATGTGCTATTAATTACATTATTACACGGGCGTAATATGTCCACGCATATAATACATATACATGAATGGTATAAATACTACAAAAGCGTTGTAGGTTATACAAGTAAACAAAACAATGCGTTTAACGCTGTCAAATGTCAATAAAATTGACATTTTGATATTGTATTAACCTAAAAATTTATTTTTGGCATTAACCTAACATTATCTAGTACAGTACCTAGCGTTGAATGCTGTCAAAATAACAAAATTGACATTTTGGTGCATAACTAACCTAAAAATGCATTTTTGACATAGAAGTAACCTAAAACTACATATTTGATACTTAACCTATCATTTAATGCTGTCAAAATCAACAAAATTGACATTTTGGTACAAAACTAACCTAAAAATGAATTTTTTACATTAAATAAATCTAAAAATACATTTTTGACACTAACCTATCTTTTAATGCTGCCAAAATCAACAAAAGTGACATTTTGACATTGAATTAGCCTAAAAAATCAATTTTGACATTAACCTATCACTACTTCATGTATTTGTGATTAATTCACGTCATGTTGCGGCAATAATCCGGTGATGGCACTCGTGATTAGATTTTATTAGACCGAACGCACCTTGTCAACAATCTCGCGGCCAATAATTACACAGATTATAGCCACTTTTTTTCATTTCAGCGCACGCCTCGTTTCCATTCACCGGCGTTATTGTTATGCATTGCTGGGCGTCGTCTTGTGCACGTATGCCTTGTAAAACGGCGTGTTTTGTCGCCGGCCATATTGTTCACGAAACGTGATTGCACTAAACAAATCGCAAACGAACCGAAAACATGTCACGCGCATTATGGCGGCAAATAACCTTAAAAACTAACCGTAAATGCGCTACTACGCCTGCGTACTTCTGTATTAGTATTGAAATGATTTGTTTGATCAATAAGGAAACTGTAATTGAGAATATTAATAGAACAAATGTTGATATTAGCTACACATTACGTTCCGCTTGTAAATCACGTACGCATCCGAGCAATTAATTAATCTGATAATTTTATATCATATAAAATTATGAAATTTATATACAGGGTGATTTAAATGGTAAAAAATGAAGAAATTTTATTATTTTGAACTAAAAAATGATTTTTTGTTGCAAAAAACTGTAGAAACATTAAGAAAATTTAATCAAATTTTAATCAAAACGAAACAAAATGTTTTAATGGTTCTAAAATGGTTTTAACCTATTTTCTACACTAGATAAATGTTTTTAAACCAACAAAAAACGATTTTAAACATCCAAAAATTTATTTTTCGTGCATAAAACTTTGATTCTCTTTTTATCACTAAAAAAATATTAAAATTTATTATGTCGTGATATACAAAAATTAATTTTCCGCCATTTTCCAACATACTGTAAACGAAACCGAAAAAAACATCAACAACAACAAACCGTAAAACGCATTAACATAATAAAAGGCGCTCCGGTCGAGTTCCGGCGTGTGCTCTGCGTTCATTAAAACATAATACGAAGTCATTGCTTCTGCTACGCTTCTTATTGCATAGATTGCATACTTAGAGGTTATATCGCTCTACGCATGCCGAGTTTACCGATACGCCTGTTTTTTTGCCTTCGCGCATATCTTGCTCGAGTTGTTCCTGTTTAAGTTTATTTATAGCAAAGGATTTTAAACTGTGCAATGAACAAACAGGTGGCACTTTAAACATTTAAAATGATATTGGAACAAACGCCGCGAACGGGACTTTTAAAATGTTTCAAACGGCAAATTATTATGTTAGACAATAAAAGTCGGAAATTTGAAGCTACCAAAAAAAACATAACAAAAGAGTGTTTACGGAGAGGTAATAAAAGTAGACACTACGCAACTAATTAGAGTCATCATCATGTTGAATATGTAGTTAATTATTTCATCATGACATGATATTTAACATAATGTTTTATTTTGTTTCTCAGGTAATTTAAGTAGAAATACGCAGTTTACTTTTATTTTTTGGTCATTTTTTGATTTTGCGGAGGTGCAGAGGTCGTTTTAGTAATTTTAAAAAATTAAGAAATATTTTAATTGATTCCTTATGTAATTCTTTACTAAAAATATCAATTTCATTAAAATCCGATTATTATTTCACGAGATATTGCAATTTTTACAAGGAAATCAAAAATTTATTTCGTTACTTTTTAAGATCAACTTTAAAAAGGTTTTACAGGCGTTTTAATCGCAAAAAATTAAAATCCAAGGTTGATTTATATCAATTGGGTACTTATCTATCCAAAAATATGAATTTCACAAAAATCTTATCATTTTTTGAGTAGTTATTAACATTTTAAAGCAAAAAATTGATAAATTTTGATAAAAAATTTCTTAACATTGAAAAAATTATTTAATTTGATTTTTAATAATATAATAACAAACTTCCATTCTTAGATTTAACATTTTTAGCATCTTCTTATACAATTTTTATTTTTTGGTCAAATTTCGCTAGACATTAATGTATTTTGCCCAAAAAATTAAAACTTTTATCTTTTTTCATCTTTAAATGTTCATAATACTCACAGTTCATGATTTAACTATCAACTATCAATGATATAATACCTACTGCAAGCTGAAAAGGCTTAAGACTTAAGACTTAAGTCACAAAACAAAAATTTCAAAATAAAAATTTCGCAATCATTATACTTTAAACTTTGACCCGAATCTCTTTGTACTCGTTTTCGCAACACACAATGCACGTAATTTATTCAAGCAGAACCAACGACTTAACTACTTATATCTAATCCAATTCAACTTCTCGCATTTTTAATTCATATTTCACTTTCTTTTCTACTTTAATCTGCGGTTCGAAAACGAGATCTGCGGTAATTTACAATACCGAGATGCAAGTAGTACAGACGACTATAATTGTCGAAGAAATTAGTATTACTTAGAACGCGCCACGACACCGCACGTACAATTCCAGCAAAGTACTTAACTTAAGTCAATTCGACATCAGTGTGGTTCAATGCACAGATTTCTACTGTATCGACAATGAGAAAAATCACACTAAGAGAAAATGTGAAATCGCAACTAATCGCACAGGATAATAAATAATTCATGAAATTGACAATAAAATAAAACATCCTGTAGATATACTAAGTAAATTATTAACTAAGTAAATTTACTTAAAATTTACAATTCATAAAACGATGAATTTGCATGAACCAAGTGCAAATAGAAGATAAAACTGCTAAAAATGTGTTTTATGACGTTTGTGCAGCCATTATACATTTCGCATGCTTCCGGTATTCCGCTAATTATCAATTACAAACATTTATTTCATTAATTCATTAATTACGGGTGTAAATCAACAAAAAGCATTTCGACAGTGTGGAACCGTGAGAAACGCTCTCACATTACCACACGACCATCATAACCTCAAACTTGATATCCACGGATGAATAATTTATTAATTCACACAAGTTTCAGTTTCAAGTTCAACGCAAACAAGTTCTACGAGTAATAACGCAATCGATTCCTGTTTCAGACGACATTTTCTTTTGTTTGTTGTTTTCTTTTTTATCATTTGCAATTCATAACCTAACCTTTCAACTAGTATACCTAACCACATTTAACACACATTAACATACCTTGTCTCACCGTTGGCTTTCATCGGCACACCTTGCGGCGGTCATCTCGCGTGCGTTGTCTTCTTCTGGGTGAAGAAGAAGAAGTAGTGGTCGCAGTAGGGCAGCGAACTAGCGCTGGCATGCGGCATGGGAACGCATCTCGCTACTCTACTACGGTAAGTGAGATCACAAGATGGTGGTGTAGTGTAGTAACCCCGAACCGCACGCACTCGTCCGTTCTTTTACACAACACGCAGCCTTGAGATGAACCACACACAGGCAAACACAGGAGGCACTTTAAAACCAACCACCAGTTGAGTTACTTGCGTAGAGGTATCCAAATGCTTAAAATTTTGCCTTTTTCCGAGAATTTCGGCACCACTTGCCTCAAATTTGTCACAAACAAATTTTTATTTAAACACTACACAATTGTTATATTTTAAAAGAAAAACACGTTTATTTTATTATATTTTAAGTAAAATATATTAATTTCTTTAGGTGTATGTGGATGAATTATAAAATCACGCGTTTTTTTTCGTTACGAATATCTGAATGTGTATAATGTACAACTGCCGACGAACGTGGACACCGCAACTCTGACGACGCCGAGGTGAGCGCGGCGAAACGCGGTGACTCGGAGAGTGTGTTACGTCGGGTGCCCGTTGGAGGGGAACAGGTAGTAAACGAAGCCAACAAACGCAAAAGATACCGAAGAACACAAGAGTATTCCAGCCGAGAACAAGCAAACAAAACCAGTCGGTCACAGTTCACAACATAGAAATCTACTATACATAACCAAACTTTACAATACCTAGCAATACAAGTTGCCTACTTTAATATTACATACAACCCATAAAAAGAAATTCATTTGTTTCCAAAGAATATAACATAACATAATCACCTGTTGTGATTAAAACTACATTGCATCTCGTGAAAGTATACTAGATGGAATTCCGAGTGAATTGCCACTGCGCATGCGCAGCTTTGATATCAATCGGAGTCCGGGGACTAAGGTGACCGTAGTCTGAGCCTGTGTATGCATTTTACACCGAGATCAACTTCTTTCTGAGCATGTGTGTGCGCATTCTCGAAAGTCTCGGAAAGGAGTGGACCCGCCGTGTTCACGCTCATTTTGTGCGTCACACCGTTTACATTTACAGCTACAGTGCACATTGCACACACCACATGATTGTTGGTTGGGCTGGCTTGTGTGATGCTGTGAATGCAACTCTCATCAGCACGACTTCCGTCGACGTTCAACGGTTGCAAACATGTTTACGTGTTTATGTTATGCTCATTTCATTGAGTAAACCAATATCTGAATATCTTATACGTTGGAAATTTTGGTTTAGACGGTTGATTGAAGTTTTGGAACGCGTTCAACTTTCACATGAAACTTTTCAATGTGGGTAAGAAATTTGATCGAAGGGTGACGCGCAGCTTGCGGCGGGCATTTGTTTCCGGTCGATGGACGAGGGTACGTCATGTGGGGGCACGTGCACATCTGGAATGCAAACAATTTCACCCTAGAATCATCACAAACAAAATTTGTTTGTATAACGTCTAAAAATGCTTTTTTTGCGGAAACATCGGTTATTAATGACATACGAGTACAGCACATGACCAAATTCAATTTGATTTTGGTTAAGTTATGTTCTGTTATAGTTTGTGTATGTAACCATGCATGACGCTTGACATATTTTTAGCGTGCGGCCGAATTACGTAGTTAAATTTAACGGCTTTTCGGTCACAGCGTGAGCAATTCATGGTCGTTGATTGTAATATCGGTTTTCAAGTGTAAGATTGTCGTGTTTTTCACGCTTGGCGACAATCTCGGCCGTACATTGAACACGTCTGACATTAACATGACAATTGACAATCGAAACCGTCTTGAGATATCTCCTCCGTGACGGGTTTACTAATTTACATCGTCATAACCACGTTTTGGTAGCATACTAGTCAAAATTAACCTTAAATTCCATTTTATTGAGGATTAATTTATTTTTTTAAGCAAAACACTCTGTATCTCATGAAGTACTTGATCAATTTGGTGTTTCTTATAGTCATATGATAGGTAAAGAGATGTATAAAATATCCACAGAATTTCAACTTTTAGAACCTTTTGGAAGTGCCTTAAAATGGCCGCCAAAAAAGGTTTTAATAATATTTTCACAACTTGATGTAAAACACTCTGTATCTCCTGATCCAAGTAGGTTTTACTATTTTTTTTAAACATTTATTAATACATAACCACGTCTTACTACTACAGTAGTAACAATTAACCTAAAATTTAATATTAATGACTTATAATTTGTTTTTTGAAGGTTGTTTGCTTTATTTCTGAATTTATTTCATGCTATTGCACTTCCAAGCAATAAATTATGTTGTTATTAAACACCGGCACTTCAAACACCTTTTAATCTTGATCAATTTGATCAAATCTAGTTAAAATTGCAAATAAAATAATTTTATCGTATTTTGAGGTTATTTATAACTTACAAGTATAAAACTCATTCGTATTTGCACATTGTTCAAGATAAATACAAGGTTTGTGCACATTCTGCACATTCTACGCGTGTTCGTGATTAAAATATCACATTACAACACACTTGTGCTCAGTTGAATGCTGAGTACTTGAATTGATTGCTCAACTCATCCAACGCTGGGTGCGTTGCGCGAATTAAAAATTCTAAGGAATTCCATACCGATTCTCCACTCCAATGCCATACTGCAGCTTATATTCATAAAATATTTTGCAAGTGATTGAAAAGTCTCATTCTGCGCTCGCGAGACGAAAATGCCTGTGATTTGTAGCATGGAATGCGCGGAATGTCATATTACTCATATACACGCTCATATTTGAATACAATTAGTGCGTGTGAGCATGTGCGCATGCCCACTAGCGTAAACTATAACCTACACACCGTCAGAATGGTGCTAAAGACTGGTTTGTGGTGAATTTTACACACAAACGCACGGCATGTGGTCAGCCGACAGGTGAATACTGATGAATGGAATATTAGAGGCCATAATATGAATCATTCACGGGTATTTTTACGAATTATGAGCAATATAATCAATAAAACATCGAATAGAAATGGAATATAAAAATTAAATTCAATATTGCCTATGTGGTAATTGGTTATACATTTATGTACACAACAGTATGTGATAAAAAAATTGTTTACTGATTATAGCCTCTTATCACGCGCAGATTGTTGTTTTAATGTTCATTCATCGTGCACTGATGTGCTAGAAATAATATTTACTTTACTTACGTAAGATAAGTCTGGTTAATTATTTGATTAACTAATAAAAAATCTACTGTAAAGTAAATAGAAATTTCACACAAAGATTATGCTAGAATCCGCAATAGAATTTAAGTATAGTTTTTTTTTTACTTAGTAGTGTTATATGTTCAGAGAATATGTAATTGACTTTTTTTATAGTTTTGTTAGTTAGGAAAGCAGAAAAATATTGTAGTGTAGGCTTACAAATCATACATAATTCAACGTGGCGGAATGTATGGTTTCCTGCCAATTAGTAAGGAATTATTCTGTTCTCTTATATAATGTCCTAGGCAACCCAACATACATACTACTGCGTGAAATTGCGTGAGGGTTTATAACAACTAGCTACTTAACTGCTCTACAATGCATACTTATCAATGTTTTTATTGTCATATGTTAATAAATTTTATGTTTTAGTAAATGACATAAAACATTTTTGCCTATTTTTTCTTAGGAATTAAAATGTCGTCTCTTAAATTTTTATTTTAACTAGCCTATCTTATAGAGAATTTTCCATAGATTATGAATCTGCAATTTGTTCCTTTTAATCTCTTTTAGTTTACGAAATATTCCCAATTGAAATAAATCGTCAAAATCCGATAAATTTTGAGCACTTTCAGTCGCGTTTTTCGACCTCTTGCCCCATTAAATTAAATTATTTTAAATTTCTATCTGATAGAGAATTTTCCAATCTTCCGTAATCAACAATTTCCTGGTTGCTATCTTTTTAGTTTGGAAGATATTCGAAGAGAATTTTCCGTAGATAAAGAATCTGCGATTTGTTCATTTTTTATCTCTTTTAGCTTACGAAATATTGTAATAAGTACATCCTATCGACTTTAATATTTGAAGTTTTGAGTTATATGTAAAAATTGCTATTTGTTTAGATAGTGTGCTGCATGCGCACTTTCGTGTACCTACGTGCAACACATGGACACGGCTATTTAAGTGCGTGACCACTCACTGATTCATAAGCAATCGCTCACTGCCTCATATGCACGCCACACTTTTTGAAACGCATTGTATTTTCGTGTGGTACAACAAATAATCTTCAGATGGCGCAACGATGCATGTTTTAACTAAAAATATTCCTGCGAGTAAAAGTCTACCTGCACAGTTGTGATGCCGGCACGCAGCTCTTACTTCGTGCGGCAGATAAGAATACGCCGTCGAGTAATTGTGTTTCTTGTTGTAAATTCGGTATATCGCGTTATATTTGATTGAATTTAGTGTTAATTGTCGTGTTTAGTCACTCGCTAAATGTTTTTCGCGTGTGTAATCTTCGGAACTCAATATTTTGTGGGTTTAATATATTTCCGCGTGCAATCCGTTGCCGTCGGATGCCGGCCGGCCTTATTGTGTGATTGTAAATAATTGGTATTGTAGTTAATTTTGGACTTGTGCGAACCATTTTTGTCTCCTGCTCAACTCGTCGGCTCAATGTGTTACCTGGTATAAATTCTCATTTAAATAATTGTGGTGAATAAAATGATATTTAAGGCAATCTTTGGGTTCCGCCGGAACGCAGATTCATTTTAACATTGTCCGAAATTGTGTAACTAATGTTTTGTTTCTTCTTTATTTCAGTATCTACTCACATTTGATTTGCGGTGTTCGATATACTGGTAAGTTAACTTGTTCATCATTCATAGTATCTGTTTTCCTGTTTTACTGATTTCTTGCAATTAGAAAATTGATATCTTTTGCGGAAATCTTTTTAAGCATTCCGCAGAGAATTTTTAAATTGAAATTCAATTTTTATTTGCGGATGCTTCAATAAAACTCAAATCATAACTCATAACTTCATGACTTAAATTTTAATTTACTAGCATGAAATAAAAATCATAAAGTAGAATTGTATTGAAGACAGGTCTATTATCAGCGTTTGTGTATAAACAAATCTTTTATCGCATTTGCCGTGCAAGATGCAACGCGTAATATTTTCGTCTATCGTCGCGCTGTCGCACATTTTATTTAATTCTTATTGCAGGTACTGCGTCTATTGCAATTTGTGCATAAAGGTCACGTGCCATCCACACACCGGCTTGGCGCATCTATTGCTTTTACCACGAAGTATAGATAAAAGGAGTCCGAACGGTATAGGCTTTTTCGTCGTAGTCATGGTTCACAATTATATACAAAGCTAATAGTTCACCTTTCTGCCACTGGGTGCGCTTGAATCACTAGTGAATCGATGTACGTTGGTTCGTGTTCATAGCAACATTGAGACAATTTGTTTACATGACGTTCGTGTGTTTAGATACTTCGTGATTATTATTACACATGAACACGTGCTGGATTGTGAATGTTTAATTGAATTCAATTAAATTTACAAATACATTTTTAACTTTTATATGTATGTATACATTAATTTGAATTGGAACGTGATAGTATTATTTTTTTGAACTAATTTATTTATTGAAAATTAGTAGTGTTGAAAACATGGGAAGGTGTTGTGCTATTCCAGGATGTTTTAGTGGCCGAAAGACTAGTGAGAAGGTAGAAAAAGTAGTTTTATTCAAAGCACCAAAGGTGAGTAATATCTTTGAAAAATATGTGTTATAAACAATTAATTTATAACTAATAGCCCAAAGATTTAAAAATATGTCATAATTTCATGTATCTTGTGAAATATTGGCGGTGTCCATAGTAATGTAAGTATTTAAACGCGTACACTAACGCATAGTGGCGCGCTCTATTGGCGAATGTTTGGTCCCCTAGATCGTGACCATTAATTTAACATGACGTTCGGACTCCTTTTATCTATACTTCGTGGCTTTTACTACCTGCGGAGTACATGTAGCAGGTACAGAGTTTTATTGTGAACTAGCGACCCGCCCCGGCTTCGCACGGTTGCAATACTGATACTAAATACACTACAGAAAAACTGTGAACGTTGTGGTATAAAATATATAGCCCATGTAATTAAAATCGATCCAGTAGTTTTGATTTATTCATTACTGCCCCTGGCCCGCACGCGTTAAATTTGGAGTAAAACAATCCCCCTTTCCCTATACCATGAAGATTTCCTGCTATCTTTGGAATATCTAAATTCATACACTACATTTTTACTTATTTACTTTTCACATTTTATAGTATGTGCCGCAGTAAAAAATATCTAAATTCTTACCATTTAGAAACAAAAGATAATCAACAATCATAAAAAACAAAATATACCTATTCTATTCAGTTCTTTTTTTTTTACTGAAATACCTCTAATTTATATTTTAAAACTACTATTATACAATTATTTATCGTAACTTACTTATAATTACTGATACGTTGTCGCGCTGAAAAGAACGTTTTTATTACCTAAGTATTGCTATTTTCCTCGCTGGAAAGCTCCGATATAATAAACGTGCCCGATCGCTGCGAAATTCAAAGTGCTACAGAGAAAACCGCGGCCGGCCGGTACCGCCGAAAACGCTACGTCCGCAATTTTTAAAAAATCCGTTGCGTAGTTTCAAAGATTTAAGCATACAAAGGGACAGACAGAGAAAGCGACTTTCCTTCTCCAAACAAAAACATCAACCGATCAACTTCAACCCACACGTACACCCATGCACACGTCTGTGCTTAGGGGAAGCTACGAAGCATCGCACAAAGAGTAGACGGCAGAGTTTACAACATCATATTAGAAGCCTCAAAATAACAGTACTTCTCCACTATTTAATGGATGTTATTATACATACAAACCTTCCTCTTGAATTACTCTATCTATTAAAAAAACCGCATCAAAATCCGTTGCGTAGTTTCAAAGATTTAAACATACAAAAAAGCGACTTTACTTTATACTATGTAGTGATTGTCGCATCGTAAATTCTATTAAGAGATGGCACTAGCATGAACTAAAAATCATAAAGGGATATATTAAATGCACTTTAGTTAAAATACAATCCACTTGAACAGCCGCACTTAAGTTTTCATACTTTGCACTAAGAAATGCATATTATGCACTATAGATTGTATAACTTATATTTTAATACAATGCACTTATATATTCAGGTTTAAGCTTAAATTTGCTTTGAATCAACTTTTTAAATTGAAACTTTATAATTTGAGGTGGTTAGGTAGGGTACCTTGTTTGGTATTATTTGTGGGGTGGTCGGAGGTTTGGGGGTGGTGGTTAGGTAGGCTACCTTGTTTGGTATTATTTGTGGAGCGGTCGAGGGGTTGGGGTGGTCGGGGGTGGTGGTTAGGTAGGCTCCTTTGTGTGGTATTATTTGTGGGGTGGTTGGGGGTTGGGGGGAGGGGGTGGTTGGGGGTTGGGGGTGGTGGTTAGGTAGGCTACCTTGTTTGGTATTATTTGAGGGGCGGTGGGGGGGGGGATAGAAGGGGCCGGCTAAGAGTACGGCACGTACTTAATACTGCAAGTTTTATAAGTGCAAAGTATTAATTTCATAGTGGAAAGCATTTTATTCAAGTGGAATCCATTTTTCAAAGTGCACATATTTATTTTTAAGTTCAGTTCTGTATTTTTAAGTGCAAACATTATTTATAAGTGCATTTAATGAATTGACAAGTTAAAAATCGAAAAAATAAAGTTCGTTTAATTACATGCCAATCATAAAATAGAATTGTATTCGTTTTGAATCATATCAGCGTTTGTGTATAAACAAGCTTCTTATCGCATTCGCCGTGCGAGATGCTACGCGTAAGATTCTCGTCGCGCTGTCGCATGCAGCACATTTTAGTCTAGTTCTTATCACAGGTACCGTGTCTATTGCAATTCGTGCAAGGTCGCGTGCCATCGACGCGCCGCCGGGTTTGCGAATCTATTGCTTTTACCTGCCGGGTTTATGCAGCAGGTACAAAGTCTAACTGTCGCATTCTTGCGTGCGCAGTTTCGGCATGCTCTCCGTGGTGGATTGCAGCTATTTTCGTGCCGATCTCTGCCGTATCCAGACGTATTTCGCGCAACGCGTTTTGTTTTATCGGATTTCTATTTTATAAGTTTGCATTATATTCGGTCATCAATCGACCTGGTTGTAATATGCATCTGCAGTGTTTTGTTAATGATTAATTGTGCGTTTGATGTTTATATTTAAAATAACAATGCTGCGGTTTTATTGTCTGTTATTGTGTGACGTGTCGGTTGCTAGATCAACCGGAAACATATTCGTGCTTGAGTAAGTAACTTTTATCTGACCATGGCGAAACTCAGAACAGATAGTTTGTTTTCTCTTATGTGTGAATATAACATTATCACATTGTATAAAATGTTTTTGTTTTAACTTATGTTTTCTTTTAATTACAGTACTTGCTGTACCCTTGTATTCCGATGAGCGCTGCATTGGTAAGTTTATAATTAAGTTATATTATTCGGTTGAATGTTTTATCTCATTTCACCTGCGTGTTGCAATAGTCCGCGAATTAGGGGGGCCGTATATATTTCACTTAATGGTAATATTGAAAACGGATCATACTGCGGAAAACCTTTGTGAAATGTTCAAATTTTTCTTTGGATTCTAATAACGCACTTTTAAACACGATTTCGCAACTCCAACACTCCGAATTTTAATTATTTTTATGTCTTATCGTATAGAGAATTTTCCAAACTTAAATAGGTTAATTAGATTAGATTATGAATTTGAAATCCGTTCTGGTCTATCTCTTTTAGTTTACGAGATATTCGCAATTGAAAAAAATCGTCTTCAATCGCGTTTTTGGACTTTTTATCCAACAGAATAAAATTATTTTAAATCCTAATAGATAATCCTCCAATATTTCACATTGCGGTGGTCGATATCGCTTTTAGTTTAAATGATATTCTCTATTAAAGTTTATTGAATTGAATATGTCAAAAAAATTGCTTTAGTTGAGTCTCTATTGGTGTACCGTAGTAGGGTGGCAGTAGAAGTGACTCCAATTCAGGGCACCGTACGAGGGCAGCGGTAGAAGTGACTCGTGTACAGAGCACTCATTCATCTTCATTCGTCCATTTTTTCTTAGGAAATAAACATTCCAGTATTTCATAATCAGCAATTCGTTGGTTGCTATCTCTTTTAGTTTCAAAGATATTAATTATCGAAAATCCTCGAAAAAATATCAAGCACCTGGCAATTTTTTCTTAAGGATTAAAATTTTATCTCTCAGATTTCCGCTTTATCTAGCCTATCTTATAGAAAATAGTCTGTAGATTAAGACGCTGCGATCAGATCTTATTTATCTCTTTTAGTTTACGAGATATTCGCGATTGAATAAAATGGGCAAAATTGAAAATTGTCACTTTTAGCACTTTTAGTTGCGTTTTTGACCTTTTGCTGTAGAAAATATAATTATTTTATATGTTTTATCTGATAGAGAATTTTTCAGTCTTTCATAATCAGCAATTCGTTGGTTGTTATCGCTTTTAGTTTAAGCGATATTAATTATCAAAAATCGTCGAAAAAAGTATCAAGCACCCCCTTGGCAATTTTTTCTTAAGGATTAAAATTTTATCTCTCTGATTTCCGCTTTAACTAGCCTATCTTATAGAAAATAGTCTGTAGATTAAGACGCTGCGATCAGATCTTATTTATCTCTTTTAGTTTACGAGATAATGGACAAAAATTGAAAAATGTCACTTTTAGCACTTTTAGTTGCATTTTTGACTTTTTACTATTGGAAATATTGTTATTTTATATTTTTATCTGATAGAGAATTTTTAGTTTTTAGTATAACACGCGAACGCGGTGTCATAGCGAGAAAATTCCGTATCGCGAGTTATATTGATAGTTGTGTGAGTGCGCCGTAGTACTCGTTGCGCCAGGAATTGCAGTTTTCTTAATATTACACGCGAACGCGGTGACACAATAAGTTCGGAATAATTTTGCCAGATGCGGAATTTAATTCTGTATCACCCTGTATTCAATTTTATAGCGAAAAAATTCCGTATCGCGAGTTATATTGATAGTTGTGTGAGTGCGCCGTAGTACTCGTTGCGCCAGGAATTGCAGTTTTCTTAATATTACACGCGAACGCGGTGACACAATAAGTTCGGAATAATTTTGCCAGATGCGGAATTTAATTCTGTATCACCCTGTATCAAAACTTATAGCGAGAAAATTCCGTATCGCGAGTTATATTGATAGTTGTGTGAGTGCGCCGTAGTACTCGTTGCGCCAGGAATTGCAGTTTTCTTAATATAAGACGCGAACGCGGTGACACAATAAGTTCGGAATAACTTTGCCAGATGAGGAATTTAATTCTGTATCACCCTGTATCAAAACTTATAGCGAGAAAATTCCGTAAAATTTGTGGGTTTATCCCTCGGGAAACCTACAAAATGCCCTTTTGTGTTTTTGGTCGTCGAATTTTTTGGTTTTTAGGGTTTAGCGGGCGAATGTCATGTCGTAGGACAACCGTTCTTTCACCAAATTATAGATATTTAAATTCTTTATGATTTTCATATATAATTAGTGGGTTTATCCCTCGGGAAACCTACAAAAATGCCCTTTTTGTGTTTTTTGGTCGGCTAATTTTGTGGTTTTTAGTGTTTAGCGGGCGAACGCCTTGTCGTAGGATAACCGTTCTTTCACCAAATTATAGATATTTAAATTCTTTATAATTTACATGTATAATTTGTGGGTTTATCCCCCGGGAAACCTACAAAAATGCCCTTTTTGTGTTTTTTGGTCGTCGAATTTTTTGGTTTTTAGTGTTTAGCGGGCGAACGCCTTGTCGTAGGATAACCGTTCTTTCACCAAATTATAGATATTTAAATTTTTTTAATTTACATGTATAATTTGTGGGTTTATCCCCGGGAAACCTACAAAAATGCCCTTTTGTGTTTTTGGTCGTCGAATTTTTGGTTTTAGTGTTTAGCGGGCGAACGCGAACTTGTCGTAGGATAACCGTTCTTTCACCAAATTATAGATATTTAAATTCTTTTTAATTTTCATGTATAATTTGTGGGTTTATCCCCGGGAAACCTACAAAAATGCCCTTTTGTGTTTTTGGTCGTCTAATTTTGTGGTTTTAGTGTTTAGCGGGCGAACGCCTTGTCGTAGGATAACCGTTCTTTCACCAAATTATAGATATTTAAATTCTTTTTAATTTTCATGTATAATTTGTGGGTTTATCCCCCGGGAAACCTACAAAAATGCCCTTTTGTGTTTTTGGTCGCCGAATTTTTGGTTTTAGTGTTTAGCGGGCGAACGCCTTGTCGTAGGATAACCGTTCTTTCACCAAATTATAGATATTTAAATTCTTTTTAATTTACATGTATAATTTGTGGGTTTATCCCCCGGGAAACCTACAAAAATGCCCTTTTTGTGTTTTTTGGTCGTCGAATTTTTTGGTTTTTAGTGTTTAGCGGGCGAACGCCTTGTCGTAGGATAACCGTTCTTTCACCAAATTATAGATATTTAAATTCTTTTTAATTTTCATGTATAATTTGTGGGTTTATCCCCGGGAAACCTACAAAATGCCCTTTTGTGTTTTTGGTCGTCGAATTTTTGGTTTTAGTGTTTAGCGGGCGAACGCCTTGTCGTAGGATAACCGTTCTTTCACCAAATTATAGATATTTAAATTCTTTTTTTTTCATGTATAATTTGTGGGTTTATCCCCGGGAAACCTACAAAAATGCCCTTTTGTGTTTTTGGTCGTCGAATTTTGTGGTTTTAGTGTTTAGCGGGCGAACGCCTTGTCGTAGGATAACCGTTCTTTCACCAAATTATAGATATTTAAATTCTTTTTAATTTTCATGTATAATTTGTGGGTTTATCCCCGGGAAACCTACAAAATGCCCTTTTTGTGTTTTTGGTCGTCGAATTTTTGGTTTTAGTGTTTAGCGGGCGAACGCCTTGTCGTAGGATAACCGTTCTTTCACCAAATTATAGATATTTAAATTCTTTTTAATTTTCATGTATAATTTGTGGGTTTATCCCCGGGAAACCTACAAAAATGCCCTTTTGTGTTTTTGGTCGTCGAATTTTTGGTTTTAGTGTTTAGCGGGCGAACGCCTTGTCGTAGGATAACCGTTCTTTCACCAAATTATAGATATTTAAATTTTTTTATTTTCATGTATAATTTGTGGGTTTATCCTCGGGAAACCTACAAAAATGCCCTTTTGTGTTTTTGGTCGCCGAATTTTTTGGTTTTAGTGTTTAGCGGGCGAACGCCTTGTCGTAGGATAACCGTTCTTTCACCAAATTATAGATATTTAAATTTTTTTATTTACATGTATAATTTGTGGGTTTATCCCCGGGAAACCTACAAAAATGCCCTTTTGTGTTTTTGTTCGTCGAATTTTTGGTTTTAGTGTTTAGCGGGCGAACGCCTTGTCGTAGGATAACCGTTCTTTCACCAAATTATAGATATTTAAAATCTTTTTAATTTTCATGTATAATTTGTGGGTTTATGCCCGGGAAACCTACAAAAATGCCCTTTTTGTGTTTTTTGGTCGTCGAATTTTGTGGTTTTTAGTGTTTAGCGGGCGAACGCCTTGTCGTAGGATAACCGTTCTTTCACCAAATTATAGATATTTAAATTCTTTATGATTTTAATATATAAATAGTGGGTTTATCCCTCGGGAAACCTACAAAAATGTCCTTTTTGTGTTTTTGGTCGTAGAATTTTTGGTTTTAGTGTTTAGCGGGCGAACGCCACGTTGTAGAAGAACCGTTCTTTGACCAAATTATAGATATTTAAATTCTTTTTAATTTACATGTATAATTTGTGGGTTTATACCCGGGAAACCTACAAAAATGCCCTTTTGTGTTTTTGTATTGCGGCTAATTTTGTGTTTTTTTTGTTTTAGCCGGCGAACGCAATGTCGTGGGACCGCCATACTTGCACTAAATTGTACGGTGCCTTGAATGGGAGTCACTTCTACCGCTACCTTCGCACGGTGCCCTAAATGGGAGTCTTTATGGATCCTGTAAGAATAATTAATTTAATTTATGTATATTTCATTTACATAAATATTTTCCAGTTGGATGAAGCATTGGCTATTCCTGAGATGCCCAAGTTTATCAATAAGGAGCAAGTGGAGAGGTTCCGTCGTACTGGTGGAGTGCGTATTGACGATGATGTTCTGATTCTGAAGATGGATGTGTTAACTGGAATAAAATACCAAGAATGTATGTTATATTTTGGCAATTTATAATATTTTATATTTTACTATTCTGTTATTCATTCTGGTTTATAGTGTCCAAGAAATTGAAGATTGGATTGGTGTTGATGATGATTCCAAATACGATTGAATTTACAACATTTTGAAGCTGATATTGATATCATTTTTATGTATTTTGTTAAAAGGTATGAAAAGAGCATTATCTAATTGCATATTATTATCCTGTTTTCATGCTTGTATTGTTAAAAATGCTGTATATATTAAGAAATTGAGTTTGTGATTCTACATGTTTGAATAAAATTGTTGTTTTATATTTTTAACTATAAATTTTTATTGTTTTATTTGTTCCAAACGGAGAACATAGCTCACAACATCGTTACTCCTTTAATTAATCCATAAATCCCTTAAACTTTAATGGAAATGCCACTGCTAGATATGAGAAATAGTTCAAAATCAATTTTATATTGTATCAATATTAATTTAAAAACGGTATCACTAGTGTCATCTATCCACGAGTAACTAAACTACGCCGCTATTCAAGAGATTTAGCCTACTGCACTTTCTGCGATCCTAATATTCAAAAGAATTTTGTTACTAATTTCAATGGATTTCTCGACAAAATTTGTCGAGAAAATTGCTGAAATGTTGCTGCTCATCAGTCTGTAGTATTAGGAACGCAGAAAGTAGATATAGACAATTCCCGCCACATTATTATATATATTATTTCAATTTGTTTCAAAATTCCAACTTTTAATTTTCATCATAAAAAAGAGAAATCTTTTGCCTTTTTTATAACAAAATCTTTTCTTTAAACATTTTTTGTGCCATTTTGATGATTTTTCAATAATGATGCCACCTTGTAGAGAATTTTTCAAGGATCAAGATTATGTAGTTCTTAATTTTCTAGCCCTCTTAGTTGCCGAGCTCCTTCAGAATTCGAAAACCGAATTTGCTGAATAAAGATTTTTAAACATTCATTTTACCCGCCATTACTAGTTACCGCCTCTTTTATTTACTTACCTCCTCACCCTTTCTGCGATCCGAATACCAAAACCTGAGTTTCGACTGTTTCGAGTCCAAATTTTGTGTCATTTTGCCTCCCAGAGTCGACAAAATAAAGATTGAATATTAGGATCGCAGAAAGTTGAGAAGGCTGATAAAGTTTTGGCGGTAACTAGTAATGGTGCTGCCCTCTAGTGGCGACGGGGTGAAGCTCAAACTTTTGGCTGTTGTAGTTTCTAATTGATAGATGGCACTAGCATGCACTTTTCAAAATAAATGGTAAATGGTAAAATGAGGGATCGTGAAATATGTGATCAGGTAGAAATAACAGAAATAATTATAATTAGAAATACTTAAAAAATATTCTTTATTAAAAAAAACACACAAACATAAAGAATGGTCCTTCTACGATGTCAGACTCAGGTGCAAAATCCCTAAAACCATAAAAAATTAGTCCTTCGAACATAAAAATGCAATTTTAAGGGTCAATTTGTGAGATTATCACAAAAGTTATTTAGGAAAATGATAAAGAAATTAATTACTTACAATCTGATGCAAGAATGGTCCTCCTACGATGTCAGACTCAGGTGCAAAATCCCTAAAACCATCAAAAATTAGTCTTTCGGTCAGAAAAATGCAATTTTAAGGGTCAATTTGTGAGATTATCACAAAAGTTATTTAGGAAAATGATAAAGAAATTAATTACTTACAATCTGATGCAAGAATGGTCCTCCTACGATGTCAGACTCAGGTGCAAAATCCCTAAAACCATCAAAAATTAGTCCTTCGAACGTAAAATGCAATTTTAAGGGTCAATTTGTGAGATTATCACAAAAGTTATTTAGGAAAATGATAAAGAAATTAATTACCTACAATCTGATGCAAGAATGGTCCTTCTACGTTTTCAGACTCAGGTCCAAAATCCCTAAAACCATAAAAATTAGTCTTTCCGTCAGAAAAATGCAATTTTAAGGGTCAATTTGTGAGATTATCACAAAAGTTATTTAGGAAAATTATAAAGAAATTAATTACTTACAATCTGATGCAAGAATGGTCCTTCTACGATGTCAGACTCAGGTGCAAAATCCCTAAAACCATAAAAAATTAAAAATGCAATTTTAAGGGTCAATTTGTGAGATTATCACAAAAGTTATTTAGTCCCTCGAACATAAAAATGCAATTTTAAGGGTCAATTTGTGAGATTATCACAAAAGTTATTTAGGAAAATGATAAAGAAATTAATTACTTACAATCTGATGCAAGAATGGTCCTCCTACGATGTCAGACTCAGGTGCAAAATCCCTAAAACCATAAAAAAATTAGTCCCTCGAACATAAAAATGCAATTTTAAGGGTCAATTTGTGAGATTATCACAAAAGTTATTTAGGAAAATGATAAAGAAATTAATTACTTACAATCTGATGCAAGAATGGTCCTTCTACGATGTCAGACTCAGGTGCAAAATCCCTAAAACCAACAAAAATTAGTTCTTCGAACATAAAAATGCAATTTTAAGGGTCAATTTGTGAGATTATCACAAAAGTTATTTAGGAAAATGATAAAGAAATTAATTACTTACAATCTGATGCAAGAATGGTCCTTCTACGATGTCAGACTCAGGTGCAAAATCCCTAAAACCATCAAAAATTAGTACTTCGAACATAAAAATGCAATTTTAAGGGTCAATTTGTGAGATTATCACAAAAGTTATTTAGGAAAATGATAAAGAAATTAATTACTTACAGTGTGATGCGAGAATGGTCCTCCTACGATGTCAGACTCAGGTGCAAAATCCCTAAAACCATCAAAAATTAGTACTTCGAACATAGAAATGCAATTTTAAGGGTCAATTTGTGAGATTATCACAAAAATTATTTAGGAAAATGATAAAGAAATTAATTACTTACAATCTGATGCGAGAATGGTCCTTCTACGATGTCAGACTCAGGTGCAAAATCCCTAAAACCATCAAAAATTAGTCCTTCGAACATAAAAATGCAATTTTAAGGGTCAATTTGTGAGATTATCACAAAAGTTATTTAGGAAAATGATAAAGAAATTAATTACTTACAATCTGATGCGAGAATGGTCCTCCTACGATGTCAGACTCATGTGCAAAATCGCTAAAACCATCAAAAATTATACTTTGAACATAAAAATGCAATTTTGGGGGTCAATTTGCGAGATAATAACAAAATTTATTTAGGAAAATGATAAAGAAATTTAATACTTACAATCTGATGCAAGAATGGTCCTTCTACGATTTCAAACTCAGATGCAAAATCCCTAAAACAAGTTTAAATTAGTCCTTGGAAACACAAAGATATTTAAATTAATTTGATAGGATATTAGGTTTGATCAATCAAGTAATACTTACAGTTAATTTTTAGAAGACAATTTCTTGTCCCACACCGCATCATTGAATCATCCCCGATCTTCTTTATATCTTTGTTGCATTCCCAATAATGATTTCATACCTCAACCAATTCTAATCGAACTGAGGTTAGGTCTTCCAACGTTGTACAAGCAAAACCCCACTTGGTAAACACAAAAATAGAGTTTGCTATCTTGTGTAAAAGGTAGGACAAAAGAAATACTGAATTTATTATTTTACTTTACATGACCTTAAACATTTTGAAATGGTACCAAAATCATATATTAATGAAAATTTAAACAAAATACACACTTTATAACATATATCTTTTATTTATTTGTATATATTAATAATAATCAAATTGATATAAAAGCACTTGCAAAATTTGCCACCATTTTGCACCCTCGACTGGTATACTGCCACTCACTCGACGCCACTATTCATGTAATACGTGTGTCAGTGTGTTAAAAGTTGAAATTTGATTCGGTGTGCGTACAAAAATAAACCAGGACCGTCCAATCTTTAACATATAACATACAATAACTCTACTAAAGTCAAATAAAACATTTTTACATTCATATACATTCAAAGCATAATATAAGATGGTTGAATGTGTTGTTTTAGGAATGCAGTGGACAAAACAGTGCCGGAACACTTTCAACACGAATATTCATATAAAATTAACATAGCGCTTGTTTCAACTTGTTGAGAAGCATCGATCCAATGACCATCTTCTCACAATTGACAGTAATCGCCACTTTCTCATCGGCAATCACTGCAGTAATCAACACCAATGACGACGACGTTAAAGTCTGGCCAGCAAATCTTAAAATATTGGCGTCGGCGGTTTCAATAACGCCTAAATTCGCAGTTTGACACACGGTCTGTTTGTTAGTCTTGGCAGAATGATGAGGCACAACATCGCAGTGCTCGTTCATCCCCTTCAACTTCGCCTGATGACGCAGGAAGACTTCTTCAGCCATTACGACAGGCCGCAGTAATTCCCCGACGTCTGCTTTGATACAGATACTGCTGGTGCCTAAAGATGAAACAATTTCCAGATTGGCAGCGTGTAGGGAGTCATTGAAGTCGATGCCCAGCGTTCCTGGCAGGGTGCATTTGGGTGGTAAAGTTGTTATCGACGCGAACTCATGAATAGACATACCAGGTGATAACGTCTACAAAAATACAACAAATTATAAGTTTATATACAAACAAATTAAAATTAAAAACTAAAAACTTACTTTCTGTCCTATTCGAACATCCATAACTTCCTCATTGGTATTGTTCGTGAAACTTAAATTGATGTTAACCATCGATGCCGAGAACAAATGTGGATTCCGCGTGAATCTATACGAAATACTCAATCCTTTCCCGTTGATCTTATTGAGGACTTCATGACTTGTATGTGAGTACTCAACGGGAGGAATCACCTGAATGTCCGGCTTGCTGTGACTAGCGCTGGTGGTCGAGTTATCCATTGGCGTGAGAAACCCTCCCAGAGAAGGGGTCATAACAGGTGCATAGGTACCTTCAGCAGGTTCCAGGTCTAAGAGTAACTCTAAATTACTCTTACTTGCGTTATTTTGTGGTTTATCATTCGTGGGTGGTTTTCGTTTGTCTTTTTCTTTCGGAGGCGGTGGCTCCTTCTTGGTTACTTTAGGAACAATTGTTTCCAATTCACTTTCATCGTCATCGTCGTCATCATCGTCTTCCGAAACTGATGAAGATTCTTCTGATTCAGACTCGGACCTATTAATCAATTTATTTAATAAAATAAATTTAATTTTATAATATTTTTACTTACGTGGATGTTGATCCTTCACTCGTGCTTTCTTCTTCATCCTCATTATTATCCTCGTCTTCTTCGTTACTATTCTCAACAGCATCATCTTCGGTATAACTACCTTCAGTAGATGAAGACTCTTCCGAACTCCATGAATCATAGTTACCATTATCTTGTTCACCATTATCCTGTCGAGTATTCCTAGGCCGCTCGTCAACCTGCGGTGCAACATTACGCACGTCACCTGGTGGAGCAACTTCAGGCCAATCAGGAAGCGGTTCATAACCAGCGGCTTTCTGATTAATCGAGTGCGATAACGATCCCAATTGATATTGCTCAGTATCTAAAACAATTAAAAAATAATCACCATAAATTGTTTTATATTATTATTATATATTTTAAACCCACCTTCAGTGTTTCGTATCGTTGGCGCTGGTTTCGTCGCGAGAAAAATCCTCGCCGCGTTCGCAATCAGAATATTATCCGGATTGTCGATGAAATTTCGTAGCAAACGTGTACGATCACGAATATCATAACTCTGATCATACCGCGCCAAGTTGAAGATATACTGACAAATAAGCGCGTACTGCTCCTTGTTATGAATGTGTAGCTTAACCGCCAGATTCAACACTTGTAGCTTAACAATATCTTGTTCATTCGCGAATGTTTTCGTCGCTTTCTTTAACACATTCGACGCCATTGGGATATCTCGGCAGTGCTCACCGAGTAACCAAATAATAGAAGCACGAGCCTGCGGTACTTCGATATTGTCCAAGAGACGAATCATCTGTTTAATTATTTCAGTTGGGTTTGCTGCTTGTGTCTGCAACAGGCGTTTTATAACGACTACACTTTCCGCAACGACAACTTCTGTAATAATTAAATTTAATTATTAAAAGATTATTGGTTGTTTTACGACTACAAACCATTTTATTAGAGAGCAAAGTAACTAATCCACTAAGGCACGTGTCAGTCACCGCAGTAATGTAGCAAGCACACCGTCCAATGGCCTGAATAGTCGCCGCGACGAAATTATCATCGTAATTCGAGATGTAAGTCTCGAGTTCTCTCAGAATCGTCGATATGTTACCCTCGGTGGCAATATTCGTCAACACCGTCAACTTTAAGAGTTTAATACGCGTCGAATCAGTCGTGCGTATGAAGAAACTCTTGAGGTAAACATCAAACGCTCCTTTTTTACTCAGCGTCATTGTCACGATGCTCTTCAAGACTAATTCCTGTACTTCAGTGTTGGATCGCAATAGTCGTACTAACGCTTTGACAGCTGGCATGGTTTCATGTTTAGGACCAATGTGGTGATACATCTGCGCCACGGCCATCACTACAGCAGCGTTTCGAGATTGTAGTAATGGTCGTGCTGAACGCAGCAATAAACGATGATCTGGATCTAGAGATGGTTGCGGTGGTTTTTCTTCGGAATCCGAGGATGAATCGTAGAAAGCTTTGTCTTCTTCGTCTTTATCGTTGAGGCATGGGTTGGTGAACTGTGTGCGCGCATAGTGGGTTAATACTTGCACAATTATCACCTGACCCCATTCGTCGACGTCGCCGAGTAAGGCACATAGCTTGCGATAGACCAGATGAATAAGGTCAACTCGTTCCGGGCAGACTTTTGTAAAGGCCATCACTGCGGAGCCGAGGACAAGCACGGTGCGATCCGCGAGTAGTTTTTCGATAATTACGACCAGTTCTGGTTTGATTTCAGGATCCAAACTGTTAAAAAACATAAATATTTAATTTTTTTATATTTAAGGATTAAATGTATATACCTGTATAATTTTGGTATAGCATGAGCCGCAGTTTTCCGCACATAAGGTGACATATCAGCAGATGCATCCCTGATTGCAATCATCACAATTGGAGCAATCATAGGGACTCTAATCCCGGATAAAACGCGCAACGAACCCGCGCGGATTAATTGATTAGGTTCTTTTAAAGCTCTTTGAAAGGTTGATATACTCAACAGGGCTAAATCTTCTTTTTCTTCTGCATATCTTTCAAGATATGAATACACCAGTTTTTTAAGCTCAATATTTTTAGAAACTACATTTTTTACAACTGCTGGGAATAGTGCAGATGCATCTCTACCTTTTGCAATCATCTAAAATTAATAAAACACAATTTTTATTCAGGTAAATTAAAAAAAAAATTGTTTATGTTTACCCCAATGATTCTTTTCATAGCCTCCAGTTTCAGATTATCTTTGTTCGAGTCAAGCATCTCTTTAAGGTCTTCATTTCTATTGATTATACATGTTAATATTGAATTTAAAATGCATGTTTTTTGGTGTTACCTGCGAAAGTCAGCGGCGAAAAACACTCCGTCCATGCCGATCGGATACTCCTGGTCCAGCGGAGCACCAGCTCCCTTTTCCTTATCGTGGTTCTTGTTGTACGAGTTGTGTGTCATCGTGCCGGAGATGGAATGCAACATGCTAGGCGCGCTAATTCATAAACTTCGCTGGCGTCCGCGGCATTCGCGACCGGACACGTAAAACAATCTGCGAGCGGTTGTGGTGGATCTTGTAGAGTTGGTGAAGTTTGTGCTGCCTGCTGCTGAAGATACTGTCAAAGCTGTCATTGAGAAACATCTGTGGAGTCACTAAAATGTTATTTTTAGGTTGGTAGACATGACAATGTAAAGTAACCTTGAACTTTAAAATTTGAAGAACTAACAAATTAGATTACGTTCAATAACAATAAAGTATAAAACTGTGTGGGTTGGTATTAATTGTTTACGGTTATCTTGTGTTTGATTACTTAATGACTAAACAAACCACAGTTTTGTTGAAAAGCGACTAATAACATTAGCTTAACCACTAAACACGCAAAAATTTATACTATCACTAAATAAACAACGTAATTAATTATACTAACACATTTTACAACTAGAATTATTTTCCCAAGAAGTATTACTTCATAATTTAATATTTTGATTTTATAATTACACCCTGTATTTATTTCTGTATGTTGGGTTGCCTAACATCAAAAAGTTGTGATTTACATCGTACATTCATATTAGTTTCCAATTTTTTATCGTGTTTGGATTCACATTCAACTTATTTACGGCTGGAAGTGTGTCATATGGTATTCATGAATAATCTCTACAGCTTTAAACATGTTTTATGTGGCAATTATCGCCAATTACGTTATTGGAATAATTATTCAGAACGTGTCTGAGCTGTCGGAAACTACAAAAGACAACGATTACTACGAATTATTATTTGTTTAAATCCTTGTACCAATAATCTGTTTTAACTTGATTGATTCTTTGTTTTACGGTTATTCCAAGGAAACATCGGTTATATTTTAATTTTTATAAGTTGTTTATGTTTTAAAGCAATATCCGCCATTTTTTATCAGTTTTTAGCTGAAATTCCACTATTTCTTAATCAAATCAATTCAAATCTTTAATAAAAACATGTTTTACGTCTAATTACGTCCTAATAAGTTATAAACTAGTGCAAATTATGTGTTTTTACGTATAAATTACACAGAAATTAAATTTGCAAATGGCCGACTTGATAAAACTCATTAAATCATAACTTTGCGTCAAGATGATGCGGTTTTAATAAGTTATATCTTCTAATATGGCAAACTCAATTTGCATTTTGATGCCTTTCAACTCCTAATTGATGGTAACGTGAAGCGTATCGAATCATCGAAGCGGCACCACGGGCACCGCTGCCAGCGGCGTAAAAACACAAACAAAACCGCGGAATAATGCGCTCAATCAAGGTCAGGATTTCCCCAGCGTTGTGACGTCACCACAACGTTGATTCCTTCGGCCCCGGTGGAGCCGAGTGAGATATGATTCGCCGGTCGGTCCATCGTCCGCGCATTCATCGTCCGGTTTCGGACGATTTAACTTCACATAGCATCAGCCACGACCAGAAGCCGGTTTTCAGTCGCGAATTGTCTCTTTGTTCCGTTAAACACATCTAAAAACAAACATCGAACACAAAACTTGTTTTATTGATACTCGCAATCGGTTTTAATTTGTTTCTTGCCCGCAGTGCACGAACGCCATGTTGCCTTAAAGTGAATTCAGTGCGTTTTGAATTTTTATATCATGTGTTAGTGTATGTGTGTGATTTTTTGTGTTTGGCTTCGTTAAGTGTTGTTTTTAATTACCGAAAAACTTGCTCGGTGACCTTAGACGAGAGCTATCAGCGGGTCAATCCGACAATCCGCGCGCGCGTCCCCGGTCACACTACGTTTGACTTCATTTATTCTTCTTTGTTGGCGCTGTGCGGACGTAAAATGTCTAGAAATGCGATTGGTAAGTGTCAAAACAACTAAAAACTACAAATTAAATAAATATATGTAGTAATCTTTGTTTTTAAAACAAAATGGTGACGCGTTTGTGGTTTTGAATTAAAAGTTGTAAATTTTATTGATTTCAGGTTGTATACTGACGGTTTGTTTGTTTTGCGGTTTGGCAAATTCGGCGAGCACTGCTATTCAACCGCAAATCGACGAGGACGAATACATTCCATCATCACACTCCGGTCTGCGCGATGATTTCGACTGGCAGTTACTTCAGGTATTACACATCTGCATATTTGGTTGCCTATATTAAACTATATTTACTCCAATAGGAATTATCCAAAACTTCCAAAGGAAATACAATTATTTCACCGATTAGTTTAAAACTAATTCTGGCTTTACTCTATGAGGGTGCAGGTGGAATCACAGAGAATGAACTCCACGATGTTTTACAATTCAAAAATCAATCGGAAGTACGACAGGAATATTCGAATATTTTACTGTCGCTCACCAACGGTAAACGGCCATCTTGTGTGAATCAAAACACGAACCAATATCAAGCTCGTGCTGCAATTAAAACAGCGCGTGCGCAAATTCCAACACCTCAACAACAATACACTCTTAATCTTGGCACACAGATTTATCTTGATCAAAATGTCCACGCTATACAAGCATTCGAAGTAAAAGCCTGCGAAAAGTATCAGACGCGTATCGTCAGCGCGAATTTTTCGAATCCTGATAAAACCAGCATGACAATCAACAACTATGTCAATCGTATTACACAAGGAAAGATTTCCAAGTTGACTGACCCAGGAGACGTCACCAATGCTGTTATGTTATTGGTAAATGCTTTATACTTCCGTGGATATTGGAGTCATCAATTCCCTAAGGAAAAATCGCACATTGGAGGCTTTTATTTGGCTCCGGGACAAGCTGTGCAAGTTCCCTTCATGGCTACAACCGAATGGTACTATTATGTTGAGTCAGAAACACTGGATTCGAAAATTATCCGTATTCCATTCAAGGTAACACAACATAACCTTATTTTTGAACTATTTAACCTTAAAATGTATTTTGTGTACAGGGAAAGAAGTTTTCTATGATTATTATCCTGCCGAACGCTAAAGCTGGTCTCAATTATCTTCTAGAACGCATAAATGTTATAAAACTACAACAGGAAGTCAACTATATGGATAAACGCAATGTAGATTTAGTTTTGCCAAAGTTGAAGTTCGATTTCAAAGCTAGAATGTCTGATACATTGAAAAAGGTAAAATATTATAGGTTATATTATGTTTTACATTATAATAAGTACATAACCTATAGATGGGACTTCGCGCCATGTTTGATTCATCGGCGAGTCTCTCCGGAATCGTCCGAGGTGGAGAATTTAAGTTACAAGTGTCAGATGTCATCCAAAAGGCTGGAATTGAGGTTAATGAAGAGGGCAGCACTGCATTCGCTGCTTCAGGTATGTTTAATATGTTTTATAGTTTAATTAAACACGTTTTATCAATGTTTATTTATAGATATTCAATTAACAAATAAATTTGGCGATGCGCAAGTCATGTTCAACGCCACACATCCATTCCTCTTCTATATTGAAGACAACAACGCACGCACAATTCTCTTCCTTGGTAAAGTAATCAATCCGCAAGATGGCGTCGCGCCTATTGCGCCTGCGCAGCTCCCACCGCGTTATGGCGATGGTGAAATTCCCCAACCAGTAGCAAGTAAGTAAATATATTAATACTAGTTGATAGAATTCTGGTGGAGGTTGTAATAACAATGAAATAAATATTTCCTGTCGCAATATTAAGTCAGTCTCTGTGTAGTATAATGTAAAGTAATGTAATAATAATACAGGAACCGGTTTTGCTCAATCGTTTGGGAATTCCCATTAGCACACACATGCAAAACACAAAATATTCATATTCGAAGCAAGTGTGTGAATGTGAATGCACTCATCAACGCATTTTTGATACACACTTTGTTTTGATCGTCCAATTGTTGTCATTTGTTGTGACCGCCGCCATTGATGACACATAGTTATCGGTGGGAAAACCAGCTTCCGATTTCGGTCGGACTTGAGTGACCAGTGTGTCGCAGTGTGTCTCCATTCGCAGTTTACAGCACGCGATGGCTAGAATTGAGTTGTGCTTGATTTTGTTTGGTTTCGCAGCGCAGGCGACCAAACCAGCTGCGGCGGTGTTTCCTGACCAGCAACAATACTCACCACTTCCTCAACAACAATATGGTGGAGCAGTTGATCAACAATTTCAACTTCCACAAGCTCCTGGTGATGAATCCGTCGCGAAACGCTTCAATTACTTCGATTTGGAGTTGTTAGCGGTAATATTCCTGTATATTTGGTTGCATACCTAAGAAAAATATAATTTATTTTGTGTTTTACAGGCGTTGTCGCAACAATCACCGAATGAGAATATTTTCGTGTCTCCTGCGAGTATTAAAGCCACTTTGGGGATGATTTTGGAAAGTGCCAAAGGTAAATCAGCTTCGGAAATCGCTAATTTGTTGAGAATCCCATTGGAACAGCAATATGTCAGAGATCAACTCAAACAATTACTTTATGATATTTCTGTAAGTTTTTATGCTTTTACAGACGCCATTTTGTTATATATTTAATATTATTTGTAATTTAAATTTAGGAACAAAATGGTTACACCCAGTTAGTCTCCGCCAATGGCATTTTCATCTCTGATAAGTTAAAAGTCAAGAATCAATTCCAGCAAGTTATGCAACAATTCTACAAAGCGTTTATCTCTCCATTAAACTACGATAATGTACCGCAGAGTGTGAATACAATCAACCAATGGGTGGCATCCACTACAAGAGGGTTGATTCCTACCATAGTAGGCCCAGGTACATAACCTCATCACCATAACCTCAAATTTTAACCCTAAATATTAAAAATGATTTTTTGTAGAAAATATCAATAGGGATGCATCCGTGTTGCTAACCAATGCAATGTACTTCAAAAGCAGTTGGAAATACGCCTTTGACCCAGCAGCGACGACGGTCAAGTGTTTCACCTTGTCCAATGGTCAATGCATGCACGTGAACATGATGCAGCGTACAGCGGACTTGCGTTACAAGATGCTCAGCGAAATTAACGCTCATGCCATCGAGATTCCATACACGGATGATTACGCCATGTTGGTGTTGCTGCCACAGGTGAAACACAGCACTTCAGCCATGTTGTTGGACTTGCAACACGTAACATTCAATACAATCGTTGATAAACTTGAGAAAACTGAGATTACTTATGAGATTCCCAAGTTTGACATTGATTTCAACGTGCAATTGAAGAATATTCTACAGAAGGTATGCAACCAAGTATGCAGTACTCTTTTATTGTTTTAAACTTAAATTTGTTTGTTTTTAGTTGGAAATAAGGGAAATCTTCGGTGAAAATGCTGATTTATCGAATATGGTGCAAAATGAACGCGTGCGCATTGATAATATCGTCCACAAGACAAAAATTGAGGTTAATGAACAGGGTACAATTGCTGCAGCTGCCACAACAGCCGTGGTCATCCCCTTGATGGGTTCATCATCGCCTCATGTCATTGCTAATCATCCATTTGTGTTTTCATATATAAAATGAGCAATCGTAATATTGTCTTCGAAGGCGTGGTGAATCATCCAAAGGAAGCCACGCCCACACCGCCTGCGCCAATTACACCAGTTCAGCGGGTTGCAACCGCTACGCGTTTCAATGCACCGCGTCAACAACGAAAATTGTTTGCTGCCCAACAGCAAGCTGCGTATAATCAGTTTTATTATTAAACACACCTGCAGAATAAGTAAGCAACCTTCAATACATGAAATAAAATGTGCGCCATTTTAATTTATAATCGTATATGGTTTTATTTACAAAAGTATACTGCTTAGATATACAGTAATGTGTATAATATGAGTATTGTGTGACAGATGGCGCTAGTATAACATCACCGAATGAATGAACCTCACCACATAATCTCGAAGTTACCTTACAAATCACAGTCTTGAATATCAAAAATATCTATATATCACAATCGTGTCAGTTCATGTCCTTGATTAACATTATCTTAAATATTAAGACAACGCAGTGATTTCTCGGGCACGCGCGCGGTGAATTGGAAAGTGTCACGGTTCTCTTCACGTTCCTCCCTGTCACGACCTCTGGCGGCAGGTGCGGGAGCCTGGCGACTGAAACCGTTCGGTTTCGCGTATGTTATGCAACCCTCTCCACTTCCCATTAGAGGTGCAACGTCGACTTGTTTGATTTTCGCCAAATGCAGAATGTGTTCTTCGATGTTGAATAGGTGCGAATCGCTGGCGTCTGGGAAGTGATGACGCATGAAATTGGCCAATCGGACGAGGTATTCGACATTATGGCCGCTGTCACCGCTGGAGGTGAAGATTTGACGGGCGATTTCGGAGGCAGGGGCGTCACCCAACCAGAGGTGGTTTTTGGGCGTGGCAATGTACAGGAGGACCTTTAAGGGCTCGCCGGCGATTGGGTGAAATGTGGCGAAACGTGTGTCGTATCCTCCTAGGGTACATTCACGATTTGTTAAGTATGGGAGGGCGTTTTCGCCGGAGACGGAGAATGCTACGCCGTAAACTGAACTCTGAAACAGAAAAATTAAAGAAATATTATAAATATCGATGCAAAATGAGTTTGTTTGGTTTTATGATTTTATTCGGAAACTACTTGATAGATCATCATGAAATTTTGTATAAATATGTTCAAGAGTATTAAGAACAACATAGGATACTTTTATTAATAATAAAACAATATTTTGTCCAAAAATCAAAAAATTAAATCGTTTTACAAAGAGTTTGGCTAATATCAACACCAGATGGCGCTGAATGTCATTCAAATTAAGATTAACCGCCGTAGTTCAATAAACGTATTCGAGATGGCGCTACAATGCATTTCTTTTCATTTCTTAAAATAAAATTGCTAATATTATTGATAAAAATCAACAAATAAACAAAATAAAATTAATTTTAACAAAACAAAGTAAGCAGATAAATCTAGTTAATAATATATTCAAATTTGAAACAATTCGCGAGTGATAATATTATTCATAAGCTTGTTTGCGTTGTCATAGGTGTTTGCCAAGTGTGTGCCTAATTTATCGCACTATTTTTACGCACGCATTAAACACAAAACCTCTACCTTGTGCCTCGTGATCTGCGACGTACGCAAATGCATATTTTTAGCGGCGTGGAATTTTTTGTTGTTTTTACGAATTTTACGAATTGAGTCGAAAATATAAAAGTCCAAAGTTCAAAGTTGGATATGAGCTGCGCAGAAATTCATTTAAATTTATTTTAAACAATTTATATTTAATTTTCCTTGTTTGATTTGAAAAACATCAATGTAAAGACGTTGGGTTGAGTTGACTGAACTGATACGCATTAAAAATCGTAAATAATAAAATTTTGAAAAATGATTTCACTTTATGTAACAATATGTTATTGTTTAATGTTTTTATTGCACAATTAAAGTGTAGCTAAGTGTAAGGAACAATGAACTATAACTATTAACTTTAATATGGTTATTTTTATGGCACATTTTTGATTCGTTTAATTTATTAGGTAATTAAAAGTAAAAGTTTGGTGAATTTCGTCAAAAAAGTGGAGTAAGTGCAAATAAATTAGTAATTATTTCCGCAAATTGCTTAAATAGTTGTATTTTTGTTATGTGGACTATAAAAGTATGTTATTATATAATTTTAAGGTTATTTGAGGTTAATATGAATGAATAACCTAAAAATTACACATATTTTATGAATTTACACTTTTGAGGTTAGAAAACACTAATTAATCATCTTGGAATAGTATGCAACCCACCAAACAATAAATATAAACTTTTTTTCAATTTTTGAATTTTTAATAATATTACCTCATAGATGGCGTCAGAATAAATTTTAACTATCAATTCTACTCCCAGACATAAAACTATAATTAAACATCAATTAAAGAAATAAAACAATCAAAAATTCAGTTCACAATCAAATTTCAACGCAATTGTGATACGAATTTGTTCAACGGGTTGCATATTGATAAAATCATAAGCAATTTATCTTTTATGGAATAAATTTGCATGCACATACATTGTATGTCGTAAACAGAATAATGCAGTGTATGATGATAATATAAATCTCGCCGGTTGCTAGTAGCGGGTTGCCGGGCGTTTGGGCCACGTGCCCACGAAAATCGATCGACCGCCACGCTCGCTACCGTCGAGAATGATTGGAATGCCTCTGTTAATTCCGGCACGCGTTCAACGTCCACGTGTGCGCCACGCGTTTAACACTCGAATAAATATCCGCACAGCCAATAACAAACCACAATCTTTTATAATACCAAGAAAGAATTAATCTAGATATTTATCTAACAAACAAAAAACAAGTTAATTTATCGAATTAACGAAATTCACCGAAATAACATTTAATAAATAAATAGTGTATGTGTAAGTTAAGTTGCATATATATTTCAGACTAAAATACAAAGTATAGACTTCTGTTTGTACGTAAAAGATGTAAAAGATTAATTTAATTACTGTTTAATAAGTTAATGTGATATTTAATACATTTTATGGTTTGTGTATCTTTAAACCTTCAAACAGAGCATGTAATTATTTGAAGTGAATGTATGTGGAGACAAATAAGCAAAAAATGTAATGACTTTGAATACGATCCTCAATTCTTTCATTCCACAGCTTCTCGTCTATCGACATAATATATAGGTCATTGTTAAACAGTGTTAACAGCAGTTTAACAATCTAAACTTGAAATAACACTACTAACACAAAGTAAACGACAGTTTATTTTTTAATACGAGTATATAAACTCTCCAGAGACGAGAAATTATATAGGTAGTAATGTATTAATGCATTATTTCATTATTCCATTAATAATTTAATCAATATTCAATACTGATTAGATGTTAGAATTAACATTTTAATAACACTCACACATAAAAATGGATAATGATAGTTATTAAATAGTAATCTTACCGTATCATCATCGATGAGTGTTGCAACACGTCCAGGCTGTAAAAGAAACAAGAAAAAGTGAGAAATTTTACATTCAAACTATCTAAGAAGTAAAATATGTTTTAATTTTTACTAAATTTAAGGTTATTTTAATGTAAAAAGAGTAATTTTGTGAAAAAAATATAAAAAAGCAAGTAAAGTAGAAAACTTGTTCAATTTGAATGCAATTTGGTTGTTTTTAACAATTATTCGATGTAAATAGCTGAATTTGTAGGTTATTTCAATGTAAAACGTTTGATTTTGTCAAAAAATTCTATTTTATGGCCAAGGCAGTAAAATATAACAGAATATTGAACAATTACGATGTGTAAACACTATTTTTGTATATTTTTCCATAAATAGCTGAATTTGGAGGTTAATTTAACGTACAACATGTCATTTTCACCATAAACACATAAAAACACCTATTTTTAAACCACCACATCAAATTAAATGAAAAATAATAAACTTTTACCATCTAAACACTTTTATTCCACACTATTATTAAGAAAATAACTAAATAGCTATACTTTAAGGTTATGTCAGCATTAAACTGACAATTCTCACAATTCCCTTTATTTTAACCATAAAAACAACAATTTCTATACTTATACACCCATACACCCATAAACACATAAAGCATAAAAAATAACAACTGACCTGTTCTTTAGTACCGCGATGCGTCGCATTCCCTTGCCAGAACTTGCGCGAAAAACCACGCACGTGGCCCACCACAGCCTTGTCGAAGCGAAAGCCCGGTTTCCAGCAGAGCGAGCCATAGCCAAACACCCAAAGGGCCTTCGTCTCACTCCCATTCACACTCGCCAACAATTCCACTTGTTGTTGATTGTCCAAATGCTCCACGACTTCCGCCATTTTTATTTTTATTTTAAACCACAACAGCAGTTTATTGAAATAGTCTCTGTGGTTTACGATGCACTTATAACACTTTTCACCGTGTCGTTAAAAGAGTTAATTACACGTTGACGGACAACTGCGGTCAACTTTCTTGTTGCTGTCAGTCAGAAACGAGAAATTTTCACTTTGGTTAATGTTAAAATTTTAAAAATTCACTAAAAACTTTTTTATTTTTAATTTTTTGTTTACTTTTTAAGTAATTGTTAATTATTAACACTGTGTATTTACGCTGATTGTGAAAAACTTTCTTTAAACTTGTTTTTCTTGATGTTTTGATTGACGTTTTGTAATATATTGTAGTGCGTTGTGCGACCGTTCGGCGCAGCGTCTCGCACGGCAATGGGCGCGTGTCCCGGCACCGGTAGAGTACGGTTTTCGGAATGAATGAACTGTTGGCGGCAGACGAGCGCACGCAGTCTGGCGTGCCGCGTTTGTGGATGATGTAACTTCGTGCGCACTTTGCACTATCGAGATACGCGCACGTAGAGGATGGTAGACACGAGTAGACACCGGCTTTGTTGCGGGAAATTTACCGGTATGATCTGGCAATCTACGACATCTACGCATATATTGTTTTATTATAATTTTATATATATCATACACGAGGATAAGTGTAATTTAGTAATTTAGTGTGGATTCAGTTTTAAAATTGATTTTTGGCTTTTTGCGTCTAAAATTAGTAATTATTAGCGCAAATTGCTTAAATAGTTAATTTTTGATGTGTGGAATATAAAATAGTGGGTTATTATATAATATTAATGATATTTGAGGTTAATATGAATTAATAACCTAAAAATTAAATAGAAAGTGATGAATTTCGACTTTTAAAACTAAAAAACAATTTTATATCAGTGTATGTTTGCACCGCAAACAGAAAAGCGGCAGAAGTTTTCCAACTTCTCAGGAATTCTGTGTGGTGTGTTATTTAGTGCCGATAGTGCGTCGCCGCGAACTTAGACAATAAATACAATTAGGTGCAATCACAAGACTAACATCATAATATGTATATCAACACACTTAATGTTTAGAAAGTACAGTAGTTATCGAGCAAGCATCGAGTGAAGATCGCCTCACTTCTCCGAGCACCTCTAAGACTCTCCGCTGCCTTACAACCAGCGTAAAATCCACATCAGTCCTTCTGCTCTCATCTTTGAACCCGGCGCCATCTTCAGAGCGCACGCTGGCTTCACAGTGTATGATGATAAGAGTAAAGGAAGTTGTAATTTCCTTTGGAAAAAAGTTAAAAATTGATTCTAGGGATTCTTGCGTGTAAAATTAGTAATAATTTGCGCAAATTGCTTAAATAGTTAATTTTTGATGTGTGGATTATAATATATTGTGTTATTATATAATTTTTAGGTTATTTGATGTTAATATGAATTAATAACCTAAAAATTAAATAGAAAGTGATAAATTTTCACGTTTTAAGGTTTAAAAACACATTTAATATCAGAATATATGATGATAAGAGTAAAGGAAGTTGTAATTCAGTAATTTAGTGTGGATTAAGTGTTACATTTTGATTTTAAGTATTTTTGTGTCTGAAAATTGAGTGTTTATAGGTTTTTGATATTCTTATCAGAATGTACTATGTATTTAGGAAATAACAAACTTTTACTTTCAGTTTCCAGTTAAAATAATCTCAAATTTAATCTATATTTGATTAATATCTATATATATAAAATTTGCGTGTCACAGTGTTTGTTTCCATACTCCTCCGAAACGGCTTTACCGATTTTTACCAAATTTTATATGCGTATTCAGTAGGTCTGAGAATCGGCTAACATCTATTTTTCATACCCCTAAGTTGTTTTTATTTTTTTTATAATGTGGAATTAAAAAATACATACAACCCTAAATTTTTAGCTTCTTATCACCAACCCCTATTTCTTTATAGCCATTTTCGTAATTTAATCATTTTTCATCCCGCTCAAAGAAAATTTTTATATGCGTATTCAGTAGGTCTGAGAATCGGTAACTTCATATCTCTAAGTGATAAGGGTTGTTCACCCTTAATTTTTTTTAAATTTTGGTCGAAATTTTTTGTTTTTATTTTTTTAATGTGGCATTAAAATATACATACAACCCTAAATTTTTTTTATAATAAGGTGTCTTATCACCAACCCCTATTTTTATAATAAGTAAGTTACTTCTGGATTGTCTACACTAAAATTTATCTAGAAACTTGAAATAATTTATATGGCAAAACTTTGCCCGGTTAACTAGTATCACTCAGCTTATACTAATACATAAAATCAACTTTCATCCTTTATTTCTCACCCTTTAAATAATATTCCTTTTACTACACTTTTCTATATCACTCATTATACTAATCTAAAGATATCCTGAAAATTTCATCAAAATCCTTCCAGTAGTTTAAAAGTTAAAAAGTAACAAACAAACAAACAGTAATTCACACATACGGGAATAAAAATAAATTGAAAACATTGTATTCTTAGAATTAATAACAATAACTATTAATACATGACGTATTGAACTTGATGCACTCAATAAAAAATAAACTCATCAACAATCAAACATGATCAGAATTATTCTTTTATTTTCATTATTTTGACAATGTATATTACACTGCAATGCGTCTGCGATTAAATATTGTTTGCTTTCCATGTGTCACAAGTCACAAGTCACACAACTACCACACTTACTCGTGCTTGTATGTATCATAATAATGCGTCATAAGCTGATTGATCACAAGACGAACACTTGCCATTCGAATTCAACATGAAATTCAACTTAATTAAAACAAAACAATCAAACCAGAATCGTGTGAGTTCTCTCGACCACACATCGAATTCGCGATTGACGATTGGTTTGGCTGTTAACATTTAGAGATTACCGTCCTGCGTCATATATACATACCATTCTTATATGCTTTTTAAATACATAATTTCATAACTGCACATGATATTATATTACATTTCCAAGCATCTGCATGATGATAATATACTCGTAATTAGTAATTTCAGAGGAGATGGAATATTGTTGACCTCGTTTTTATGTGATGTGTGAATAATTTGAGTGATAGCGAAAATATTATGGAAAAATTGCCTCATTGACATTTTGTGTATCGTATATATGCACATGATGATAAGAAAACCGACTAAAACAGGATGTAACTCAATGCTCACATCGCGCACTAATTGATTCGCTGATTAGTTCAAAAGTTCAACGAAATACGTCTGCTTTTGGCTTGTTTGCGTTTTTTGTTATGACTGATGAAGCAAATAAAATATTCTCGCATCGTGATTACTTTCAATACATTTAAATATCTGTTTGTTATATTTGTCATATTATTATTGTAATTTACAGGAGGGTATGACATGTAAAATACGTCATTGAATTGTGATGTTTGCCAAAACAATGATAGTTTTCACTTTTTTGTGTTGTATTATATATCGTAGGTATTTGAAAAGAGGAAGAGTTTTTGGCAAGTGTAATAGTGATAAATTTGTTTATAAATACCTGAAAATGCTGTAAAGTTGTCTAGTATTTGAGGAAAACTGAAAATAAACTTGATGTTTTGCCATAGCACGTCATAAACTGGCATAACATAACCTCAACCTCAACATTTCTGAGAATTTAGATTTAGTTTGGATATAGTCCAATATTTAGATAATAAAAGGTGCTAACATTGTTGTTTTCAGCTAATTTTGTGAATACCAAGAAATATAACATTCAATAATATTATTAATCACAAAAGTGCGCGTGGCAAAACAATAACAAACATTAGTTTGTGTTTTCAGGGTTTTGTTATCATTGAAATAATTTTAAGATTAGATTACGGTCAGATGCGCATCAGAGCGCCATCTCGGAATGAATTATCTAACAATAACTATGATTGAACTTTCATATCAACTTTTACTCCTAATTTTATCATTTTAACGATTTGTTTTGCACAATTAAGATGTGACGTACGGGGCTTGAGTCTAATGAAACTCTCTTGACATGAACGCAGCAATATTCTTACTTAGATAATCATATTAATGCAGCACTTTGTATCTCCATAACAAATTAAAGTAAAAATAACTTAGATTATTACAGATAAAATTCCATACATAAGTGGAATTATCTTCAAAAATATAAAAATAAACATAGACTTCCTCTAAAAATACAATCACTTCAAATTTATCACAATTTAAAAATGTTATAAACTAGTTCTGATCAACTATAATCAAATATAATGACATTGCACATGAATAACACGTGTGTAATCGACGAGACTAGTGAAACACGCACGTGTAATAACAAAAAGAAAACATAATCTCAACCTGATCTTAATGTAAATCACTGTATAAGCTAAGTTTAGATTAAGATAACAACGTATCATTAACTGTCATCTCATTTATGCATCACGCATTATGTGATAATGGTAGAATTAGATTTATATGACAGATAAGTATATATTAGATAATTTAAGAAGCTAATTATTACATTCCAAACAAAACACATCTCAGCAATTCATCACCCTATTATTTAAGCAGTAAGAAATTCACTTACTATAAGTAAGACAGGCATAGAAACAGAATCAAAAACAAAATGGTGTCACATTTATTGTCAAACTTGTTTCGAGGCACCAGGGGATGCAATATGTGTCAGTTTTAATTGGTAATTATATTAATAATAATAAAATTTTATTTATTTTTCATTTTAAATGATAAACAATTACTTTTAGCTTCTTTAGGGGTTACTACAACACAAATGTATCTAACATGGCCGTCACCTACAATATCAATACTAAAGGGAGATAACTCTCCACTTGGTGAACCAATTTCAAGCGTAAGTTATTAATAAAAACACAAAATTAAAAAATAAAACACTTTTTGTAGGAAGATTCATCTTGGATTGTTTCTATTATTTTATTATCTGGTTTCCCAGCTGCGTTTACTTTTCATCTGACTACTGCACGATTCTGTCGAAAACAAGTGCTACACGCCGCTTCTGTTACACTTTTTCTACCTTGGTTTATTATTATATTCGCCAATCACGTTGCGTATATCTACGCAGCACGAATATTAGCTGGATTATTACTGGGAACAACTATAATTGTAAGTATACATAACATAACGTCATAATCATAAAAATAAAGAGGACATTGGGTAATCCATAACCAGTTGCCTAGTTTACGTACAGAATTTGCGATAAAACGGAAACTGTCACACTAAAAATGAAAAATCAGTAGTGTTTAACAAGTTGCATATCTTAAAAAGGTTAGGAAACAAAAAAGTCAAATTTAAATAATTTAGTAAAATGAACTGAAAATAACCACTGATACAGTACCAATAAAAAAATGGTTGTTTGTAAAGTAGGTTTACGATCGAGATGTTGACGTGATAACGTGATAACGTCTTATTGGTGATATAAGTTTTGTTTGTTGCAATTGTTGTAACACTTCACTTGCACTTCACATTTTGTTTTACTGTTAAACATTCAACGAAAACTTAACCGCACGAGAAAATCTCCATTCGTTTGTATGCCGCTAGAGTGAGAGAGACGGAAGATCGGTCCACTCACTCGAACGCTATGCCTGCCTCCGCTCGTGTGGATTCCGCGTCACAAGTTTCACGGAATGACTGGCAGCGCTCGAGATGAGACGGGAGATCGGTCCGTCTCTCTCTCGTTATAGCGATCGACCTCGAGAGGCCTCGTGACAAGTTTCTGAACATGTCACCCGACTAAAACGATTTTAAAGACGTTATCACGTCAAAACAAAGAAGTATATCTAATAAATTTACAGTTTCCTGTAACATAACTCAACATAACCTCTTTTAATAACTATTAATATCAATTTTTGAAATATTTAAATTTTTAGACTGCAGCAATGTACTCATCAGAAATAGCTGATCCAGACATCCGTGGCCGCCTTGGCACATCCTACGGAGTAATGAAACTATCCGGATCCATCATAGTCCTTGCTGTAGGCCCTTTTGTCTCCTACACAGTACTAGCAATTGTCTGCGCAATCGTCCCATTCACCTTATTCTGCCTGCTTTTCTTCATCCCAGAATCTCCCTACTCTTTAGTAAAGAAACAACGCTTAGATGAAGCACGTGAAGCTGTTATCATGCTATCAGGATCAAAAGATGATATCGAAATAGACGAAAGGGTTAAAACTATTGTCGCATTTGTACACACAGCGGAACGTCCACTTGGAGTAAAAGAAGTATTCTCCAATTGGAAATATGTTAAATCAATGGCGATTGTGATCACACTTGTGACTTTCGAATACTTCGGAGGATTCAATGCAATTAATTCTTATCAACAAGAGATTATTGCTAGTAGTGAGAGTGACATTAGTCCGGAGGTGTCAAGTATTGTTTTTGGGCTCATACAAATACCAGCAGGTAATTTATTAGTTATTTTTGTGTTTTTGTTTGTTTGTTTCGCTTTTACGTGAAAACTACTCATCCGATCATCATGAAATTTTGTATATATATTGTCAAGGACATTATAAAGGACATAGGATATTTTTATTTCAAAATTTCAATGTTTTGTTCGGAAATTAAAAAATTAAGAAAAATCGAATCAAATCGGATACCAATCATTTTCATACTTATATAATACACAATGAGGTGGCTCTGAAGTGCATTATTATCATTTTACTATTTCCTATTTAATTTAACATTTATTAGCTTCAAATAACAACAGACAAATTAATTACACAGTTTTTTAAATTAAAATCAATTTCTACTTCTTCTACAGACCAAAATCTATTAATTCATAAACATAACCTCACTTTAATCTAATTTCTCTTTCATTTAATTTATTTCCATGCTTTCAGCTATTCTCTCAGCCTTTTTAGTTGATCGCCTCGGACGTAAAGTAATTCTATACATAGGCTGCACCGGTTGCCTAATTCCACTCATCGCTGAGGGCGTTTACTTCTATTTAGAAGATTACCTTAAACAAGATGTGTCTGCGATATCATGGTTGCCTACAACAGGTCTAGTAATATTTTTAATAAGTCATGCAGTACACTCATCAGTGCCGTACATTTTACTCGGCGAGTTCTTTAATGATAAAATGAAGAACGTTGCAACCACTATGTTTAGTTCAGCAGGTGCACTGGCTGTTTTCGGAGTGACAAAACTTTTGAACCTATAAGAGAAACATGGGGACGTATACATGCTTTTGGATTTATTCAGGGTTTACGTTTGCAACTATTTTAATGACGTATTTCTTTTTGATTGAGACTAAGAATAAGACTTATCAGGAAATTGAAAGGAAAGTATATAAATAGTTAGGGTTAGGTTATGATTAAGATAATAAAAGAAACTTGTATTGAATTAACCTCGAAATTAAGTAGTAGATAGTAGAATTAGGTTATGTTTTAATTAAAAATTAAAATTTATTATAAATTTGTGTTTTTAATGAAGAAAAACGTGAAATTTCAAAAATCTTTGTTTAATTGATTTGATTTTGCTAAAATGGCTAAATAACTATTAAACAATCAAAAATTTATGATTAAAATAATTTAGATAAGAAAAATGATGAATTTATCTGAAAATAGCAAAAATTATTTATTTATTTGATGAAAAATAAAGAAATTAATAATTTTTTAATAAAAAAAATCAAAAATTAAAGAAAAACGTCAAAATATAAAGAAAACCAATCACAAAGCACAACTCAACAATGACGTCATTTCCCCACTCAAGGTTAACCATCTGTGAGGACTCAACATTGACGTCACGCAAATTTTAAATAAAAACAAACATTTTTTGCATTTTAACACTTTTACAACACAATCCAACATTCCACCTCCACAAATCCAAACAATATCAACAAACAATTATTTATTTAACTTCCTAAATCACCAATTCAAATATAAACAATACTTAACTCTTAAATACTAAAAAATAACACCTAACCTACTTTCTTGCCTTAACCTTAATCTTAATCCCTCCTTAGTCCTTAAAATAATATCCGCCATAACGTGATACTCTCCGGCGTATCCACCGGCAACAAAACAAAACTCTTCACAATAGCCGCCAACTTACACTTCATATTCAACATGGCGTACTTCTGCCCAATACAATTCCTCGACCCGGCACTAAACGGCAGATATGCATACGGATGCCTATCTTTTGAATTCTCCACAGTAAACCTCTCAGGAATAAACTTATCCGGCTCAGGATAAATATGTTCCAATCTATGCGTATCATAAATGTTCATAATCAACACACTACCCACCGGTATCCTATGCCCAGAAGACGCTGTGAATTCCTCACCGTTTAACCTCGAAATCAAAGGAACACTTGGATATAACCTCAAAGACTCCTTTATAACCAACTCCATGTAACTCATCTGATGTAGGTCTTCATAAGTTGGATCTCTATTGTCATCCAAAATGGCGGAGACTTCCTCATAAAGTTTTTGTTGTTCTTTTGGGTGATTAGCAAGTAATAGAAGCATGAATTGTAAAGCCATTGAGATTGTATCGTGACCTTCAAACATGAAAGTATCTACTTCTTCACGAATTCCATCGTAAGTGATTTCGCCTTTGTTTTTCGCTGATAAGAGAAGATCTAACATTGCAAGGCGTTTCTTTTTTGTGCCGTAGGCATCTGTGTCGCTACCAGCGTCTTGCTGTGCGTCGGTAATGTCGGAATCTTTGAAGGTTTTCTCACGTTCATCGATTACTTTCTTCGTGAAGTTTTTTAGGTAACGGAGGAGGAATCGTTCTTCGTAGAAGTGATGAGTGAATAAACTTACAATATAAAAGTAGAACCATGGACGTAGGAGGCGATAAACAGTGATTTCACCCATTCTAACCTCAAAATAATGATTAAATTAGTAAAATTATGTGTTTTTAGGTTATGTTGTTTACCTGTGGATGGCGTTACGGTATTTTTTCTCTGATGCTGCGTCTTCTAATGATGTACCCATAGCGGCTTCTATTTAAAATCATTTAATGTGAAATTTAACCTTAAAATTTTAATATTTTGTAATCTAACCTGCAATTGTATGTAAAGATGATTTATGTATATGTGGTAGTATATCTATTTCTTTGTTTGAATCACTTTTGATGTCTTCAACGAATCCTTTTGAGTGTTTATTGAAAACGCTGATGTAACGCTTGAGGATGTTGAAGTGAAATGTTGGGGTTATGATTTTTCTGCGGTGTTGCCATTTGTCGAAGTTACTTGTTAGTAAGCCTTCTCCTAACCAGTCGTGGAATAACCAATAAATTTGGCTTTTTTCATTGTGTTTTGTGTTGGATAATATCGTCTACAAATATTAATTTGATTTATTTTAGTTTATTTGAGTGTTTTGTGGGTTGCATACCTGCATATCTTCAGGTGCACATATCATAATGCCGTAGAATGCGTTGGAAGACCATAGTTTATATACTGGATAATATTGTTTGGACCATTTGCGTAATTTGTCGAATATTCCAACTAAAAAAATAAATTTAAGTTAGGCAACCCAAATAACACGTATTTTTAATATATGATGTTTTATATGTGTTATTACTTACTGGGATTGTCAATAATATCAGTAGCGTTCCCCAAAATAGGAACAGTTGGAGGTCCAGGGATTAAATTGATAAGTCTGGCGGTTTCACTTAGTTTGTTGTATAATTCAACACCGATGCAGAATAATATTAAGCCGACAAGTAGACATATTAGGAAAATTAATGAAAAACCCATGGTTTTGGGTTCTTTTGGGTTTTTGTTCGAAGTTATTAATGATTGTATTAGTTGGTTGAATGCACTGAAGCGTTATCACGAATGTATTGGCTACTTATGTCATGGGTAGTGATCGGTGTAAGTACTTTGCACTCACAGATATAACATTCAGACAAGGTTATCACTTTTAAGTAATAAGCTGTGGTTTACTTATTAAAACTTATTAGAAGTGAGAATATAATAATAATACTTTTCTATTTCAAGTATTTATTAAATGAAAGTTCAATTGTCATTGATTTATTTTATTTTTTGTTTTTTTATGTTGCTGTGTTGTAAATGTATTTGTAATTTATGAGTAATAATTTTTATTTTTGTATTTCCTGTAGAAAGCAATTCTTTATCTTTCTTAATTAATATTGTAATTAATTTAATTTATCTACTTCCATCATTAAAACGCCACTTTTTCCATTGTTTTTAAACACAAAAAGTAGTAATTTTAAACACAAACGGCCAAAGTTGTGAGTAAACTACTTTAGTCACGGGCTTTAGTCACGGAGTGGAGCTGGCGCCTGCGTATTTGTCTACGATGCAGCACAAGACCATATGAAATGCCATTCAACGCGACACATAATAATAACCTCACATCTCCATAAGTTTACGTTACACTTGTCAAAAATACCCGTTATAGGTTATGTTATAACTTTTTTTTAGTACTTGATGATTATTTTAACACTATTTATAAATAATTATCTTGTTTATTTATTAAAACGGTTATTAAATTGGATTTCAATGATTTTTTCCTTTATAACTTAATATATTTTTTATTCTCACTACATGAATCAGTAATATTACAGTAATTTATGACATTTATTTTGTTATCATGCTTTATAATCTTAATGTTGACATCTTACATCATAAAAGCAATCAAATTCATCATATTCATCATACTTCTCATATCATCTTCTTTATCATCATGAAATCAAAACATCATAGGAATTTTTCGTATTTTTGTGTTGTTTCACGTTGTTTATTGTCAGCAGTCATTACTTCCGTAAATATTTCCAGCAAAAGCAAACAAAATAGGTTATGTTTTTGGTTATGTCAATATGCACGAGTATATACCATAACAAAATACCGCCCAGTCAATAAATACACATTCCAAAAGTATTTCTCTTCATTCTCAGCTACATAAAGATTTAAAGATTCATCTTCTTTGTTTAATACACATATAACAACAATAAATATATTTATTTATTCATTTTGTCTTTTTTATAGTTGTATGCTATGTTTTTATGACAAGACTCATATGATGCAGTTGTAGTGATAATAAGTGTTTACCGGTTATATTTAGTTAATATTTTTGTATTATCAGTGTTTAATTTGCTCGTTATCAGTACACATCTAAAATTTAATCGTGTTATCATCAGCCAACATCAATGTTATACTCGATAGTTGTTTCCAAGCATAGAAAAACTTCAAAAAATAATTTAAACCCAAAATAACCTCAAAAATCAAACATAACCTCAAAAACATCCAAAAATATTTTTAAACCAAATAAAATTAATTTAAATCAATTAATATATAAATACTGCAATATTTGTTACTCTGTATCCATTTTCAGTGTTTTTCCTGTGTATAGCGTCATTTTGAATGAATATTATTATGTTATAGCTTATGATTTATCGCCGGTCGGGGCATTCCAAGTTGCAGGCAACACTCAAACCATCGCGCATGTTACGATCGACATGCTGTAGATACTTGATCGACTCGCGCGCCCCCTTTGACAGCCCACATCACCATCGCACATTTGATCCGCTTTGGACAAAAACAGAATATTACACTGACGCGTCGGCGAAAACCAACTGTTATCACTCTGTAAACAATAACCACAATCAATATAATCAATAAAACACATTATACACACAAAAACATCCGAAATATCGAAAAACAAAATGGTTACTTACACACAACATACACATCTGATGCATATTACACGCTGTCTCGAATATAGTGCCATACGGGCCGAGAATCAACGAAACTTCACGACATGCGCGTTCAATACGCTCACAACCACCTGAAAATTAAATTATTTAACCTTAAAATAAACTTAACCTCAAATCTAACCTTTTTCAAACGTAGATTGTTCCATAAATTCTTTTGGTACTTTATAATTTTGCTCAGCGCAATTTTCATCACTTTCCGTGCATTTTATATTGTTATCTTCATCGTTATCAGCATGATGTTCTTCATCAACAGCTTGTTTCCTTGCAACCGCAACTCTCTTCTTTTTTCTTTATCAACATCTTCGTTGGAATCCTCTGCTTCATTATCAGGATACTCTTCATCATGTTCACTATGACGTTGTGCTAACGACTGTCGATATTCCTTCAAAGCTTTCCTCATCTTTTCAACATTGTACGCTGTTGCCAAACGTGCTATAATACTATCCTTAACATCTTTCATTTCCTCACCGTCAATATCATCCTGTGCTCCGGACGCGCCTGTGTATTTCAATGTATCATCTATGATACTTTCCTCGATTGATTTGAGTTTTTCATCGAGTACTTCCATACTGTCAAGGTTTTTATTTTTATCATTTTTGTAGATTCCTGTAGTTGATTTTGCGTTTAAATTTGTAGGTTGTGTTGATGATGAATATTCATGTTTATGAAAGTTTTTCAATGGATATTCTTCGCTTTTCTTTGATTTTGATAGTTCTACGGCTTTGTGATAACGATTTATCAACCATTCGTTATCTAAATTGCTTGATTTCTTGCGTCGATCAATGCCGAAGTAATCCGACCACTTTACAGATTTTTTACTCATTTGCAGCGGTTGTTCTTGTGCTTGTGTGTCTACAGTTGTATGTTCTTGTTTGGTAGGTGGCGCTGTTGTCACTACTTTACCAAATGTTGGTTTCTTGGTTGTAATATTCACTTTTTTTGGTGTTTTATCTTTATTTTCTTTTTCATTATTATTATTAGTGTTATCAAAGAGTTGTGATAATTCTTTTTCGACTTGTGGATCCGTACGTTTTACTTTTCGTTGATTAACCTCTTTAACCTCTTTCATGCTCCGCTTTGACACAGGAAATCGTTTCGTGACAGGATAAAACGGCACGCGACGTTCTCTGGATTTATAAATCCCGTAAGCACCACCTGAATAATTCGGGGTTATGTCATCTTCATAATACGATGCATGAGAAAATGGCCGCCGTTTGCGCATGCCCACACCGTTATAACCCAAACTGTTGTAGTTGTAATAATTATAACGTTTATACGGCGCAGAGTATAACTCTTCAAGGTTATCTTGACTTGGATATTTCATTTCATTCAAGAATTCGATATAATCATCGTCATTGGAACCGCGTCGATAGTTACGTTGAGGGTTATGTTGTATAGTACGCATATTGTGAGATTTTTCAGCACGTTCACGGAAGGACGATGAGGGTGGTGATTCATCCGGATCGTAATCCTGCGCGTTTTCGAGATATTCAAAGAGAGCTTTCTCTAACTCCGATTTACGATTTTCATATTTAGCTACGAGTATTAATATGTATAATGGGTTGCCTATAGTCGGAGGATAAATATTGGTAAATATAACTTACCCAAATCAGAAAAGTCATCATTTCCATAATTATCGTAACGGGAATAACCGGAGAGGTCGCGTTGTCGACGATGGACAGCTTTGAGGGCTCCTGGAGGGAATCCTCAGCGTTTGACGCGATGAGCAACAAGAGCAACGTGAATAATTGATATTGCAACATGATATACTGCAAAAATAAAAAAGATTTTTAAAGTTTTATTTCACAAATCGTCAATTGACAATGGAAATCCCCAAGGAATTTCATTACTCGTCGATGGAATGTCATAGAATGTCATGGAATGTCATCCACATTCCTTCAGGACTCTCATTAGTGATCCCCACGTATTTTACCAATAAATTTTTATCTTATTTTTTAATTTTAAGCGTTTTTAGCAAAGTTTTTGATTTATTTTTTTTGTAAAAAATTGAATTTACTTACATTTTAATCCATTCAACTATAAATTCAGTATAATAATACTTTGATCCTGAATTTCCCTCTTCACCTCTGCACTTCTTCACCTCTTCACCTCTTACTAATCTTTGATAATCTCGTCCTGTGGCTTGATGTACAGTATCACGTTTACGACTGCTGCCAAAACAAATACAGTGTTGAATTTCAGCAGGAATTACGCCTACGCTCAGCCCGCAGGACAAGAATTGCGAGGACTGACTGTCTGTCGATATAGGTTCATCCGCCGAGGTGGTTTATATGCGCGTCGTGGGCGCCGGCGCCGCGACGCTCGGTGGAAATCGATTTTCTCCGCGCGGGCAAATCCTGTTGCTTGTTGCTCGCCACCGCCACAATCACAATCACAATCAGAATCGCACTCCAATAATTTCCAGCCGCAGGCAGGCTGGTAACTCAAAGACTTCTGCCATGTTTTTATTTTATTTTTTCGTTTTCTATGTGCAGTGCAGCCATAGATAAGCTGAGTTTTTTGTAATCATGGTTACCTAACAATTTTCTTTTTTATTTCTGAGGAGTTTCTAAGGGAAAGGAAAACTTTGAGTGCAGTTTTAATTAATATAAAGTTAAATTAAGTTTAATTAAGTTTACTATATTTGTAATCCCTACTAATATTATAAATGCGAAAGTCCGGATGTTTGTTACACTTTGACGCAAAAACTACTTAACCGATCATCATGAAAATTTGTACACATATTCTTAGTGGTCCCCGAATGGTTATAGGCTACTTTTTATTTAATAAAAAAAAATAACAATCCGTTTCAACTATGTATAATGATTTCTAATATTTATTTGATGGTTTCAACGAGAGCGAAGCCGCGGGTTAAAGCTAGTTTGTAATACATTTGTTCTGGAATAATCATTATTTAATTAATTTTCATAATCGAGATGATGACGGTTTATTTGTTTTAAAAATTGTTTTAGAGTGTGATATGAATGAGTAACAGACGTGGAATGCAGCCTTGTAGTGAAATTAAGTAGAAATATATTTAAAGCAAGTGTAATATTTGTTTTTATGTTGTAAAATTAACAAATAATTACATTATGCGTTAAATAAGTAGTAATAAAGCATGTTTTTGATGCGTGAGCAGAGGAAACATACTGTCTGCTGAGAATAGTTCTGGATAGTTGCTAGAAGTGAGGTTAGAGACGAATGGCGGAGTATTAATTGTTTTATTGAATGTTTTTATTTGTTAACATTAATTGTGGGTTTATTTTTATTAGTTTTGAGGTATTTTGTAATCAATTTTTGTATTTGCGTCAATATGAATGGAAAAATGTTGTTAATATTTGTTTAAATACTTTAAATGTTTTTTATTTCCACCTGTAAAGCGTCAGTTTTTAGACACACAAAGTGGTACTTTATATACGGACGGCCAAGCCGAGAGTAATATCCATTATCTACGGGTATTATTTACGGGACGGAGCTAGCGCCTGCGCATTTGTCTACGGAGCAGTACAAGACCGTTCGAAATGTCATGCAACGTCAGTCAAATACGTCAAAGCAGGCGATGGTGCTGCTCGTGTCGGAAAGGCACGATATGACCCGATGCGTCACATAGCCCTGCGCGCAGTATGGTATTTATAACCTTACATTTTGTAGTAGTGCGCGAGCATATTTTAATGATTTAAAATAAAGAGTTTTAATACAAAATCAAACGTGGAACAAAAATATGAAAGTAAAAACGTTAGCGTAAGCATAAATTAATCAATCTCGTGAGTAAAGTCCACGTATAGTCACTTGATATTTAATATATTATTAAATATTTTATAGAAAAGTCAGGATTATTATTTAAGAGTGGATAAGCTTATTTTGTACAGAATAACTATTGAATCATGAAATAAATTAAAAACGAAATTGAATTTCTTATTTCTTACAAAACAACACAACGTCAACAGAATAACAAGATTTTCAATTATATAATAATATGAAAAATGGATTACGCTCGAATGTACCTAATACAATATTTAATCAAACTTTAACAAAAACGCAAAAATCATGCATTTTACAAATAACAAAATAAATTAAATCAATAACAGTTAACTTATAAACCAAACCTAACCTATTTATTCACCTGCGCCATCTAGTGTAGCTATAACACACCACTATCATACCCTTGACCATATTTAATCTATTTTTACTTTACTACTCATATTACTATGTCAAGATCAATTCCTAGACGAAAATTAAAATAACACATTGCACACTGGTCAATAAATATGTCAATGATTAATAAAATAATAAAATAATAAAATGCGCAACCGAAATTCTGCAATAGATACACATTAATACATTATTATAACATTAATATAACATAACTGTCTGTTAAATCAAGTTATAGTTGTGCTTGTTTGACCTTGAACAAACTGCGTCCCAAAGCGTTATCACAAAAACACATGTGCATTTCAACTATTTATATTACACTAAAAGTACATTCATTAGCTTTAGTATAAAAGGCCAATGTCAAACTACCAACTATCAAGCAAATGACGCCATCGTTTACCATTTAAATGAATCATAACACACGTGACACACAAAACTTCACCAACAGCGCCATCTGTGCACAAACATTAAAACATTCAAATTCATCATATTAAAAGATGAATCCAAGCTGAAACATTCAACTGAATCCAATTAAACTTGCATGAAACTTTCAGCATGCGTCTAATTACGCCTAAATTAATGATTCACAACTTCCTCGAATTAATTACTTGCTTTCCGACTAGTTATTAACGAATTAGTCCAATTGAACCGGTTAGGTTATGAATAGGTTATGTTAACAATATTTGATCTTCAATGCAGATGTATATCGTAATCGTCGATGGCATTACATTTGTAACGACGAGCAACAAACACAGCTCGCTGAGATAATCTGTTTGTTGTGTTGTTAGTGGCGAGTGATAAAGCCCAAAACGGACGTCTAATCGCCGCAAATAAACTCGTTCATTGTCGCACCAACGTCGTCGGACTAATAGATAAGCAGATAACACTCACAAAGTTATTATCTACAAAGTGTCAACATAAAAATTAAAAAAAATTAAAAAATTACAGTTTTCTGTAATTTAAAAACATAAAAAATAAAATTACAGTTTTCTGTAATGCAATAAAAACATCAAAACGACATCTACCGGTGAATTTTTTAATTTTTTAAATTTATGGTTATTTTTTTATGAACACCCTGTAGAAAGAGTGTTGAGGAAATTATTCATCGGCGCACGAAAGTTTTCAGTCGCGATTACACTACGCCTCGACGCATGTGCAGCACACGCAGAGTTAAATATCGAGGGATTATCTCAAGTCGCTTCAGTCGTGCGCAAACCTCGTGCTGAAAAACATGTGACAAAGTGTTTACAAAATAAAACCAAGTGAAACACATACACAATGGAATACCAAGAGTTAGAACTGGGAATCGCTAAGAAATTGTCCGAGAAAACCAAGCGCCATTTTAGTTACCAGTTGGTGATCAATGGCACGTTATTATTTTGGATGTTGTGCTGTTCAGCAGGATTTTTGTATAATTATTATCAGGTGCAAGTGTTGCATTGGCATCTGAATGCGACGCATGTGCGCGTGCGTGAGTTGGAGCGATGGCAGAGGCATATGTGTTCCGTCCGCCATTACAATTGCCCGGAGGTAAGCCTATGACGTTGTGTTGGACTGTAAGATTGAGCGTAATCAAAACAAATGAATGCTTTGTCGTCTTGTTGACCGCATTGAGATTAGACTATTGAATTATGTATTATATTCATGTGGTCTACTGTTGAAAACATTTTATGAGTGTAAGTGCGCTCGGACAACTGATAATAATTGATAACGAGACGCGAGGCGAGACTTTCTTCCTGTATTCAATTATTTAACTTGTTATATTCATTTATTCATCTAAATGTAATGAAATTGTTTTGAAATAAGTTTTTATTAGGTACTAGCTTTAGCTCGCGAATATCTAAAATAATGAAGTTGCTTCCGTAGTCACAGAAGAAGTAACAATGAAGTAGAATGGCGGGAAGTTTAAAATGGCTGAAAGTATAGTCTATGGAAGTATAGTGTACAGTCTCCATAGTGTAGTCAATTGGATTTGATGTTGACGTAGCTGTCGGTAATACAGTGTGATGGTACTATAGTACTTAGGTTTGAGCTTCATTGCTGGAATGCTAGATGGCGTTAAAGTAGTCAAATAGCCAGATGCAGAGGTATTATTGGCTAAACTATTTCTTTATTTTATTTAAAATTTTTTTATTAAATAAAAAGTAGCCTATAACCATTCGGGGACCACTAAGAATATGTGTACAAATTTTCATAATGATCGGTTAAGTAGTTTTTGCGAGAAAGTGTAACAAACATCAGGACTTTTGCATTTATAATATTAGTAGGGATATCATGACATAACCTTAAAATTATTTTTATTTATTTTTATTTTGTTTTGTTTTGAAGGATATTGAAACACCTGAATATGTAGACGATTGGGATTGGGATAATTTTCCGTCTATGGATGATTATACCTACGATGATGCCGGTTTGGACCCGATGCCGAAACATTCCGAGCGTAAAAAGCGTGAAATTATCGCGGAGACTACAGATGGCGTTCCTATCTATACACAGTCGTATGCTGACGCTAGGCAACTTAATGACAGTGGCAGTAAAAGGCGTGTTAAAACAACGCGGAGAAGTCACACGACTACAGCGCCACTTCCACTGGCGTCTGTACCTGTTATACAAGCTGGATATCATAAGTAAATAATATTAATTTGTATTTTTGTTTATTTTAGGTTGTATTAATTTTATTAATTGTAAATTTGTGTGTTGTTTAGTCCTGCGTGGCCTTCAACAAATCAAAAACCCGAATTGAAGCTGTATGCAGAATTGGATAATAATCAAGTGTCCATAACCTCAAAACCTATCATAACAAGATCATCTAGAGTTATCGTAACGCCTGATGTGTCTGATGTCACTGAAGAACAACAAGTAAAAGCAAGACCGAAGGTTAAATCATTGGAAACAAGGAGTTATCAGGTTATAATTTAATCATAACTTAACATAACCTCACATAACCTAACATAACTAAATTTATTTCTATTATAATTAATATTTAATTTGATTTTATGTTTATATAGAGCCAACAATCAGATGAATTGAATACTTATAGTAATAATGGACGAAATTATCGACGACGCATGCCTGTACAACCAACACAACGTCAACGGGTTGTGGAGAGCTTTGAGGAAGATGTAGCACCTGTAGTGCCTACAATAGTGAGACCTACACGACGTCACATGCCAGCTGCGCATTTTCACGGGGATACATCCAAATATGCTTTGGGTGTGCATCAGAATTATCACGGTCAGTATTTGTTTGTTTGTTACGCTTTCACGGGGCAATTATTCAAACGATCTTCATAAAAATTCGTAGACATATTTTCAAGAGTATTGGGAAGGGCATAGAATACGTTTTAATTGAACGTTGTAATTTACAGGGTGTTAAATAAGGGCTCAAAGTTTATATAGAGCTTAAAGTATAGTTATAGTTAAATCATTCAAACCTAGATGGCGCAAAGGTGCATTGTTAGCATTTTTCATTTCTTTAAATCATCACAGGTCCATAAAACACAAGAAAAAATTAATTTCACTAAAATACAAATAAAAACATTATATTTTAATATTAATTAAACCAAAATCTATTTATTCATTTAGGTAATGGTCATTTAAAGCATTTGGATAGAACTTATGTGGATTGGATCTCAAGCGATTGGATGAAAGACACAAACCAAGATGGCGTCTTCGATTTTACAAATGGCGTGCTCACCATAAACGAAGACGGCCTTTATTTTGTCTATTCACAGGTAAATAATAATTAATTTCACAATCTTCTTCCATTATTAACAATTTTGTTATTAATTAGATATTTTATGTGGATGATCATGACTTGAACGGTTACCACGTGTATCGCAATCAAGAAATGATTCTCCAGTGCACAACAATGACGCATTCGACCACTCGCGTGCGTAAAAGCAACACGTGTTACACGGCCGGTGTGGAGAAGCTTGCTGCTGGCGACAGAGTCTACGTGCGTGATTTATCCAATGAGCGATTGTCTTTGTTCGAGAAAGGTAAGAGTTTCTTTGGGGTTTTGAAACTGTCGGATATGCGTGTTAAATAATGCGACTACGATAAGTACTAATTTGATACAAGGAAACAAACAATAACTGAAAAGAAAGAACAATTTAAGTTAATGGTATAATGTTTACATTGTATTTATTTTTATCGAGTTAATATTAATATTACGAGTGGTTTTGTATGTAATATATAATAAACAGTAACAGTATTTTACAAATTAAAGAGTTTTGGGGTGAAAAGTAAAAATAAAAATATGTAACTGTCAAATGTTTAACAGAGTTGCATTTGTGTAGTATTCAACGCTATTTAAGTAATATGACACCAGAGGGCGCGCTGATTTACAGTGCGCGACTATATCCATACCGTTCACATGTAGGGTGAAAAGTGAAAGGCAGCGTCCGTTTTGCTGAACGACTCATGCATGACTCAGACCAGCGTGCGTTTCGCGCTGTCCTCTTATAGCTGCGTACTACCCGTAAAGTGTGGTGGGGGAAAAAGCTTCAACACAGGCAACGGCACTCGCGCGCGATGTTATATACTACGCATACGTTTCAATACTAGCAGTATTGATGAAAGCTCTTCTTTTGAAACACTTAAGTGCGCGACCCGAACCTGTCATGTTAAAAAAATTAACATTTTTTATACATTACAGACACATTTATAAGAGGATATAATTTAATTTATAAAATAATTAAATTTTAAAATGGTAAGAAAATATTTTTCGTCATTTTTGCTAAGTTGAATAAAAATGCGAAACAAATGTTTTTAATTCCAAAATGACAGAGAAAATTTGTTAAATGAACCAATCTTTGTATTTAACCCGATTCAACGTGTTTTCACAATGTTCTCAACACAGCGCGTCAATAAATTACACTTGGTAAATAGATTAATTAATAAGCAGAGCGCAGCCCGCCTTCTTCACAATCGAATTACTGTCCGGGTCTACAAACTAAGAAATATACAGGGTGTTACCCAATGAAAAAAAACACAACACCTAAACAATTCACAAATTAAATAAATTAAACAATTAATTAAAAATATTTATATTTTATAAATTATTAATATGATTTCTGGACACATTGTATAATTGTAATATTACCCTTTCTACTCACTCGCCTGCTGACTGTGACTCTCTAACACTCTGGGAGTAGGTGAACGCGATTTCATCAGTGCGCAGTCGCAATACATGCATATCGGGGGCGGCGTTGGCGGCAGTAGCAGGCACCGGCCAGTAGGTGTTCGGGAGCTGTGCCAGAGGGTGGTTGCCGATCGATCGACGCACGGTACGCGCGATCGAAAACAAAAGGTATGTGCAAGCCGTGCATGAATTCTCAGCTTATTTTAGCACCACCCAAAACACAATCACAAAACAAATCAAAACACATAACCACAAAATAAAACAAAACAATACAACATTCAATTACAATTGAAATACATCCGTACGTGACCACCATTAAACACCAAGAAGAAAAAAACATCCGGTGTAAAATATAATATATAAACACACTGTATATGAAACAAAACTCAATACGTGTTGCACACCCTAAAAAGACCCACACACAAAACAAACAAAGTCAAAAATCGATTAATTTTGACATTTTTACACATTATCAGGTTAGGAATGAAATTTAAAGGTTAGGTGTGCATGTTTTATGTCATGTTGTGTGCCTATGAACCGAAAATCAAATATTGACACGCCATCTTGTCGTGCTTATTTAGTTAATATTTACGCAGACACAATAAGTCCACAAAATGGTTCGGGGCGTCGCGACGCGGTGTAAAATCGATGGTAATCCGTTTTACGACTTGCTTTTTACTTATATTCCATGATTACACATCGTAGACTTGATTCATTTATCAGTTTACTTGGATATCGATTGTAGACAACTTATATTACTAATGTCACTAACCTAACCTCAAAATTTACAGTTGTAGGTATCTGTAATATAGTTTATAAAGTGAAATCATGTAAATTGACACTAATCACTACAGTAAACTGTAAACTAATATGATATACAACACTCTAAACATTCTGACACATGCACACGTTGTTCGTTTGTTCAGTTTGTTCACTTTTCGCTTCACTTCACGCAGCACCTCGTCCATTTCGATTGTCACACATTCGCACTGCACCACTCAGCAAAATATCTAACCTCAAAATAAATTGTAGTCATATTTGAGTAATCTTTTGCTTCTACGCCATTTTCTTCTTGTCTTGTGCTGTGAGTCTTCGCCACGGTGGTTGTGTTGACGTGTCGTGTCTTTGTGTAAATTCCAGAAGATGTCCGGTGTGTGAAGCCGCCACTCCCGCGCCGCCGGAAGGACGAATGTGTGTATTAGGTGTGATATTTGAAGGTGCGCACGCAACCGACTCGCGATGGCCGCTGAACACAAGGACCACATCTACAGGTAGGCCATCTTCACCCTGTTCACACTCTCTGCTTACTCTTGACCTGTGTTGATGTGTGATGGAATTCATCATAGAGGATCATTAACAACATTACATTCGTCATGTCATGATCATTGGTTTTGTTTTTTAACATGGGGGAGATTGTTGATAGAAGGGGAAAATTGAGGTTATGTTTGGTGTTGTAGACAAGTTCTGCCCGTACCTATGTACCACAGCGACTTCAACATCTGGTCCGTTTTGAAGAATTGTATTGGCAAGGAGTTGAGCAAGATCACCATGCCAGTTGTTTTCAATGAACCCTTGAGCTTCCTTCAACGCATGGCTGAGTACATGGAGTATGCGTATTTGCTGAGATTGGCGGCACAGCAGGAGGATCCAGTTGCACGCATGCAATATGTTGCAGGTAATGACATATTTTGTGTATAGGTATAAAGTAGTCTACCTTTAGTTGTATATAGTTACGTATAGTTTAGTTGTAGAATTTTATCGTAGATGGCGCTGCTACTCATATGTATTCTAACTAATATTAGAAATGCAAATTTGAGTTTTCAACGCTTTTACGGAAGAACCAATCAAGGAATTTTGATAAAATTTGGTATAGAGATAGTTATGAATAGGGAGAAACACCTAGGCTACTTTTATCTCAAAATATAACCTACAGGGTGTAAAATAATGCATGAAAGTTAAAAATTTACTTTCTAGATTAGATTAGGTTATCTGACAGCTATTTATGTTGAAATTGGTTAAAAATACTAACAATTATTCAATTCTTTTCAGGTTTTGCTGTCAGTGCCCTCGCAGCTAACTGGGAGCGCCTCGGCAAACCGTTCAACCCACTTTTAGGCGAAACCTATGAACTCGAACGCCCAGAATTCAAGATCATCTGTGAGCAGGTCAGCCATCATCCTCCTGTATCCGCCTTTCACGCCGAGAGCGCCGACTGGGTCTTCCATGGATCAATCCACCCCAAACTGAAGTTCTGGGGCAAGAGTGTGGAGATTTCTCCGAAGGGCACTGTCACCGTAGAATTTCCAAAGTAAGTTTTTCTCTGTTTAATGTGAATGTAGGAATCTGTATGTCGGTACACGTTGAAAATCGATATTTCATCGTTTAGTTATTAAACTATATATGTTGTGGTAGATGCGGAGATGAAACGCGGCTTGAATTATTCATGACAACGTGCTCATGAAATAGCTTCATGTTTCACATCTCATCTTTCATCTATATTAGATTAGTTGGTAGTGTATATACAAGATTAAGGTTGGAATTATGTGTGAAGGAAATTATCTCCGAGTTTTTATTAATTACGTGGAAATTTGATGAGATAGAAGGAAAATTCAAACGGGAATCTATTGTTTATTAAATTCTGCGACTAAATAAACTTTAAATGTAATAAAAACATTAATAATTTAGTAGTTATAGAGCAAAATAGGTTAATAAAATTAATTTTGACCTAAACCACTTTAATTATTCAATTAACGGCTATTAAACAACAAATTTAATAAATTCTTGATTGAATTATGTGCAGAATTTAATAATAAATACATTAGTGAAAGAACCACCACTCCAACTGCATTAGTTTCGGAGTAATAAATAAAAACCATAAAAACCATTACAGGCACCTACATTACCTACATAACTTACATTAATGCTTCAGATTGAATGAATCTTACACGTGGACGAATGTCCTCTGCTGTGTACATAACATCATCGTCGGTAAACTCTGGATGGAACAATACGGCAACATGGAGATCATAAATCACTCTACCGGACATCGCGCTAACCTCACTTTCAAGCCGGCCGGTAACAACTCCAAGGACCTGCATCATGTTGAAGGCTTTATCAGCGATCGTAACAAACGCAAATTACACTTCCTCTACGGCAAATGGACGGATTTCATCAAATGCGTCGACTACGCTTCCTACGAAGAATACACCGCGAAAGATAGAAAGGGTTGTGAGGGTGCACGGAGCAAGAGTCCTAATGATTCACCCTCGCATGCACCACGCAGGGTTATGCAGAGGTTCAACAGTCTTAAAGTAGGACCGTTTAAATCAAACTCCGTACAACAAGAGGTAAATTATTAAATTTAGTATTAAAATTTGTAGGGTTTGAGATGTATTGTAGGCAACCAATTGAGCATGAATGTAGTATGAATGTAGAACGGCAGAGGGCGTAAATCGCAAATTTACTTTTTGTTTCTGTTAATTTCTGTTTTAGAGTATTGACGAAGCAAACCCACCTGATATAGGTGATGGAGACATCCCCAAAAGTAATTCAACATATTCTTTTGACGTGCCCAACTCAATTGAGATCTGGAGAGTTAATCCAAGGCCAATACAAAGTGCTGATGTAAGTAAAACACTAATATAACACATAAAACATAACCTAATATAACTTTCAATAGTATTATCAATTCACGGACTTTGCAATGTCTCTAAACGAGCTGGAGCCAGGTAATGACTGATTACCTCTGCAAGACAGACTCACGCTTCCGACCGGATATCCGTAAACTAGAACAAGGCGACATAGATGGCGCTGCGATTGAAAAAACGCGCCTGGAAGAAAAACAACGCGACGCTAGCAAATGCCGCAAGAGCAAGAAGAACACTGATTATGCATCGCGTTGGTTCCAACAAGCTGTCAATCCGGCAACCAAGCAGGACGACTGGATCTACACCGGAGGTTATTGGGACAGGCAATATCAGGACGAAGAGGACATTTTCTAACGCGGGCGCACGACTATCGCGCATACTTTTGTCAATATACACACAACCACACACCCAATACAAATAAATAACTACAACAATATATTGTACAGTATATTGTACAATTATTTATCAATCAAATCACCACTGAGAAGACACGACACGCAGATGATAAGTTGATAAGCTTGAATCGAATCTTAGAGCAATAATCATAGAATGCGTGAGGAATATGTGTGTAGGCCTTTAGGGGTTAGGAAAAACATAACCTATGAATGTGTGCCAAGACACGCACATGTATGCAACACAAACTAGAAAAAGCAGTATTTTGAGGTTATAAGATGAATATCATTCCCTCCCTCCATTGTTTTACAACCAGAAAAGTTAAAAAAGTTAAACTTTGCTCGTATAATTTTGTGCTGTGAATTATAACAAGTACAAGTACAAGAAATGTACAACAAAAAGCATAGAAATCATCTAACATAAGTTATTAGATATTTAGACACAGATTAATCTATTGAATCTATTGCAGAAGCATGTTATAAGTAAATCTAAGTAAAAATCAAAGAAATTTAACGAGAACTATGTACTATACTGATAAATCCTACGTAAAGCTGTCTGATTTAACCTAGAACTCACTCTACTAGGCCATGAAATGAGGTTAGGTAACTAGTGGAAAGTAATTCGCTATTTTTTAAAATGTAACGCATTCGTGAAATGCAATCTTGTGACAATGAATTTATCTTTCAGTCGTTTACACCTATATTGAGGCTTATGCCGCTTATGATAATTAACAGTCAATATTGATGGGGATCAGTAACAAGAGTAACAATGTAACAATGTAAAAACTAGCGCTGCCTAGCTGCAGATAGCTTAAATACTTAAATTGTACACTAAATGATTAAAACTTACACGTTTAGTTAGTTTTAGTTGAAATTGTATGAATATGTACATAATCGTTGTGCTTCAGATGCTCTATGTGTAATAAACAGATAATTAATTGATTAGAAACAACTACGGGTTTGTTTGGGACATCCTGTATTGTGATGTGTTCCTAACCTCTTAAATATCATGTGTTTTGGATGCAATACATGCTAGCATTAGTTGCATTTGTTTTTTGGTTGTTTTGTAAGATATAATTAATGAATTGATAAGCAAGATGCAAAATATTAAAAGAAATAAACCGAATATCTTGGTAACAGGCACGCCTGGTGTTGGCAAGTCGTTGTTATGTGTTAAATTAGCTGAAATCACTGGCATGAGATGGATTGATGTCTCGAAAGTTGCTGTGGAGAATAATTGTCTTGAAGAATTTGACCAGGAGTATAATTGTCCTGTTTTGGATGAAGATAAAGTAAGTTTTAATATTAGTATTTGGGTTTTTAATTAATATTTAAAGGTTAATAATATAATTTTTGTAGTTAATGGATGGTTTAGAAGAATCTATGAGTCTTGGAGGCAATATAGTTGACTATCATTCATGTGAATTCTTCCCTGAAAGGTGGTTTGACATTGTTTTTGTCTTAAGAGTTGATAACACCACATTATTTGACAGATTAACGGCAAGGTATGTACATATTTACAAATTAAGTTTATAAATGCAGAAAAATAGGTAAATAGTTTTATTTTAGAGGATATTCTGGTAAAAAATTAGAAGATAATATTCAATGTGAGATATTTCAGACAATTCTAGAGGAAGCTAGAAATTCTTATGCTGAAGAAATTGTGCATGAGCTGCAAAGCACAAATGCTGCTGAGTTAGAGTCAAATGTGCAAAGGATTTATATGTGGGTGCAAAGTTGGTTGCAAACAAATACAGATACATAATGATTATTTTATTTATAAGTTTTTCTTGCCTTTTATCTTGATTTTTGTGGTGAAAATTAAATGTAAGCAAGAAAATTAAAGTTTGACAGGAGAAAATAACATGGTGGCAAATGACATCTTCATAACAACTTTTTTTTTAGTAAATTTCATAAAATAAAGACAAAAAAGTACAGAAATTGTTAAAATTTACAGTAATTTATGATTTTAAGATGTTCTTAAAACTTTTGTGAACATTTTGAGGTGTTCCAATTGTTTTTTTACCTGAATTTCAATCACTTTCTTTAAAAAAATAATCAATTTTAATATATTTAAAGAAAAAAAAGATATTTTCAGAGATATATTGTTAGCTGGTTCAGAATAGTGTCGAATATATGTATTTCTAATTGTTTTTAACGAATTTATTGTTGTATTTTTGTCATCTCTCTGTAGAGATAGGGGAATACAAAAGTTTGTGTGCTACCTTCACTAGCTGCTTACATATGTATGCGTCAGATTGGTGATGTTGCCTGCATTGCCGACTAGTGACATGACACCTCCACCGGCAGCGATCGGCTCGCTCGGATTCGTTTAGGTTTTTCGAGCTTTGCAATCGTTTCGCGTTGCCGTCTCTCAGCCGCTGTCATCCATAGTCCAAGTTCTGCGTTCTGCCTGCGTCCGCCAAGTGCGAGCGCCGCCGCCGGACACCACCTCTTCGTTTTCCAGCGTGCGCCGCCCGCCCGCCGATCACAGACCGGAGACCGGAATCATTCAGGTAAGCTACCCAGGCGAAACTCAGTAAAAACTCGAACGTAACACTATGCGGATCATCGCTGCGCTCACGATACACCGCTGATAGTGTTTAGGGGGAGGGTCAAGCCACAATCTCGCGTTTCTCTCGCGATTCGAACGCGCAAAACGCCGAAAAGGTCAAAGATGAACGCGGGGGTTGCATTCGTAAATGAGGTCAAATTGTTGATGCTATTTTCATGTTGCAGGGGTGTGAGTGCTGAGGAAGTACTGGCAGGACATCAAGATGCCAGCGGTACGTGGCGATGGAATGCGCGGCTTGGCTGTGTTCATCTCAGACATCAGGAATTGTATATACCTCCCAATAGATTATTATTGCTCACTTGGCTAATGAATTGAATTTGCAGGCAAGAGTAAGGAGGCTGAGATCAAGCGCATCAATAAAGAACTTGCCAACATCCGTGGCAAGTTTAAAGGAGACAAGACTCTGGATGGGTATCAGAAGAAGAAATATGTCTGCAAGCTGCTTTTCATCTTCTTGCTGGGGCATGACATTGATTTTGGACACATGGAAGCCGTCAACCTGCTATCTTCCAATAAATATTCCGAAAAACAAATTGTAAGTTGAAGTTTTCTTAAAATTTAACCAAAAATCACACCAATATTAAAATTATTTAATATTTTACAGGGTTATCTGTTTATATCAGTGCTAGTCAACACAAACAGTGAACTCATCAAGCTGATTATACAAAGTATTAAGAATGACCTGGCGTCGCGCAACCCAATCCATGTCAACCTTGCGCTGCAGTGCATCGCTAATATCGGCAGTCGCGAAATGGCGGAAGCGTTCGCCATTGAAATTCCAAAACTACTGGTATCCGGCGATACGATGGATGTGGTAAAACAGAGCGCTGCATTATGCCTGCTGCGTCTGTTCCGCACCTCGCAGGAAATCATCCCCGGTGGTGAGTGGACATCGCGAATTATCCATTTACTCAACGACCAGCACATGGGCGTCGTCACGGCTGCCACCAGTCTTATCGACGCCCTGGTTAAGAAGAATCCGGAAGAGTACAAGGGGTGTGTGTCATTGGCAGTGTCACGCCTCAGTCGAATCGTGACAGCAAACTACACAGATCTACAGGATTATACTTACTATTTCGTGCCAGCACCATGGTTATCTGTCAAATTGTTGCGGTTATTGCAAAACTACACTCCTCCAGGTAAAACTGAATAAAAATTATTTTTAATTTATGAGATTTTAATGTTTTTTATGTTTAATTCAGCTGAAGATCCAGGCGTGCGAGGCAGGTTGAACGAATGCCTCGAGACGATACTGAACAAAGCTCAAGAACCTCCAAAATCGAAGAAGGTGCAGCACTCGAACGCCAAGAATGCCGTCCTCTTCGAAGCCATCAGTCTTATTATACACAACGACAGTGAACCCGGGTTATTAGTTAGAGCATGCAATCAACTAGGCCAATTCTTGAGCAACCGCGAAACCAACTTGCGTTATCTCGCGCTGGAATCCATGTGCCACTTGGCCACATCAGAATTCTCGCATGAGGCCGTCAAGAAGCACCAGGAAGTGGTGATACTTTCCATGAAAATGGAGAAGGATGTTTCCGTACGTCAGCAGGCCGTTGATTTGCTCTACGCCATGTGTGACAAGAGTAACGCTGAGGAAATAGTTCAGGAAATGTTGAACTATTTGGAAACAGCAGATTATTCGATTCGTGAAGAGATGGTTCTAAAGGTCGCCATTTTGGCTGAGAAATACGCGACGGATTACACATGGTACGTGGACGTCATTCTCAATCTCATCCGTATTGCTGGTGATTATGTCAGCGAAGAAGTGTGGTACAGAGTCATCCAAATTGTCATTAATCGCGATGAAGTACAAGGTTACGCAGCGAAAACTGTGTTCGAAGCGTTGCAAGCCCCCGCATGTCATGAAAACATGGTTAAAGTAGGCGGATATATTCTCGGCGAGTTCGGCAACTTGATTGCGGGCGATCATCGATCGTCCCCGTCCGTGCAGTTCCAGCTACTGCACTCGAAGTATCACCTGTGTTCGCCGATGACGCGCGCGCTCTTGTTGTCTACTTATATTAAATTTATCAATCTGTTTCCGGAGATTCGTACGCAGGTGCAGGAGGTGTTCAAGCAGCACAGTAATCTGCGATCGGCGGACGCTGAATTACAACAGCGTGCGTCCGAATATCTTCAATTGAGTATCATTGCCAGTTCTGATGTCTTAGCCACCGTTTTGGAGGAAATGCCTGCTTTCCCTGAGAGAGAAAGCTCGATTCTTGCGGTGCTCAAGAAGAAGAAGCCTGGACGTGTTCCGGAGAATGATATTAAGGAGAGCAAAAGTCCTACTCCAGCCACGGCGAATCATTCGAATGAAGTTAACAATGCAAAGTAAGTTTTTAAACTCTCATAATTTTATTTTGTTACAAAGTTATTAATTTAATGAATATTTTTGTAGTAATTCAGCATCTGCGGATTTATTGGGTCTTTCTACACCTCCAACCTCTCAACCTGGAAATACCGGTGTCCTTTTGGATGTGTTGGGTGATATCTACAGCGGTAACAAGACGAATAATGCGTCAGGCGCGAATAACTTGTATAATCACAAGAAGTTTGTGTGCAAGAATAATGGCGTCCTCTTTGAGAACGACCTCATTCAAATCGGCGTCAAGAGCGAGTTTAGGCACAATCTGGGACGTCTTGGATTATTCTACGGTAATAAAACATCGGCGGCACTGCAGAACTTCGTGCCGAGTTTAATCTGGAGCGAAGAGCAGAACGCCAAGTTGAGCATACAGCTCAGATCAGTCGAACCTACGCTGGAAGCAGGCGCACAAATCCAACAGATGCTAAATGCGGAATGCATTGACGATTATACAGGTAAATTTTATCATTAAAAGCTTTTGATTGAGGTTATGTTGGTATTTTATATTTGATTTAAATTTAAATTAAATTTGTTTAGATGTACCAAGTATGGCTATTTCATTCACGTACAACAACATGCCGCAGAAGATAACCCTGAAGCTTCCGCTCTTCCTGAATAAGTTCTTCGAGCCGACGGAAATGAACGGCGAGTCGTTCTTTGCGAGGTGGAAAAATCTTGGAAGGTAAAAATAGTTTACATAAAAATTTACATTTTATATAATTTATTGTTTTATTACTTTTTTATAGCGGAAATCAACAAAGATCTCAAAAGATATTCAAAGCGAGCGGCGTGATGGACTTAGCAGCCGCTCGCACCAAAATGTTGGGCTATGGCATGGCGCTCCTGGACGGAATTGACCCCAATCCGGATAATTTTGTATGCGCAGGCATTGTGCATATGCGTAGTCAGCAAGTTGGATGTCTTCTGCGCTTGGAACCAAACAAAAACGCCCAGGTACGACACATTACACTCAAATAACAATAAATCAATGTAAAATTAACAATTTTACTAATATTAACTTATGATTTTTAGATGTATCGACTGACAGTACGTTCCAGTAAAGAACCCGTCTCCGTGGAACTGTGCGAACTGTTGGCGGATCAATTTTAAGGACTTTCTTCACTACTGAACGGTAGGCATATGCGTAAATATTATAAATATTTCGAATTTAATTTAGTAAGCAAAACAAGAAGAACTCCCCTCCACACGCCGGGAGTTATAAAACATAAACAACCAAAATGTACGCGCACTGAGCGATGAGTCGATCTTTTAGAACAAATTGTAAGCGCTAAGGAAATATTTATTAGGGTTAAACACACGTCGTAGGTAAAGTAAAGATTAATATAAAGAGTGCAAAACTAGCGAAATGTTTTTTGTGTGTTTTGTGTTTTTGATTTTAAAAAAAGTGGTAAACCAAAGTATAATATCGTGTTTTAAGTTTTCGCCTGTAATCGCTCGGTGGCCGACGCAAACTACTCTCTATAACACTGCATTCCAGATTGATTTTTAATTGATTTCCGTTGTTGGTTTTTATTTTACTCGAATGATATTATGAAATGATGATCAAAGCGCACTTGCCGAGGCCGCCATGTTTGTTGTCATTTGCCGCCCGCGCCCCCCGCTCCATACTCTACACACGCTGCTTTTCTATTATTATTAACAAACGTGTAACAACTATAGTATCGAAAGACCAAGACAATATTTGTAGAGATCGACGACGCACGTGGCCGCGCACGTGCACCAACGCATATGTATATGTTATTGTATGTATAAGTACGAATGTAACTGATTAACCCCCTCGCCTTCCTCCCTCCACGCCGACAATGTAACCACAACCGCCCGTCTCTTTGATGAGTTTTATTTTTCGATTCTGTATGTTTTTTTTTTTTAGTCGTTTACGAATAGATTGTATTTGTATACGAAGAGTTTGAGCGCTTTGTTTGAAATACTCAGTTCGACATCAATCTAGTATGTAAATATGTGTCCCTCCTTTAAACTTTACACTTAACCACTGGTAATATATCATTGTATAAATGTAGAACTTGATGAAACACTAACACAAAATGAGGAAACATATTCAAAATACTACGCCTGCTCTAAATAAATATGTGCAAAGTGTAAGAAAATGTTAAAGTTTAAGCTTGATGATGAAAATTTCGATGTAATCCGTATAGAGTTACTTTCCTGTTATGTTATATATATATGATATGATTATAATTGATAAGCTCATCAGTTATCAGTGCATTCCTGTAAGAATAATGAAAAACTAGCAAGTGTATAATATACAAAATACATTATATCAATTTAAACGAACATTAATTATGTGTGTGAATTGTTTGTTATTAACATTCAAGTGAAACTATGAAATTTTCTAAACTCCTCCATTAAAATTGCACATAGGGCCTAAACGGTTAATGTTAGTAAAAAGTTACTAAAATAATCACGATGTAAATTAAAAAATCTATCAGAATCAAAATCAAATTTACAAATTCAATTTTAATTTCCAACATAAAAAAGTAGGAAATCTTTTTACTTTTTACTAACAAAATCTTTTTCTTTGTTTTTCTGCCATTTTGGTCGTTTTCAATAAAGAATTTTTACCATCATGTAAGTACTTAAGGGCCAGGAAAATATGATGTTCTTAACTCTTTTCTAGTCTTCTTAGTTTGTCAGAGATAATTACTATTTTAATCTTCTAAATTAGACTATTCCATGGCATACACATGTTTCATTAAAATTTAAAATATTATAAAATATTATATTATATTATATTAAATATTATATTTTGTTTAAATTTTTCATTAACATATGATTTTAATTTTCACTTAAAATATTTGCAGGTGTGTAGAAGTAAAAATAAATTCAGTATTTCTTTTTGTCCCACCTTCTACACAGATAGCTAACTCTATTTTGTGTTTTACCAAGTGAGGTTTTGCTTGGCCTGGTGAACCTAACCTCAGTTCATTATTATTGGTTGAAGTATGGAAACATTGGTAGAGTTCAACAAAGATATAGTAGATCGAGTTAATGATGCGGTGTGGACAAGAAATTGTCTTCTAAAAATTAACTGTAAGTACTACCTGATTGATCAAACCTAATGTCTATTAAATTAATTCAAATATCTTCATTGTTTTCAAGGACTAGAAGTTAAACTTGTTTTAGAGATTTTACTGGAGTCTGACATCGTAGGAGGACCATTCATGCATCAGGTATAAGTAATTAATTTCTTTATCACATTTTCTAAATAACTTTTTGTGATTATCTCACAAATTGACCCTTAAATTTGCATTTTGTGTTCCGAAGTTACTAATTTTTGCTTGTTTTTGGGTTTTACACCTGGAAGTCTGACATCGTAGAAGGGCCCTTCTTTATGCTTGTGTGTTTTTTTAATGAATATTTTTTAAAAGTATTTCCAATTGTAATTATTCCATTTATTTCTTCTGATCACATATTTGCTTGATTCCTTAAACCATTTTATTTTTGAAAGTGCGTACTAGTGCCATCTATCAATTAGAAACTACAACAACCGAAAGTTTTGAGCTTCGGTCCGTCATACAGAGCGTACATTACCAGTTACCGCGAAAACTTTATCAGCCTTCTCTCAACTCTGCGATCTAATATTCGAATCTTTATTTTGTCGACTCTGAGGAGGCAAATTGCACATTGGACTCGAAACAGTCGAAACTCAGGTTTTACGGTATTCGGATCGCAGAAAGCGAGGAGGTAAATGAAGGAGGCGGTAACACTAGTAATGGCGGGTAGCTCAGTATTTAAAATCTTTATTCAGCAAATTCGGTTTCAAATTCTGAAGGATCTCGTGACAACTATGAGGGGCTAGAAAATTAAGAACTACATAATCTTGATCCCTTGAAAAAATTCTCTACATGGTGGCATCATTATTGAAAAATCATCAAATGGCACAAAAATTTTTTAAAAAGAAAGGTTTGTTATAAAAAAAGGCAAAAGATTTCTCTTTTATGATGAAAATTAAAGTTGGAATTTTGAATCAAATTGAGGAAATAATATATATAATAATTTAGCAGGGACTATCTATATCCCACTTTTCTGCGTTCCTAATACTGGACTGATAGACGCAACAGCAAATTTCTCACGACAAATTTTGTCGAAATCCGTGAAATTAGTCACAAAATTCTTTTTGAATATTGGATCGCAGAAAGTGCAGTAGGTTGAATCTATTGAATAGCGGCGTAGTTTGGTTACTCGTGGATAGATGACACTAGTGATACCGTTTTAAATTAACAAGTGATACAATATAAAATTGATTTTGAACTATTTCTCATATCTAGCAGTGGCATTTCCATTTAAAGTTTCAAGGTTATGGATTAATTAAAGGAGAAACATTGTTTGTGAGCTATGTTCTCCGTTTACACGGAACAAATAAAAACAATAAAATTTATAGTTAAATATATAAACAACAATTTTATTTAAACATGTAGAATCCACCAAATTCAATTTCTTAATATATACAGCATTTTTAACAATACAAGCATAAAAACAGGATAATAATACAGTACATAAGCCAATCTTTTCATACTTTTTTAACAAAATACATAAAAATGATATCAATATCAGCTTCAAATGTTGTAAATTCATTCAATCGTATTTGGAATCATCATCAACACCAATCCAATCTTAGGCTACTTGGACACTATAAACCAGAATGAATAACAGAATAGTAAAACGCAAAATATTTTAATTGCCAAAATATAACATACGTTCTTGGTATTTTATTTCAGTTTGACCATCTTCAGTAAATCGAGCGCCATCCTCAATACACCAGTCCACCAGTACCACGGAACCTCCACTTGCTCCTTATTATTGATAAACTTGGGCATCTCAGGAATAGCCAATGCTTCATCCAACTGGAAAATATTTATGTAAATGAAATATGAATATACACCAGACTCCCATTTGGAAGCACCGTGCGAAGGTAGCGGTAGAAGTGACCCCATTCAGGCACCGTACAATTTGAATTGCAAAAGAACGGCGTACGACATTGCGTTCGCCGGCTAAACAAAACACAGTAGCCGACCAACAAACACAAAAACATTTTTATAGGTTTCCCGAGGGATAAACCCACACAATTATATATTAAAATAATAAAATTTAAATATCTATAATTTGGTGAAGAACGGTTGTCCTACAACAAGGTGTTCGCCCGCTAAACACTAAAAACCAAAAATCGACGACAAAAAAACACGGGAGCATTTTGTAGGTTTCCCAGAGGATAAACCCACACAAATTATACATGTAAATTAAAGGGCTAAATATCTATAATTTTGGTGAAAAGAACGGTTATCCTACGACAGGCGTTCGCCATAAACACTAAAAACCAAAAATTCGACGTAAAAAGCACAGAGGCATTTTGTAGGTTTCCGGGGATAAACCCACAAATTATACATGTAAATTAAAAAATTTAAATATCTATAATTTGGTGAAAAACGGTTGTCCTACGACAGCGTTCGCCCGCTAAACACTAAAAACCAAAAATCCGACGACCAAAAACACAAAATATAGCATTTTGTAGGTTTCCCCGGGGATAAACCACAAATTATACATGAAAATTAAGGGCTAAATATCTATAATTTGGTGAAAAACGTTGTCCTACGACATGGCGTTCGCCCGCTAAACACTAAAACCAAAAATCCGACGACCAAAAACACAAAAATGGCATTTTTGTGGTTTCCCCGGGGATAAACCCACAAATTTTACGAAAATTAAAAAAGAATTTAAATATCTATAATTTGGTGAAAGAACGGTTTATCCTACAACCAAGGCGTTCGCCGCTAAACTTTAAACCCACAAAATTAGCCGACCAAAAAACATAAAAAGAGGCATTTTTGGCAGGTTTCCCGGGGCACATAAACCAAAATTATACATGAAATTAAAAGAATTTAAATATCTATAATTTGGTGAAAGAACAGTTTATCCTACGACAAGGCGTTCGCCGCTAAACACTAAAACCAAAATTCGACGACCAAAAAACACAAAAAAGGGCATTTTTGTAGGTTTCCCGAAGGATAAACCCACAAATTATACATGTAGATTAAGAGGAACTTAAATATCACATATAATTTGGTGAAAAAGAACGGTTATCTACGACAAGGCGTTCGCCCGCTAAACAGTAAAACCCACAAAAATTAGCCGACCAAAAAACATAAAAAAGAGGCATTTTTGTAGGTTTCCCGAGGATAAACCCATAAGTATACATGAAAATTAAAAATTTAAATATCTATAATTTGGTGAAAAGAACGGTTATCCTACAACAAGGCGTTCGCCGCTAAACGAAGTAAAACCCACAAAAATTAGCCGACCAAAAACATAAAAAGAGGGCATTTTGGAGGTTTCCCGGGGATAAACCCATAAATTATACATGAAAATTAAAAAAGAATTTAAATATCTATAATTTGATGAAAAGAACGGTTTGTCCTACGACAAGGCGTTCGCCCCGCTAAACACTAAAACCCACAAAAATTAGCCGACCAAAACATAAAAGGGCATTTTGTAGGTTTCCCGAGATAAAACCCGCAAATTATGCATGAAAATTAAAACAATTTAAATATCTATAATTTGGTGACAGAACGGTTGTCACCACGACAGGCGTTCGTCGCTAAACACTAAAAACCCACAAAATTAGCCGACCAAAAAACATAAAAAGGGCATTTCTGTACTTAGGTTTCCCCGGGGATAAACCCATAAATTATACATGAAAATTGG